GTGCCATTTGGCGGCAAAACCACTCGGTTCAGAGGACCCCGGGTCATAACCGTTTACCTGCAGTGCCATTTGGCGGCAAAACTGCCGGTTAGAGGACACGTACCACGTCCTTACTACAGGAGACTATTTTGAGAATGGATCATAGTGATATTTTCAATTAGGCATTTGGCTCTTTGCGAGTTGAAGTAGTATTTAATTTGTCCACATCGACAAACTGTTGCGGAGGGTGGATAGATTTTGCTTTAAGTGGGTTGATGGATTTATTTCATTTTAAATATTTTTGGGATTTCGAGATGATCCTTGGAATTTTTGGATTTTGTGGAGTATTTGAGTGGCATTTGAAAATGTTTGTGAACCCCTCCGGTTGAGATCTGCATTCAACACGGTCATCATCGGGGTGTTTGGGGTCATTTCTCTTTATGAATTAAACCCTGTCAACTCGACCAAGCTATTGCTCGAGGATCGGGTTTCTCGTATGCTTTATGCCTTTATTTAGTGAATTCTTTTGATTATAGGCCTTGAAGGCCTAATATGAATGTATTAAAACAAATACACCAGTTGCCACAACCGTGTATTTGTTTGAAGGTTCGAACCCTGTCGACTCCTATTGATCCGTATAGAAGGATCAGGTTCGAACAAGAATTCACTTATTGACCTGCGCAACATCCTTAGACGTCACGTGTGTATTAATAACACGCTCGCCGGGGCCTATACGGGTTTGGGGGCATTTTGTAATTATTTATTGAACATTGTCGACTCCTATTTACTTTCTTAGGAGGATCGAGTTCAAAATTTGATAACCCGCGCATCATCCCTAGACGTCACGTGTGTACCAATAACACGCTCGCCGGGGCCCATACGGGTTCTTAATTGCATACCCTCCTTTAGTGTACCTAAGTGTGTACAAACTACAGTGCATGTGCGAGGGTATTTTGGAATATTTATGAAACACTTTCTGTCTGCTTCCAAGAACGTCGTGGATCCGGTGGCGCGGCGTAGCAGCTTGTGGGTTGAACTGTTTACTGCTTTGTACAGGTAGACTGTCGTGCACTACTTGCATGATTTGTGCAGGCAGATTATTGTGCACTAACTAATCTCCTGCCTTGGGTTGTAGATGCTAGTAGATAATTTGTTGTATGTATGATGAATTTCCAACTGTAACTCATCAGCACTTGCGCTTGATATAGTTACTTTGTATCTTGCTCGTGGACAATAGATTGGGTGTACTACGAGTCTTCTATAGTGGCCCATGGGTACTCGCATTTGTTGTAGTCATTTGGTATTTCTTTGTTTGTAGAAGACATTTGGTGTGTTGTAGGTCTCCTATGATGTGTCTTCTATGAGGACCCGTAGGCATTTATACTTGTTGCATCCCTTGTGCACTTGTAACTGCTTCATATTTCTCATTCATTATTGATTGATTCTTCCAAGTAAATTATGTTTAGAACTTTGTCTAGCAATAATCTCTTGCTTGTAGGAGGTTGAGATATTCGCTAGCAGTCTGATTTATTAGTTGTAGAAGCATCTTGGCCTCTAGTAGATTGTAGGGACGCATCATTATTTGCTTATATATGAGTGTTGTCCATTCCCATTTAGGAATTGATTGGATTGAATGTTCGAATCATCATATCACATTAAATCCAAGCCCCCTTATAGTTCTTTTGAATTTGATCTTTTTTTTGAGGTATCTTCTTCGAGTTGGATTGTTATTGGTGATAAAGATGTAGGAGTTTCCTTGTTTAAGACTCAATTTCTTGTTCTCTTTCTTTTTTTTTGTATGTGTTTGAGTCCAAATTTCATTCACACCTGAGTTTAAACTCAGTATGAGTCTCCTACATTCATTCAAATTTTCTGTCATCATGTTGAGTTCATCCGAATTTGAGTCCAATGCTTGCAAATTCAATTTTAGATTCATTTAGATCAATTGAATCAAGCTCATCTCACTTATCCTTTTGAGTTTGACCAAGCTCAAGTCTTATGTAAGTTCAACAATCGACCCAAGTCTTTGCTCCTCTCATTTGATGTTTACATTAAGCTCAAGTTAAGTACTTGATAATTGTCCAAGTCTTTTATGTTCACTTGCAAGTTATAGTCAAGTCAAAGTCAGATTCAAGTTCTTCATCATTTGAGTTCTTGTAGGTCTCCTTCTTTTGTTCAAATCCTTGTTGCATTTGAATCCATTTCATGTTCAAATTCATCACAAGCTTAATGTCATTTGATTAGAGTCCATTTGAGTTCAAGATGAGTTCTATCCATGTTCATAAGTCCTCTGCTCTTGTTCGAGTACAAGTTCTATGTCATTGCTCAAATTGTTCAAGTCAAGTCCTTCGCATGAGTTCAAGTCATAGTCCAAAATGAGTTCAATCAAGTTCTTGTTCATTTCAATTAGAATTGAATTCATTTGGGTTTAAGTTTATTTAAGTAGATTGAATCAAGTCCACAAGTCCCATTCTACTCAAAGTCCTTGTCTGTATCAGACAAAAATTCGGCATGCCTCCCGCATCTCTCCCAGTTTAGGGGAAAATCCAAGTAGGCCGCCTACCCGCCACGTCAACAAAGACGCTGCACGGTTTTGTTTATGAGAACCGCGCAGTATTTTTGTTTTTCTCCCACCAAGCGCAATAAAGGCGTGCATGGGGTTTTTTTAAAAAGCATTTTTAAGAAAAAGGGCAATTTTCTTTTCTCCCCGCTCGAGGTAACTTATAGTGACCCCGCTTCGTTGTACAGTGCCGCACCGAGGCCCCCATCCCACCACGTCACCCAAAGAGCGTATGCTTTGGGCGGTTTTTCGGTCCGCAACAACGAAATTGAGAGAGAGTTTTGAGTTTAGAAGAATCGTTACCTTCGCGGGGTTGTCGGATGTGATGGCTCGTGGATCAAGGGGTCACTCGCTATTACCTCATCGTAGTATCGCACCGGCAGGGTCGGTCCCATCCTACACGCGCACCAAAGGCTGCTTGGGCGGTTTGCCAGTCCGACCGATATATTAGGTAAGGAGGGCATTTTGTTTTATTATAAATTATAATAGAATTAAATTAATTAAAAGATAACGATAATTTAATTATAATTAAGTAATTAGTACTAAAATATTATCCATTAATTAGTAGTTAATTCATTATTAAAATAATTAATTTTGATTAATTAAACATTAATAAGAATTAATTAAAATTGAAAGTAATTAGCTTATAATTAAATAATGTAATATATTAACTAAAATATCACTATTTAATTAATTCATAATTAAATAATTTATTTTGATTAATTAATATTAATTAACTATAATCAAAGATAATTAATCATAATTAATAACTAATTATAAACGATTATCATTATCGTTAATTAATAATTATTAATTTATAATTAAAATAATAAAATAATAATAATAATAATAATAATAATAAAAATAATAATAATAAATCCTTCTCCTCTCCCTTCTCTGTTCGGCAAAATGACAGGATTTGGCCGAATGTATGTGCAAAGGGGGAATTACCTTCACTACCAGCGAGCTCCCGTGTGGCTTCCGATCGGACAAGAGGGGACCTTGTCGAAGGAGATGGAGTCGGGTGGAGGCTAGGGCAAGAGGTATGGGAACTCCTCTCTCTCTCTCTCTCTCTGAGGATCGGGAGGCAGCGACGAGAGCTACGGTCAGAGAAGACAAGGGCGCCGAGGTGACGTCAACTGGAGATCGGGATCAGAAGCAGCGGCGAGATGGAGATCGGAGCTTTCGGACGAGAGAGGAGAGGCGTTGGGTCGGAGGAGATTTTGTTGTGGATGGGTCGTGTGGGTAGCAGAAGAGCGGCTTCTTCGTCTCCTATTTAACGACACAAAAAGAGTCCGATTCAACGGAACTCCTGCAGGAATCGCGGAGAAGCGACACTAGCGGCGCCGATTTCAGCTGGATTTGCGGCAGAATTCATGGATATGTCAGGTAAGAGGTTTGCGCACTGGATTCATGGCTTCTTCTCCTCTTGTTTTGTTTATACAGAGGTTAACATTTATCTTCTCGTATTTCTTTAGTCTCACTCTCTTGCTTGTGATTTGATTTTAGTCATGAAGATCGTCTTCGCCTATTTCTGTCGAGCTTAGTAAACGTAGGGATTGAGTGCTCTTCATTTGTTTCTAATCTTATTGTTAGATTAGGGATTTTCGTTGAAAGCTACTATATTTGTATGTTGTTGATTTCCTATGCTATTTTGATGTTTCAAAGCTTTCATCGTGCAACTTAGCCTAAATGGAAGTGACCGCTCTTGCGTTTTATTTTGTCGTTTCATTTGCTAATAGTTCTAATCACTATTTTTTCTAATCAATAAATCGTGCAAGCTCTTTCAAAATTATTGCCTACATTGTAGTCCTACATCAGTATGTCTCGAAGTTCAAGGGATTCAAACTTTTGTTTGATTGCTAAATGATTTATTAAATATAATTATGCTCGCCTGTTATGTTATTCCTTTGGCCTTTTGCTGTTAAGAAATGAATGCAGTTGTCATATTTAAATTGGTTGGGAATGTAAAGTTATGCCGTCGCCACAGGGCACCTCTAGTTCTAGGAGTACTTTGTTGAGTTTGGTTCACATGATTTTTCTTTGATGATCTGGGCTGAAAATGGTACTCTTATTTCCTTGTTGCAAAGCTGTGTACATTTTATTATTTTTGTAGTAGGAGCGTACAGAGTTACAAAGTTGATCATGTGATGCCTTGGTGATTTTATATTTTTACAAGAAAATTATGTTTTGATGTTTTGTACTATTAAGGCGAGGCTTAATATAATTGGAAATACTATTGAATTTGTGCATTCTTAAAGGTACCATCTTGTAGTAGAATGGATAATTCAGTATTAACTGGCAAGTGTGCAATGTTCATGCAATGACTGACATTGTTGATTTGTCCTCTTGTACTCGAATCAGTATGAGACAAATCATGATATCTTCTATTCTAAACTGATTGTTTCTGATATAACCGTTTTATATCATGTTTCATATGCTTTCTTTCTTATTTGTACAGGGTAATCCCAACTCGGCATTCTAGACCAGCTGCATATAGGCTTTATTTGGAGATCTTGTGGAGACATGCATTTTCTTATGCATCTCAAGTTCGAGTATCGAATTTCAAAAAGTGAGGATAAAATGTAGTTATGATGTTGTATTTTATTGCGGGATGGTATGCTTTACATGATAGGCATCTTACTTGCAATATATTCTGTTATTTGATATATTATATGGACTACATGATTATTCTGTAGAAGGAAACCGTAGTGGGCAATGAGTTGTCCAATATCTTTTTGCCATTCTAGTTTTTTTTTTTTCTTTTTTCCATGTTGTCTTTCATCTATATTTATATTATTTTCTAATCTGTAGAAGATACTTTGATGAATGCAGTGAGAAGCTATATAAGGCTTGCTTCGGTAGAACTCCCTGTTGTTTGATCTCTCTCTCCTTTTAAAAAAAAGGATAATAACTTCAAAACTTCTCAAACAAGGATAATAATTTAATTTATTTTGCAGACAAAAATAAAGTAAAATATTCCTGAATTTATGCCAGGGTTTCTTGGCCTAAGCAGTACTGCTAGGATTCTTTATAAAGCTGGTACTACCAGTAGGGATTGTTATAAAATCTTGACATTACATTATACTGGGTTGAATAACAAATTCTGGCAGTGCTACCAGAGTTAGAAGATATATTCTAGTTTTAGTACCTATGTTTCATGAAAATTTTGTAGAAGGAAGGTTAGTTTTCATTCTTTATAATAGGGCAACCTATTGTCCTTGTTTGCAAATTTTATTAACTGTTATTTTCTGTTCATCTAAAGGCCAAACTATATGGGGTTTTATTTAAATATCCCATTACATAATAGGCCCATGCTTATGTATTTACACTATTACCTACTTAGAAATTAGGCTAGTTGATCTCATAACTATTGTCCATGATAATCGTTGTATTGTCCTTCAACAGATTTGGTATGATGATGTTTTTCTCATTGCTCTAGACTTAGGTGTTTGGGTCTACTATACTGTTTGAGAATGGTATATGGATGAAAGTATTGTTACTTGTATAAGGTATTTTTGTTTAGAAGGGGAGATTCCTCCATGGTACCATATTAGAAGATAATGAGACTTGGGATTAAGTTTAATGAATCAACAATACGATATGGCATGCTTTATTAATGTAAGTGTTTGTCAATGAAACAAAACAACAACAAAAATCTAGAATATAGGATGAGAGTGAGGAAAAAGTTAATTTATGTTGGCGAAATTTGTTTGTAGCTTATAATTTAAAAGCTCGTAGATAATTTCTTTGTTAAGCTATCTGATATTTTTTTGATGGAATTGATGTATTTCCTTTGATATAAAACTTTGAGAGGGATATAAGGTAAATTCTATATAATCTGTCATTTTATTTTTAAAGATCGTTCATTCTTTATGTTTTTCCTGAAACATTTTCATTTATTGTATAGGTAGCAATCAAATAGTTTGGTTGGTTCCTTACATTTTTGGGGCATTTTCTCTCAGCAAGACTCACTTTTTTGTTAAGAACTAATCATGGCTGTTTGCTATTATCGTGGTTAAACTCCGATATTATTTTATCTTTTATTGTTAGAAGCAACTTCTGTTTTTTGTTTCCATGTTAAATGTAGCGATGATAAATTTTTTTGTATTTTACTTTATTTGGTTAGCATTTGCCTGTAGAAAATAAAAATTTGTCCTCAAGCAATGTGAGAAGTGAGCCTATCCTTTTATGCAGGATCATGTTGTCCATAGAGGATTCTCTTCACCTTTCTGAAAAATTCGGCGTGCAAGCATCTGAACCAGGGTTGCTGGTGATTGAATTTATCTTTTACATTGTATTGCAGTTACTAGATGCAACATTAGATGATGAAGGGTTGTTAGAACTGACACCAGAGAAGAAGTTTAGATGGCCCATTAGAGCAGAGGATATGGATATAGATGGAGAACCCTATTGTCAAAGGAATGGATATGGTGAAAAGCTGCAAAAAATAAATAGCATGAAGGCTACTGAATTGATCATACAATTCTTTCAGCATAAAGAAATTTCGAAGCTTCTTTCATTGGCCCGCGAAAACATGTATGAGGTTTGATATTTGATTATGCTCCACAAATTTCTTTTATAACTTGCATTGACATGTTTTCTTGCTTAACCATTCTTCTGGATTTTTACTATTTCATTTACAAATATTTTTTGTTTTTAAATCAACTATTTGATGCAGAGACTGTATATAGTAATTAAAACTTTATGCACAACAAAAAAATTTCCATGACAATTTGGTTAGATATGAATTATTTGTTAGTCTGTTAATAGGAAGGCATTACCTTAATCAAACTTTTTGAATATTTTCTAGTAGCACTAGCAAAATTAGTTATGTAATTGTAGAAATTGCAATGATTAAAGTGTCAAAGCGGTAAGGACGTTTTTTTGGTATAGTTTTATTAAAATACGGTGTTGAGAAGTACTTGCATTTGGGATATTTAAAAGCTGTACCTATGGTTGTCAAAATGGGTTAACATGCGGGTTTAGGTTTGACCCAAAATTGACCTGATATGAACCCCGCCAACCTGAATCAGACCCTTTTAATAAATGAGTTAAAAAAGGTTGACCCAATCTCAACCCTCTGGCCACCCAAATTACTCCGAATCCGACCCGATAACTTATTTTGATTAAACAAAATTGTAACTTATTAACTATAATTTTTGGATTGATTGATTAAAAGCAAGAAGACCATACCAACATGCAATAGAATTTAAAAAAAAAATTTAAACAGGTTATTGTCAGGTTAAAATAAGGTTTGTTGGTCAAACAGAACTCGACCCACTTATTAAACTAGTCAACCCAAATCCAAAATTTTTTACTTGGATTTTTATGTAGGCCCCTAGATGCGTCCTCAAGCATCATTTTTTAGTGATTAAATACCTGATATAGATGGTCCTTTTGTTATTCCTTTACCATAATTGAAACTGTCTATGATCCTTCAACTAGCCTAAAATTAGTTTTAAGCTAAATGCGTGTTCTATAGCAGTTTTCATTAGATACATACAGCTAAATGTTTCTCCAAGGTTAAGGTTCTACATGAAATGCTAGCTAATAAATTTAAATTGTTTTTAGCATCTTGTAATACCGTACTTTATGCTTCCCTTTTGTGATCCACTATCATGAAGTACACGAGTACATGAAATATGATTCTCTACTAATTCCTGTGCTAACTGCTAGGCCGACCCACTGGGGATCTTTTAGTCAGCGGTTACACTTGCTCTCCACAAATTCATCAACATTGCAAAATTCATCAGTACTACGAGAAACTCTGCAGCAGTTGCTACTTGATGGCTTTGGCAGATCATGCAAATCTGGCAGACACGTAGAATTTTGTGCAGTTATTGCTCCTGGGTGTATGGCATCTCCAGGTGGTCACTGTCATGGGGCAACTCGTTCTTCCCTTTGGATTCCCATAGATCTCTATCTTGAGGATTGCATAGATGGTTCAGTTGCAGCAACCAATGCCATCGAAATTCTTAGTGGTATGAACATTTGGGAATTTTGACCTCTCTCCCCACACACGCCCACACAGAATAGGAAAAAGTCAATTTTTGTTTTCATGTTTCATTATCATGAATCTTATTTCACTGAGCCGGAAAATACCCAAATTTCTCTTCTACTATATTTTAGCGGCAATGAAACAAACTAGATTTATTAGGCTGAGAGTTGAGCTCAAAAATCAGTATTATGCGAAACTTTGTTTAGCTCAGATCGAAACTAAAAAGTCATTCTTTAAATAGGATAAATCTTATTGGGGATTGGTACTTTTATATCATCGTTAGCATCTATTTAGTTTAAGCTTTGTGAATCATCCTCCATTCTTTATTGTTGACAGTGAAACCATATGAGGTATATATAGTGTTGGAATGGTCTATTATAATTCTGCATGTAACAAAGCTTCATCCACACAGATAGTTACAAAGTTTGTTTTTGATGATAGAAGTTTCAGTCATAATATCAAGATAATTGATGTGGATCTTGAACATAAAAAAAATTGGGATCAAGTTTGATCACTTTTTATGAATTTATGATTGATAATTAAAGTTGAAGAAATGAGTAGTATTTAGCCCTTAACCAAAAATATCTTTAATATCTATTTTAATTTTGAATAAATAACATGAATATTATTTGAAACATTTTACCATATATGCTTGTAAAGTTTTATATATTTTGAGCATATATAATAATATGACATCATTTATTTCAATATTTAGACCATCCACTAGGTGGTGACATTAGATGCTTAATGCATGACCACCACCACAACATAATCATCCTCATCATTAGCCTTATCTCAATTTTTTTGCTGTTGGCTTTATGAATTATCATTTTTCATTCATTTCTGTTGAATGCCACTCAAGATTTTATGCAATATTTTTATAGAAGTTTATGAAATTTTATGTTCAACTTCTTTTTGTGTTGTAAATGATGCACTTTGCATTTGCCATATATTTGCTTTGTTGAAAATTGGCAAAAGTAAGCATGCATTACAAAGGACCCATTCATTGGAAGAGTAGTAGTTGTGTCTGAGCATAGAAATGCACGTGCCCGCTTGCGTCTGCATGGACTATTATTTTTTTTCACGGAAAGAGGAATCTTTCAGCAAGATTTTATTTTGACTTATTTTTCAACCATATAACATCTAATTTGCAAACCATGACCATTCGCCTTAAACTTTACCATAAAAAGTAGAATGTTTGTTAACTTCATGCAGCCCTAAAATGATTGAATCATGCATCTAGCATACAAAATTTATACCCTGATTGAAGGTCTAGATAGTGAGATAAACGAGTCATTAATTATTTGTTAAATTCAGAAAATTGGAGAGGGAAAAGGCTTTATTTTATTTCAAAAAATAATCCCTATGTGTAGATCTATACTAGATATCTTAATAAAGAAACAAATAATTATATAATCATGTATAATTGCCCTAACAGAATCCTTCCTAAATCAGCTACATGAATATGGAAGGAGATCGGCTTGATCCAAGTGAGCCTTCCACGGATCCCCATCATGGCCATAAGATCAAGAGCTAAGGGATGACTAGGATTAGTAGGATGGCTGGGATAGTATTTGACCCTCTCCCTCAAGCTAGGGAATACATATCTGTCATTCTCAGCTTGGTAATTAGTCCCAAAAAGGTAGAGTTAGCAAGTCTCTTGGTGCACCATAGAGTCTTCCATTTTGTCAAAATTTTGGGACGAATTAGTTTCAGACATTGCGACAACAAATGATAATGATGAAGGCTATATCAATCAAGCTTGCAAGGTGCAGGTCAGTAATGAAGGCTGCGTTGAACAAGAGCTCTCAAGATGTCAAAAATGGCAATAAAGGGCGGTGGTGGGACAACAGGAAAAGTGGATTAATTATCGTTCGGGTCTGTCTCCCTCTTGGTTCTCAAGGGAAGGTCGGCAATGAAGGCACATCAATCGAAAGAAAAAAAAATTTAGGGTTGCGACAAGCTTCAGGGACAACAACAGAAAAAATAAGTCTCTAGCAGCTCAGTACTCGGCATGCAGATCTCCTCCTTCGCAGGCCGTTCGATCGAGCTAGCCTTCTGCCCAATGCAAATTAGTCGTCCGACTCCACCCAAACAAATTCTTGTTCGACCGGCCTCGTACAGATGCACGTAATGCCTCTGATCCCTTTGATATAATCCGAGTAAGGAGTGCAGGTCTTGCACTCTTGCTCGTCTCGGCCCTGAACCTGCATGAGTGGGAACTCTTGGCTCTTTCCAGATGCACGTAGGAGGCTTTCGCTCGGCTCCTCTTGGTTTCGCCCCAAACACACGCAAGTGGAGCCCTCCCGCTTGATCTCTCCTCAGTCTTGAATGCATGAGAGACTCCTGTTTCCGCTTCTTCTAGCCATATGCATGAAACAAAGGGCACGAGCAATTTGGATTGCTTGACTCTCGTTCAATCCCCAACGTCAATGAAGTCTGCTTGCTCCTATCCGCTTTCTTCGATTTGTATATCTCACCGATTACGGCAATGAATGTCGTTGGAAGGACCAATAATCCTTAGAATTCCAACAATGAAGGCCGGTGGTGAGAATCTAGCTACGATACCATGTTAAATTTAGAGAATTAGAGAGGGAAAAGACTTCTTTTTATTGCACAAAATTATCCCTATTTATCGATCCATACAAGATATCTTAATAAAGAAGCAAATAATTACAAAATAATGCTTAGTTTCCCTAATATAATACTTCATAAATTAGCTACACGAATATGGAAGGAGATCAGCGTGATCTAGGCCATAGGATCAAGAGCCAAGGGACTGGTAGGATGGCTGAGACAGTATTTGACAAAGTAAAATAATATATATTTTTTCATATATAAAATGGCATTTAGATCAATTTCCATGGATTTGATTTCAAAAAAAAAAAATGCTAGGGTGATGCTTTTGAGGCGCTTTATAAGGAGTATTTTTTTTATCAAATTTGACCAATGGTCAAATCTTGATAAAGAATGATCAAATTAGATCACCAAGTTGTTACTAGTTTTGTAATTATTTTCATTTTACATTATAAGCATAAAATATAAAATATTTCTATGAAGAATGGATTGTCCTCATAAAAAGGAAAATAGTCTTATATATGCATTCATAGACCATCGATCAATTACTAAATCATAAAAAAGTGCATTGCATTAAGTTTGAAGGTCATCATTAACAGTAACAATATCAACAAAATCCAAAGCAAGGGAATATGATCAACCCTCCCTGATGGGTTTCCGACACGTGTTACAATTTAAGAATAGTTCTTCTTTTATAAAAGCAAGGCTGACCCCCTCACCTTTTATGTGAGAAACATCAAAATCAATGTCTAAGAATTTTCCAAACAATCTTGCTTGACCATTCCAAGGAACATGAAGATCGCAATCAAGTAGAACCATTCTCTTTCCTTGAATGGCTTACCAACCCATGTGATGCTTAGTTTATGTTAAGTGCTCTCTTGTTACTCTACATACAAATCATCATGGAATCTTGAATATCAATGTATGAAATATTATTTTACCTGGTTTCTTTCTTGCAATTGTAGCAGTGGCTTGCTGGTTTCCTCTTGGAAATCTTTGGTGAGTTCTCGGATTATCTTAGTGCTTGCACTAGTTATTTCCCATTGTCCTCTCAACCAAGCCCCTCTCTCTTACCCGAGTCACCTCTTGCCCGCCACAATCGACTTAGAGCCTCCCCGAGCCATAGACCATTCTCACAAACACATACCCTTGTCCCTCCTAGCCATTGGCCGCCTCCCTCCAAACCCTAAAAAGCCTTCCAACCGCCCTCTTATCCACTCTCTTAGTATATATGACTCAAAATCCTTCCAAGACTTTTAGGTCACTCAGAAAAACCTCTCATAACTTGAGCCCTACAATCCTAACCCCTTTCAAAGGATTCCATAACCCAAATCCTTGCCCTCACTTCTCAGCCACCCCCTCCATTCCCCATAAATACTAACCCTGGCTAGTTTCAATCAACAACCAAAAGGATTACCTATCTCCCTACTAATGACCAATTACAAGCATCACCTCCTCCTCAGAGATTCTTCCCATCTCCATCCATATATGTATATATTAAGGTTGACCGTAGAGAACCAAGCGATGTGGAGATGGTTGACCGAACCATGGGAAAGGGGCCAAGCCCCCTCATCCTCCCCAACGGGTGGGGAATAATCTCATCCGATTTTAGCTGTAAGGGTTGAACTCATGATCTCTAAGATAGGAACCATTACTCACAAAATATTGTTATATTAGTTTAAAGTGCAAAAAAATGTGCTTTAAAGCTTAGTGTTGAATTCAGAAGATTGGAGAGGGAAAAGCTTAAAACTTTATTCGTCATGATCCCTATTTATAGTTTATACAAGATGCTTAAATAAAGAAACAAATAACTACACAATAAAGAGTAATACAATCCTTCCTAATTCTGTTGTCTTACTAAGGAAGGCTCATAACGTGAGGGAGCTTTCCACGGATCGCTATTTGCAGCCGTGGGATTAATCCGGGATTGAGGGGCTGGGATTTAACACATAGCATTCATGAAACACTTTCAAGTGGGCCCAACAAAGCATAGGTGGTATGAAGTAGAAGCTTCTTGATGGATTGCACTCTTCACAAGGCACTGTAAACTATGAAAGTATACACTTCAATTTTTGTTGATTCTCACTTTCTAAACATTTTTATTTGTGTGACAGATAATAAAATGTAAAAAGTATAAAAAAATTAATCCAATGAAAGTATACACTTCAACTTTTGTTGATTCTCACTTTCTAAACATTTTTATTTGATGGATTGCACTCTAAACATTTTTATTTGAGTGACAGATAATAAAATGTACAAAGTATAAAAAAATTAATCCAATGCTTTCTAAATTAAAGAAGGTAGGGGAATAATAAAAATTCATAAGTTTTAAACGAAAATTACGACTTCTTAAGCACCCCAAATGCTGTTGGTTCCCTCCACTTCTTTTTTTTCATCCTTCACCAGGTTTCTCATTTCTCCAAGGCCCCACTCCCAATTTCAAAAATAATAGGGGTGTAAACGAGTCGAGTCAACTCAAGTTTTGGCACTATCGAGCTCAACTCGTTAGTTGGAAAGTGAGCTCGAGTTGAGCTCAAAAAGCAAGCTCGAACTCGAGCTCGTCCTACTATAAACGAGCTTGAGCCAGCTCACGAGCTTTGGCAGGCTCAATTCATTTTCCAAAAAAACCTGCAGCATTTATGACAAAATTCAATTTTTCTAAAAAGCTGCAGCATTATTCAAAATAAAGCTTCAGTATTTTCCAAAAAAAACTTCTGCCCGAAGAACTCCTTTTAATGCCCAAATATCACTCAAATCAATTTTTTTTAATTGTTTTTTAATATTAAAAAAAGCTGTAGCACTATTCATGTAAATGTTTGCTGTTTTAATTAGCCATCCATATTTTTAATATATTTTTTAATATTTGATTTGACACTAGCTTGCATGGGATTTGACAAAGCATGCAAATGTCACCAGCAATCCGTATTTATTATTAATTTTTTAACTATTTAAATTTAAATAAAATAAATATTATTTAAAAATATTAATAATAGTTCGAGCCAGCTTGCGAGCTCACGAGTTGAGCCGAGTTTGAGCTCCAACTCGAGCTCATTTGATAAACGAGCTCAAGTATGCTTGCCAAGTGGGGAACCTTAAATTAGGGAGGAATATTTAAATCAAATCCTATTTGAATTTGAAATATATTTGATTTGAATATTTTCCTAAAATAAGATAACTAAATTAGGGAAAGGATTTGAAATTTAAATACATTTGAATTTAAATTCAAATGCTTTTCATATTGAAACACATCCACAATAGGAAAGAAGGCTATCAAGCAAGATTAACTCCTATCAAGAGCAAAAGGGGAAGGGGCGGCGGGTAGAGAGAGAAGGGGCCGATTATGGGAGGAAAGGAAAAGGAAATTAATCAAGTCTTCAATCACGGGAGAAAGGATTTAATCAAATATAATTCCAAATTGATTGGAATTTGATTTGAAGAACTTTCCAAAATAGATCTAGTAATTTAGGAAATGTTTTAAATTTCAAACTAATTGGATTTGAATTCAAAATTATTTTCAAATTATCTTCAACCTAATTTAGAAAACGAAAGGGAATGGAGGGAAGAGGCTAGGGGTGAGGTGGTCGGCCGGCTATTGAGGGATTTATGACCGGCGGTTTATATGGATAAAGTGGAGGAGGCTTGTGGCTTTGGAGGTGTTTGTTGGAGAATCAGCCGGTGGCAAGTGGGGGATTTTGGCCGGCGGTCAAGGGAGGAGGAGAAAAATATTTAGGAAAAGAAAGATACAATCGTGAGCCTGGACAAATCCTGCAGCTGACGTGTAATACGTTTCCCTTCTCCAAGGAACTTAAGCCATGAGCCCGGACCCATCCTGCGGATGGTGGAAGCCCCGATTCCCCCCCATAGAAATCTCACCCAAGTTCTCTCCAAAGAACACAAGGGCAAACTTTTTTATTTATTAAAACTCCATCATACCATTACACTACAAGGGTTTCTATATATAGGCATCAGAAAATAAAAGAAACTAAAATAAAACGATCATGCCGCTAGGGCTTACATAAGATTAGACCCATAAGTAAGGGTAAAAATGAAAAATGCATTATTAAAATTAAAATTATAAATAAAATTTAAGATAATGTAGGACGATCACGGCCGTCGATCTTCAGCTCCTCCTCGGATAGGCATGGACGGTTGGATGTCCGCATCACTTGTCTATCTACACTCTATTTTCTCAAATTTTTTTATTTTTTTTGTTTTGCTCAGAAATCATACTATTTCTCCATCATTTAAGTATAAAACTGATTTACAGACATGTTTCTACAGAAAGTTCGTATTCCTATATAAGATACATTTCTTACTGAAAGGTTTAAAAGATTTTTCGAAAAGAAAAAGTGCTTTGTTGACTCATGATTTGGACTGTTTTAGTCATGATTAAATGATCCAAGATTTTGACATCATTGGCTTGGATCAGCTTGAATTTGATATTTATCGACCTAGGGATTTGGTTTCATGCCTGTTGACCAACTAAATAGCTTAATACAGGTTTAGTGAAGACCCTTAAAGCTGTTAATGGGACTACCTGGCACGATACTTTCTTAGGTCTTTGGATGGCCTCTCTTCGACTCGTGCAAAGAGTAAGTTGTTCTTTCAAAGATCTTCTGGAACTGATTATTATGTGCAGAGAGACTGAGGAAAATGATACTATTTTGTGTGTTAATAGGAAAGAGAACCTCATGAAGGCCCTGTACCTCGGCTTGATCCGCGTTTGTGCATTTTGCTTTCAATTACAACACTAGCAATTGCTGATATTATTAAAGAAGAAGAAGCTGAAATAGTTGATGAAGTGGAACATAGTAACCAATGGAAATCAAAAGCAGTGGGCGGAAAATGTCGTCAAGATTTAGTCTCCTGTTTGCAGATACTTGGTGATTATGAAAGCCTGTTGGCTCCTCCTCCATTATTTATCTCTGCTGCCAATCAGGCTGCAGCAAAAGCTATGATGTTTTTGTCAGGTCTTCCAATTGGAAGTGGATATTTAGAGTGCCCCAACATAAATGACAATGCAATTAATTTATGTAAGTTATTTTTAGAGCACTTTGAAAGATTGAGTATAATAATTAGATTATTTGGTTATTTTGCTTGCTTATACTGAACCTATATGCAGCTGGAAATCTGTGGCACTTGATTATTGAGTCCTGTATTTCACGGAAATTAGTGGATACATCAGCTTACTTTTGGCCTGGTTATGTAAGTGGAAAGATGAAACCAATGCCTCATTCCTTACCCGGCCAGGTTCCTGGGTGGTCCACATTAATGAAAGGAGCTCCCTTAACACCTTCGCTGGTAAATTCTTTGGCCAGAAGTCCTGCTTCAAGGTGTGTATATTCATAGGTAGTCAGAAGTTAGTATGCTACCCGCCATAGACCTGTGAGATAGTCTTGTTAAGATTAAAGTCAGTAGGAACGTAACAATTTATTACATCATTATTTCATACATCATGTACTTTTATCATTTTGCTAATATAAAGCTTGAACGAATCTATTCATCATCTCATTTTACAAGCTGGTATTAAAAAATCAAGTTGTTCTTTTGATACTTCAAGCTTAATTCCAAATAAATATTTACTGTGAAGGTTATAATCTTCATCCTCCGATGTTTTATCCATTTTGAACTATAATTTGCATTTAATCATTAAGGGAAGTTCTGATCTGTGAAATTTTAATGTTTACACGAAAAAATTTCCTGGTGAAGTCACTGAATCAGCTCTTATAAATTTTGGAAGTTTAGCAGAGCTTGAGAAGATCTTTGAAGTTGCAATTAATGGATCAGATGATGACAAAGTATCTGCAGCCTTCATTATTTGTTCAGCATCTCTTATCCGTGGATGGGGTATCCAGGTAGTTGATGAAACCTTCATTTTTGTATCAGTAATGCTGGCTTTACGAAGTTGTGTTTCTTTATCAAAATTTATGCTGTTAGCGGCTTGCAAGTTTATTCTGCAGTTCCTTTTTCTTAGTGAGCATTGCTAGTGTTTCTCTCTTATGATTATTGTTAAGTTCAGCTCAAAAAAAAGTTCAGCTCTTATGATTATTGTTACCTCTTTAATCCTTTTCAATGTTCCAGGAACACACAGTCCGCTTTGTTGTAAAACTGCTCTCACCGCCCGTCCCTGTTGATTATTCTGGAACTGATAGTCATCTCATTTGTCATGGTCTTATGATGAATGTTGTCCTTACAGGAATATCATCTGTGGACTGTGTTCAAATTTTCTCTTTTCATGGTCTGGTAGGCAACAACGCACTATATGTCATGTGAAAAATGATTAGTTGGATATGAGTGCCCCTTCAACTCGTTTTTTGCATTTCCAGGTTCCAGAGCTTGCAGGGGCATTGATGGCTATATGTGAGGTTTTTGGGGCTTGTGTTCCAAACATTACTTGGACAACATCTGGCGAAGAAATTACTGCTCATTCGGTCTTCTCGAATGCATTTATTCTTCTATTGAGATTATGGAAGTTCAACCATCCTCCGCTAGAGTATTGTATCATGGGTGATGGAGCTCCTGTTGGGTCACAGCTGACTCCAGAATACCTTCTATTGTTGCGCAATGCAAGTCTACTTTCTTCTTGCAATTCAACCAAAAAACGTGATGGCAACAGTCTATTGTCAACAACATGCTCGTCATTACCACAACCTATTTTTGTTGATTCTTTTCCAAAGTTGAAAGTTTGGTACAGACAACATCAGGCATGTTTAGCATCAACTCTTTCTGGCCTAGTTCATGGAACTCCAGTTCATCAAAATGTAGATGGCCTTTTAAACATGATGTTTAGGAAGATTAACAAAGGAAATAACCAATCAGTTGGCCCTGGAACATCTGGAAGCAGTTTAAGCAATTCTTCTGGTCCTGGAAGTGAAGATTACCATGTTAAGCCAATGCTACCAGCATGGGACATCATGGAAGCTGTTCCTTTTGTTGTTGATGCTGCTTTGAGTGCTTGTTCGCATGGTAGACTCTTCCCGCGTGAGCTGGCAACTGGTAAATCAGATTTTTTTTTTGTTGGACCTCCTGTTATTGTGCAAACATCTTCACATTTTTATTATATATTATTTCTTTCCTACTCGATATATGATTTCCTTTCTGGATTTGCTATTTTGATTGTATCATATTCCTAAGTAATCGCTAAATTCATTAACCATCTATATTTACTTCTCGTTAACGTGCATTGCTTGCAAGTACATCAGTTCTGTCTTTGTTTCTTTACACATCTTGGCAAGTGCTTCCAGAAGCAAATGGCCAGGCATTGGCTTCATATTTCTTCGTCATTGTTGTTCCATACTGTAATGATTCCCTGAAATACTAGGGAAGTTTTGACAATCTTTCGATCCCAAATTCTCCCTAGACAATGAAAGAGAAGGGTTTTCCTGTTCTAGTATCTTCCCAAAGCGAACGAACTGTTTCATGAATTATTAGATAATGTTTTAGCTCTTTTCTCCATGAAGGATTTACATAGTAGAGGATGCCGGTATCTCCAACAATGGAGACAGGGTCCAAGCATGCACCACATATATGCAGGCTTATGCTCCATATATGGTGGTATTTCATGAATAAATCCATACAAACCTCATACTCATGCAGACATCGAGACATTTTTGTTAAACTTTCGTGCATATTATCCTTTTCAAGAGCACTTTAGTCCGGGCACTGTTGGTCAGATCCTTGAACATATTAAGTAATCCCTATTTTTGCTAGAATGTAGAGATCCAATTGCCCATTTCTAAAACCAAAGTGGTGAATTGCACTATTAAGCAAACTTCCACTTTATGATTTGATTAACAAAATGTAATAATCATTTTTAAGGTGCTGTTCTTTTTAGAACTCTTACTTGGCTAAATACAGTGCAGCCTTCGTACAATCAATTGGTTGGTCTGTGGTCCTGATTTTCTGGAAGATAAAATTTTTTGGTCTTAAACTTTTGTGCATATTACTACAATTCCAACTCAATGACAAACATGCGGCCTTTCTTTTAGGTTCAATATATCACTAGCATAAGGAAAATACTGTACAAATCTACTTGACGTGTATACAAAGCTGATGGTTGCTTGTCAAACTGTTACTCGCTTTTAGGCCTCAAGGACTTGGCTGATTTCCTACCGGCATCTCTTGCGACTATCGTAAGCTACTTTTCTGCTGAAGTAACTCGTGGAGTCTGGAAACCTGCTTTCATGAATGGCACTGATTGGCCTAGTCCTGCTGCAAACCTATCAACTGTCGAAGAACACATCAAGAAAATTGTGGCTGCTACCGGTGTTGATGTTCCAAGCCTTGTTGCTGGTATGTGCATGGTCCTATTCAACTATTGTTACATTTCTTAACAAATTTATTTGTGTACGTAATATTTGAATCTCATATAAGCTAACTCAAGAAAGATAATGGACAAGAAAGAATGGCCTGGGTGCATTATAGCCACTATTATTCTTACCCGTTATCGTTAAATTTATAGACTCGTTTATTTTATGGTTATTGGTGAAGAGAATAAGAGGAATATGTAATCTACTAACATGGATATAGTTATGTGGGAGATCCTAATACAAACTTAAATGAATGTAAACTGGAAAACAAGGTAAATTGCTAAAAACTTCATCAGGCCTTGGGTTTTCTTAAACTTGAGTTACATGATTTCAGTGATCTTACATGCTGCTATGTTTCATAGTTTTAGTTATATTTTTATGCTGGGGATTTGTGTGAAAAAAAAAAAAACAGAAGACAGGTTTTAAAATCTTAAACCAATGCCTGATTTTCGATTATTGTGATTTTATTTCATTTCCTTCATTTTCCTTAATTTCAAACAAAGACTTAATATTGAAGTTGAAAACATCAATATTCTCCAACAGAAGTTGAAATGGCTAATATATTCTAAGTTAATTTCTACTTTTCAGCGATTGCTCTCCTTTTCTCACACATGCCATCTAATAAACCTTTTCACGTAGGCACGCACCGTACTACAATCATCCTTAATGCCCCACCTCTGTGTCTTTCTTCTCTCTCTCTCTACCTCTCTACTTTTGGCTTCCACTCAAAAAAGCATTAGTCAGGTCGAGAAGGCGGAATGCTTTGTGCGAGCTCAACAAAACTCTATGGAAGAAGAAGAATCAAGACATAATACTAGTCTATTCCTTCATGAAAATAAAAGTTACGATTTATATTTTTGTCTCCTTTTTCAACTATGCATTTTATAAGTTGATAGCCATTTAGGTAGGAATCAAAGTTAAAGAGAATAAAAAGCTACATGACTAAAAAGGAAAGTGGACCAGTGAAATTGTGGAATAGGATGTAGAGATGATTGAGGCGAGTTTTGTCATTCAAGAAACTGAGAGAAAGATGTGGTAGTGGGATTTGGAACTGGAGACAAACTTGTTACGTGAATGATTGAGACTAGGGTTTGTAGTGTTTGAGTGAGTACATCAATCCTCTTGGTCTTTAGACAAAATGGATTGCGAATTCAATTCGAGGACATCAACTGCATTAAGTGGGTGATGTTTAAAGATATCTTTGGCAGTAAAATTTTTTAGATCTTTGGATGATTAAATAAACCAATTTTATATGCATTCTCCCCAAGTTTCTTTTTGATTGCAAAACCGACCATTCTTCCTAGCTCGTAGTTCGTGAATCATTCTTACTGGTTGTTGATGTTTCCTAATAGGATCATTACAAGGTTGCCTTTTTTGAACAATTTATGCTGACTGATTTGTGCATTGCAAATATTGGAAAGGAGGCCGACCTATGGATTGATTAATCATACTATTGAAGGCAAATTCACTCGAGCAAGCACTTCATCTCATTGCTTTGGTCTATCACTAGCAAGACGTTAGATTATGGAGTCGAGAGTGAGGTATTCCACCCTCATTTGTCCATTAATTTGAGGATGACAGGCACTGCCAAGTGTAAGGAAACATTAAATTTATTTTAGTAGGTAGCATTTGAATCTCATATGAGCTAACTCAAGAAAGATAATGGACAAGAAAGAATGGCCTAGGAGCATTATATCCACTATTACTCTTACCCATTATTGTTAAATTTATAGACTCGTTTATTTTATGGTTTTTGGTGAAGAGAATAAGGGGAATATATGAACTGCTAACATGGATATGGTTATGTGGGAGATGTTAATACAAATTTAAATGAATGTAAACTAGAAAAACAAGGTAAATTGCTAAAAAACTCTATCAGACCTTGGGTTTCCTTACACTTGAGTTACATGATTTCAATGATCTTATATGCCACGAGGTTTCGTAGTTTTAGCTGTATTTTTATGCTGGGAATTTGTGTGAAAGAAAATGAGAAGACAAGGTTTAAAAGCTCAGATCAATGCGTAATTGTCAATTATTGTAATTTTATTCATTTCCTTCATTTTCCTTAATTTCAAACATAGACTTAATATTTAAGTTGAAAACATCAATATGTTGCAATAAAAGTTGAACTGACTAATATTTGCTAAGTTAATTTCTACTTTTGGGCGGTTGCTCTCCTTTTCTCACACATGCCATCCAATAAACTTTTTTTCACCTAGGCACCGTACTACAATCATCCTTAGTGCCCCACCTCTGCGTCTCTCTCTCTCTGTCTTGTCCTTTACTGTTGGCTTCTACTCAAGAAAGCATCAGTCAGGTCGAGAAGGCGGGATGCTTAGTGCGAACTCAACAAAACTCTATGGACAAAGAAGAATCAAGACAGAATACTTGTCTATTTCTTCATGAAAATCAAAGCTATGATATATTTTTTGTCTCCATTCTTTCAACTATGCATTTTATAAGTTGATAGCCATTTAGGTAGGAATCAAAGTTGTAGAGAATAAAAAGCTACATGACTAAAAAGGAAAGTGGACCAGTGAAAGTGTGGAATAGGATGTAGAGACGACTGAGGCGAGTTTGTTCATGCTAGAAATAGAGAGAAAGATGTGGTAGTGGGATTTGGAACTAGAGACAAACTTGTTACGTGAATGATTGAGAATCGCAACGCTACGATGCTGAGCGTGAGAATCGCAACGCTACGATGCTGAGCGTTGGCGTTGTAGTGTTTGAGTGAGTACATCAATCCTCTTGGTTTTTAGACAAAATGGATTGCGAATTCAATTCGAGGGTATTAACTGCATTAAGTGGGTGATGTTTAAAGATATATTTGATAGTAAAAGCTTTTTGATCTTTAGATGATTAAATAAATCAATTATATATGCATTCTCCCCAAGTTTTTTTATTGCAAAATCTGCCACTCTTCCTAGCTCGTAGTTCGTGAAGCATTCTTACTGGCTGTTGATGTTTCTTGATATGGATCATGACCAGGTTTCCTTCTTTGAACAATTTATACCGACCGATTTGTGCACTGGAAATATTGGAATGGAGGCCGACCTATGGATTGATTAATCATACTATTAAAGGAAACTTCACTCGAGCAAGCACTTCATCTCATTGCTTTGGTCTATCACTAGCAAGGCGTTAGATTATGGAGTTGAGAGTGAGGTATTCCATGCTCATATGTCCATCAATTTGAGGACGACAAGCACTGCCAAGTGTAAGGGAAACATTAAATTTATTTGAGTACGTTGTATTTGAATATCATATGAACTAACTCAAGAAAGATAATGGACAAGAAAGAATGGCCTAGGAACATTATTGCCACTCTTACTCATTGTCGTTAAGTTTATAGACTCATTTATTTTATGATTATCGGTGAAGAGAATAAGGAGAATATATGAACTACTAACATGGATATGGTTCTGTGGGACATGCTAATACAAAGTACAAACTTAATGAATGTAAACTAGAAAAGCAAGGTAAATTGCTAAAAAACTCCATCAGACCTTGGGTTTCATTACACTTGAGTTGCATGATTTTAATGATCTTACATGCCACTATGTTTCATAGTTTTAGTTGTTTACTTGTATTTTTATGTTGAGAATTTGTGTGAAATAAAATGAGGGAGGTATAACACCCTCATTTATCCATCAATTTGAGGATTACAGACGCTGCCAAGTGTAAGGAAAACATTAAATTCTTCTACGGTACATGCCAAATATGGCTCTCACAGTTTGTCTCGATTAGATGTGATGATTTTTAGAATTCCATGGAGTTCAAAGATCTCTTGGAAAAATAAATTAGCCGCATTGACAACATTGATGACTTTTTTGCAAGGTTTAAAGTGTGTCATTTTGGAAATGTATCATTTTGGAGAAGCTATCAACAGCGAAGAACACAATAAGAGGCGCGGCTCAGCGCAATTTTAAACTTTTAAGCCTCGAAGCTTATGCAATGAGAGCCGACATTGAGGCGTACGCCTCAAGTTCACTGATGTGCGCATCGCCTCATGTTTTAGAGGTGTTCGCCTCTTAAAATAAAAAAAACCCTAACCTCATGTTTTAAATGCGTCTTTGGTCATTTCCGAATCGAAACTAGGTTTCTCCTCCCTTATTCTTAGAGCGAAATTTTCCCCTCTTCCTGAGTTACTTCCATTCGACCAGCGTCTTCTTCCTTCCACCATGAGTTGCTCTTCGCTTATTGCTTGGAGTTCTCTTCTACCGCGAATTAGGCTGGAATCTCCTTCGACCAACCGCTGAAAGCTCTTCTTCTTCATGGTTCCATCTATCACCTTATTGTGAAATACAAGATCGATCCGTTCTGCCATAAGAACCTCCATATTCTGCTAAGTTTCCACAATTTGTCTGTCTGCTCAGTACCGCTTGGTATCACTCAGTATCGCTAGGTACATTCTCGGCACTACTTGGTACAACAATACTTAGTACCACTAAGTACATGTTCGGTATTGCTAGGTACATGCTCGATACCGCTCGGTACTTGCTCGATACCGCTATCTTTGCATACAAACAACTTACGAGCTTTAAAAATAAGCAGAACTTCAAAATTACTTTTACAATAAAAAATATTTTTGGGGGCGCTGCCCCCGGAAACCCTCGCAAGGGCGCTGCCCCTTGACCCTGCGACCTGACCAGGTAAGTCGAACCTTTTAGGGGGCATTGCCCCCTTGGACCCCCGGCTGCCCGACATATTGTTGTATTCATCATCTTTAATAATGGTTGTTAGTGTTAGTCTGCTTCTTCATGAGTGCATGCTTTGTATAAGTTTTCTTAATGTAGAATAAATGAAGCATTATATTTAGGGGTTTGATATATTGCACTAATTTATTCTTCTCATATAGGATGATCAGAAGTAAGGATAAAGCTGAATTAGGTCATAGAAAAGATCAAACATGGAAATATAACACTCAGGTAGATGTAGGAGGAAGTGATAAAACATATATCTATCTAAAATGCAATTACTGTGACAAAGTTGTGAAGAGTGGTGTGACTAGGATGAAGGATCATCTTTCAGGGTCTCACAAAAATATTGATCCATGCTCCAAAGTTCCTGATACTGTAAGGGAGGAGATAAAGTCATACATGAATAAATCTACTACGTCAAAACATCTTGCACATAAGCAATTTGAGGATAGAGTTGATGTTGGTTCTTACTACGGGAGTGAGCGCATCGTTAGGGATTCATCTTCTTCGATGAAGCCCATTTCATCTAGGATTAATGAATGATGAAGATCCTTTGCTTTGCGAGGGTGTGTCATCTGATGATGAATGGTATGTAGATGATGAAGTTGAATTGATGCCGTCTGAATTACAAAATGAAGATTTAAATATTTATTTCTTTGATGGTCATAAATCATCTACATCCACCACAACTCAAAAATAAATCAAAAAAGATATATAAATAATATAGCTTTCTTTTATTAATGTATTACATTATTATTAATTTTAATATTGTTAAAAAATATTTAGGGAAGAGGAATATAACTGATTTTGAGGAAGGAGCTGATTGGGAGACATTGGACCTATAGGAGAGGAGGATGGGGAGAGAGCAATTCATCATAATGATTCAAATGAAGAAGCCCTTAGTGATGACAGTGCTGATGACTTATGAGTTCTTATGTGATATGTCATTGCTATTTACTTTTGGAATTATATGTTAATGAAAAGAATACTGTGATTTGGGAAAGATAGAAATTGAGTTGAACTATATTTCATTTTGTCTTATTATTGAGATATTTTGATTTCACTTTATATCTTGTGGCTTTTTATGTTTAATATTTTTTACTCAGTAGTATATAAAAAATTTATCATTTTATGTTTACGCAATCTTTTGATTTTGAGGCTTACGCCTCAAAACGTCTTGAGGCTTATGCCTTGCCTCATGAACGAAAAACGCCTCAATACCCGATTACGCAATTTTAAACATTGCGAATGCAAAGTCTCTTTTCATTCTATCATCAATAAGCCTAGCACAAAATCAATTTAATGTTTTCCTAGTTGTTGGAAATGAGGACAAATGAGTAGTGTCCTATATTTTGGGCATGCATTTTAGGTGGTTGGCAAATTTCACATTGCTAAACAAAATTGGTTGTATCTTGAAGATTCCGCGGCTAAAAGAATTTGTCATCTTCCATGACAATTGTCTTATCGCACCCCATATGCACTGCTAATCGCCCCAATGCTGATGTCAGGTTATATACTCGCTTAGGGAGGTTCTTGACTCAGTATAATTGTTGTATGAAGAACTCACCATTGTTCTACTACTGGTTGCACCTTAGTTTCACTGAAGTCTTCGTCTTCGACATATATTTCCTCAAGGACATCGAATCTAATTAGTTTAGGTTGCAGCGTGGCTGGCATGACATCAACAATTTGGTTTAGAATTTCAGTCCATTGCTTGAAGAAAAATGTAAATTTTTGAAGGAATATCATCCACATAGCTTGAATTCGAGATAGATACTTTTGAGAATGAATATATTGAAGTGTCTGATGATCTTTGTGGAGTATGAATTCAATTTCTATATTTAATGCGCCATACATTGTAAAATACGTATATACAACTCTTGCACAACTATGGTGCTGTGGACGGACTTGTCACGCAGATATTGAGAGTCGCGGTGGCACAGCACTAGTGATTGGTGCTATGGTGCTGGAGCAACTGCATCACTCAACCTGTTTGTTTCAGAGTTGGGGAGCGTTGGGTTAGATAAAATAAAGGCATAGAGGACACATGTTGTATTTTGTCAAGGTCAAGTGAGAAACTATTCATGTTTAGAGGGTAAAAATCTGGATCAATGACAAAGTCGATTATTTCTACTTGGTGATTGTACATAAGGTCATGCTTTATCCATTACAATGAACTTTTTATGGTCAAGTTGTATCCGCAAATCATATCCATTTTCTAAGCATACAATGACATTTATGTTTTACTTTTTCCTTGAATCGACTTGCTGATATATTTCGCATTATATGAGGACAGGAGGAATCTCCCAAGCAACACTTCCATTACCTCTGGCAGCTTTTGTAAGCCTCACCATAACATACAAGCTTGACAAAGCATCTGAACGGTTCCTCAACCTTGCCGGACCTGCTTTGGAGAATCTTGCTGCGAGCTGCCCGTGGCCAAGCATGCCAATTGTTGCAGCCTTGTGGACTCAAAAAGTTAAGCGCTGGAGCGACTTCCTCGTCTTCTCCGCCTCCAGAACCGTCTTTCATCACAACAATGACGCCATCGTACAGCTCCTTCGCAGTTGCTTCACCGCAACACTTGGCCTCTCCGGCGACCATATGTCAAGCAATGGCAGTGTCGGCAGGCTTCTCGGTCATGGATTTGGCTCTCATTTCTGCGGCGGTCTTTCACCGGTCGCCCCCGGAATTCTATATCTTCGTGTCTACCGTTGCATAAAAGACATTGTTCTTCTAACCGAAGACATCCTATCTATCATGATGCAATCAGTCAAAGAGATTGCAGACACTGTTGTATCGAAAGAGAAGATTGAGAAGCTGAAGAAAACCAAGCATGGACAACGATATGGCCAGGTATCATTAGCCACTGCCATGACAAGAGTGAAAGTGGCTGCGAATCTTGGTGCTACTTTTGTGTGGCTATCAGGAGGATCAGGTCTAATACAAGGCCTTTTCCAAGAAATGCTTCCATCTTGGTTCCTGTCTGCTCATGAGTTGGATAAAGAAGGAAGCAGTGGAGGTTTAGTCTACATTCTGGGAGGCCATGCTCTAGCCTACTTCACTTTGCTCTGTGGCATGTTTGCATGGGGAATCGATACGACTTCGCCGTCGAAGCGAAGGCCGAGGGTTGTCGAAGCTCACATGGAATTCCTGGCAAGTGCACTGGATGGGAAGATCTCACTTGGCTGTGATTTGGCGCTATGGCGCGCTTATGTGTCTGGGTTTTTGGGGTTGGTGGTGGAGTGCGCGGCGAGTTGGGTGATGGAAGTGAATCTGGGGGTGGTGAAGCGGCTGAGCAGAGGCCTGAGGAAGTGGAATCAGGATGATCTTGCTCTTGCTCTTCTAAGAAAGCGAGGCGTTGAGGCCATGGGAGCTGCTGCAGAGGTGATTCTTGCCTGTCAATGGTGACTGTAGATAGAGGTAATTAAGTACTTTGCTGTCTCATTTTGTTGTAAATTTTATTTAGTCTATTTAGGGGGTAAATTAAGCTTTGGATTTTACAATGCTTCATTAGTTTAGGGTTTTTTTTAATGATTTGAAAGAACTGCTGTTGCTAACTTGACATTTTTGGCTTGAGTTCTCATCTAATGTATAGATTGGGTTGGTGTGTGTTGTGCCCTTTTTTGCTGGTTTTTTTACTGTGTTTGGGTTTCAATTGCTGCTTCTCTGTGATGCACAAATTTTATAATATTGAAATGGCTTGTCCAGTTAAAAAATATTGAGAAAATTAAAAATATATATGAAAAATGAAATTATGAGTTAATAATTAGAGGTTTTTTTAAAAGATTAATAATTGATTTATTTAGAATATCTATTTTTAAATAATTGTTTATATTTATCTTTTTTAATAATGGTTTATACATATAGTTTTTCTGTCAATGACTTCTACAGCGATAAATATATTAATGAGAAAGTCTTTCAGTCTCAGTGTTACATTTGCAAATTCCACTATTTTTAAATATGCTTTTTATTTATAAGATTTCAGTTTAAATGGTGACTTTTATAGTCAAATTATTAGGCTAAAATCTTTTTATTGGGATGGAATTTTTTATTGTTTTTTAAATTAATTTTTTTAATATAAAATTTCTTTTGAACTGAAGATTTTTTACTCAGAGAAATTAATAATATAATTCATTAATTAATATTCATTCAATAATAATTGTTAAAAGTTCATTATTTTAATAATTAATAAAAAAAAGAATCTTTACATCTATAATACTATTATAAAAGTCATTTGAGTTTTACTCCCAAATAAAATCTTAGCCTTTCATTTTTATTATTCAAATAGAACCATGGCCTTTGATTTTATTATATTATCATGATTAATTGATAATTTAAAAAATAATTAATGTATTATTACTTTTTATATGAGCATAATGTTCATTTAAGCAAATAAATGAAGAAATTATTTAAATTCTTTAATGCTTCTTAGTCTTCCTTTTAATTAAATATTCCTTTGTATTACGCTTTTCGTATCCCCTAAATAAATGAAGAAATAATTTAAATTCTCTAATATTTATTAGTATTCCTTTATATTAATTAAATACCCATTTATATTCCGCTATTCGTGTTCCCTACTCTTCCTAAACTTAATTTAAACCGTAAAAAAAAAGGACACCAAAACAAAACATAACAAAAACAAAAAAAAAACAAAAACAAAAACAAAAACAAAAACAAAAAACAAAACAAAACAAAATCCCGTCCATGCATTTCACACAACCCTTGGAACTCCTATGTGCACCCTTCCTATTCTTTCATTTTGATATAATTCTCAATTCAAAATTATCACAAACTCTTTCATCTCGCTTACGAAGTCTCTCGTGAGAGATGAACTCAGCAGCTCGCTCGTGACAATTGTTCTCTATCGGTCTTCACGTTGCAATTATCTAGCCCTCATTCCACTGTCTCATATCTCCTCACATAAACTCTCGACATGGCATTATCATTTTTTGCTTCAGTCCCTTCTTAATAATGGATTATTATTTAACATAAGAGTTTAGATCCTTTTGTAATGTCAGATTATGCAAGTGACATGTTTCTACTCTTTCTCCTATTTTTTTATCAGTTTCTTCTATTTTATGATATATTTTATCATTGAAATTGTTAACAGTTGCTCGTTCCTCTTTTCACCCTTACAGAGGTTAGCAACTAATCATGATTTTAGTAAAAAAAAATTTCATTTGATTTTAGTAAAAAAATATTTCATTTCTTCTACTACTGATTTCATTTAGAGAAAGTTTCTAACAACTAAAAAAAACAAAGTCTCTCTATTTTTTTTTTTCTTCACATATAAATAGAGACAATGACTTATGGGCTAGAGGTAGTGTACATTTGACCCGTTAATAAGACTGAACAAATGTTAATATTTGTTTTATTGAGATTTCCCCTTTTTTGAAAATGAAGCTAATTCTCTTTTTCTAACGTCTACTTAAATTAAGGGAGACATCACCCATGAATATTCTGATAGTTGTAAGGGTATAATCAAGTTTGGAGATGTTCAGGTCTATTTTATTATATTGAACCATTATAAAAACTAAAGTAAAAAAAATAAATAATAATAAGAAAGCACTGAATTTACACCCCGACTATATGTGAGATTATTGATGTATTCTTCTCTATTTTCATTATTTCCTCTTCAGTGGATGACCGTAAAAAGATGAATCATTCATGTTGGAAAACAAATCGGCGACAAGGGCAACACAAATGTCCAACTTATCAAAAAATTTACATATCTCACATATGAATTTTGATATTTATTTATGCAATACCTAAATATTAAAATAAATTTAAAATTATTCTTAAACCTAACTTTTTGATATGCCTCTTGATATAAAATGAATAAATGATCCCTCAATCTCAGAGTTATTGTTATTAATTATTTAATTATAAATATTTATTATTTGGCTAATACAATTCCATCACTATCAAAAAATAAGGTTATCGCAGCACAAATTTTGAGCTATCGTGGTGGTTTTAACCGCCACAATTTTCTTTGCAGCGGTTCCAAAACCGCTACTAATACGTTGTATATACTATGCGCTACAAAGACATTCAGCAGCGGTTTCACGACCGGCAGGGAAGTAAAACGTATTCTTCTCTATTTTTTTAATTTTTCTCTTCAGTGAATGACTGTAGAGAAAGGAATCATTTATTCTGGAAAGCCAAGCAGCGAAATGCCAACAAAAAGTTTTAACATATCAAAATTTTTACATATCTCTCATATGAATTTTGATATTTATTTATACAATACCTAAATATTAAAATAAATTTAAAAATATTCTTAAACCTAACTTTTTGATATGCCTCTTGATATAAAATGAATAAATGATCCCTCAATCTCAGAGTTATTGTTATTAATTATTTAATTATAAATATTTATTATTTGGCTAATACAATTCCACATAGCTCTTAATTTTATATGAATTATAATATGGTTATAAAAAATAATGAATATTTTTCTCATAAGAGATGATATAAAATATTTTTTTTTTCTCTCGTAGGTTTTTAACTGCTTTGTAATATGAGTTGTGTTTGTAAACAATTTACCTGTTTTTTATTGTCTAATTTGATGCATTGTTAATCTATTTATTATTGTAGCAAATGAAGTAGATATATTTTAATTGAAGAAAATTAGATTTTTTAATTTTTTTATGGACAATATAATAAGTAACTATTTTGAATCATAAATTACCTGTTGAAAATTTGAGGGTGTAATAGTTGAAGATTAAGATCACAAGAAAAACATATTATGATAATTTTGTAATCTTTTGAGTGTCTTAGTGATTTAATAATCTAATAATTTTGAATTTGTTAGATTCGCCTTATCGAGATGCTCAACTATAAACGCATAGGATTTTGAGATTGTTTGATCCGTCAATTGATATCCCTAAGCTTTTAAGTATGTCTTAAGTGCTTGATTTATAATTCATTTGGACTCAGGCCATATCAATCATGATTGTCGCGTCTCATTGAGGGCAAATTATCCTCTTTGTCTACAGTAAAGCGCAGGACCTGCGCTTTACTGTAGACAGAGAGGACTGAACGTGTTCGGTGACCTGATGCAATAATTTGCCCTCATTGAGACGTTAAGTTCAACAATGACTCTACTGAAATTGGAGTTCAAATAATCCTGAATTCAACAACAAGATTTTAATACAAAAATTACATTAAGATTCGTGTCCATTGATCTTTTTTTTTTTTTTTTTGATAAATATCACTTAATAAGTTATTGAAGAAAATATAAAAAATTTCAAAATAGATTAACACTGCTGAAAATAGAAAATTTATCTTTCAATTTACTTATACTAAATTAACACTGTTGAAAAAAAGGGCATTTTTTAAACTAAGTATCATTTAAATTATAATTAAGCGATTAACCAACGAAAAAAAAAAATTTAAAACTCGCCAAAGTCGCCACTTACCTATTTAGGATAAGTCGCCCGTTAAACGGGCGACTTACCTCTTTTCTTTTAAGCCCCGTGGAGACCCCTTCCTGCCCTAAAAGCTGTGTTTCGGCGTGAAGAGCTTCGGCGAGATTCGGCGATCCTGGGCTTATCCGCGAGGTAAGGGTGTTTTAACATTTTTTTTGTATGTTTTCTGTGTTAAATTTATTTCCTTTAGGAGTTTTTTTCATTTAAATGACTTATGGTGGAAGTTTAGGGTTACTTTAGTGATTAGATTTAGGATTTGTGTGTGCTATGTGGTATTTTTTTGTGAAAGCTTGAGGAATAATTTGATTTGTGGAAAAAATATAATTTTTGCTATGATATATTTTAGTAAATGTAGATTCACATTTTTTTTAGATTTATAATATGTTGAACATATATTATATGAAGATTATATAAAAAAAATAAAAGGATATAAGGATATTTTGGATATTTTTGAATAAAATTGAATAAAATTTATATTATATATATCTTAAAATTAATATAAGAATATTTTTGTTCATATTCTTTCGTTTCGTAGACAATGCAATTTTCTTTGTCAAATATGACTACTCTATTCATAGATTCGTGTTATTGTTAGATTTTGATATCGAAGTACAATATAGATATTCATGGGCAAGTAAAATTTTTTCCTATTAAAATAGAAATTTAAATATATTTATTTATCCTTTTGTGAAAAAAGAAGGTATATATTTAAATATATTTAGTTAAATGCTTATGTGAGATTTTGATTATTTCAGTGTAGTAAGATCGTGTTGTGTAATTGTAGGTAATCATAAACGATACTTAGTAGTGCAACAATGTCTGGACGGGGAGCATCTTTTGTTCTTATGTATGATGGGCAGTTGTCTTTAGATGAAAAATATTCACCAACATATGTTGGGGGTAGTTACCGACCGTTGCAAGTGTCTGCAAATACGAACTTAGAGCAACTGAAGATTAGGATTCTAAAATCCCTAAAATATGATACATCGAAGTACTCAGTAAACTTAGTTTGTCATCTACCCATAGGGAATGAGTTCATAGCTTCGGTTGTAGACGATGATGAGGTGTGTCAGATGGTGTTATCGCATGCAGTTGGGCAAATACTTATACTTTATGTAGATGTCAAATAAATTACTACACGTAATATAGCTGTTGATCAACTAACATCTCACATGCACGAGATATATACTTTCGATGGGGTGACAGAATGCAGTCCGACCAATCCAAGTTTCGTGCAACAATATGCTAAGTAAGTTTTTTATTTATGTATTTTTTAATGCATTTTAAAAAATATTATCAACTGAGAAAGTTTTCATTGTTCACAAAATTTCGGTTATGTGATAAAGTGAACAGCATAGAAGTTTTTGCCATGACATTCCTGAAACTTCAGAGAGACCATCAGTTAATGTTGATGATGATTATGAAACGATGAGTAGTGGATCAAGTGAAGCAGGTCCTGATGATTATGATGATCACGCACAATATAATTTAGATGAAATTAATGTTGATATGAATCCTGAAATCCATAGCATTCTCCAAAGTTATTGTTACACGAATGTTGACACTACAGAAAGAATAACAATAAACAATGATTTTGTGAAGGCATATTCATCAACTCAAAAATGGGATGAGGACGTAACAAATGATAGAGCTTATGTTGGTAGCCAAGTCGAGGAAGAATTTTCAATTCCAATAGAACTGATGGAAGGTATGTGTTTTATCAAGAAAGAGGATCTTCAGTTTGCATTACAGGGTTGGTCAATAATAAATAATGTGGAGTATGTCATTGTAGCTTCAAATAGACAGAAATTTACAGTGGTTTGTGCTCAGAGTGGCAGGTCAGACAGACCATGTATATGGCGTTTGCATGCGGGGGTGAGCAAACGTCTGGGGGGCATATGGAAAATATCTTCCATGAAGAACCAACATACTTGTGCAACCCCGATTCTAGCGACTAGACATAGACAATGTAATTCACAATTTATAAGCTACTTTATATTGCCCAGTATCAGAAGGCGTATGGATCTCAAGCCGCGAGAGATTATCGGTCAAATTGAAGCAAAGTTCAACATAAAAGTTTCATATATGAAAGCTTGGGATGCTAGAAGAAAAGCTGTGAAAATAGTATTTGGCAGCTGGGAGGAGTCGTACCGAACCATAAATTTGTTCATGGATGCTGTTGTGTTTTCAATGCCCGAAACCGTTTATAAGATACAAACGTCTGAGAATCATAGATTTGAGAGATTATTTTTCTCTTTTGGTCCATCGATTAAAGGTTGGAGCTATTGTCGCCATGTACTTTGCCTTGACGGCACATTCCTGTTAGGCAAATATCAAGGCACTTTACTAACCGCTGTGGGAATCGATGCTAACAATGGATTATTGTGATGATTTACTTGGGCAGCATCTGGACCCAGATGTTTTGTATCATGACCCATTCAATCCACGGATTACAGCGAAGTTTAGGATGGGACAGGCGCATGCGCAAACATGTGTTTCACTGAGATGGTTGAGGTGGATTTTCTGGAGGGACTCCTATATTGATCTTTATGAGATGGATTTTTGGAGGCATGTACGAGCTTATATTTTGTTTCTGCTTGGATGTCACCTGCTACCAGATACTTTAGGCTCTGAAATTCATTTACAGTACTTGTCATTGATGGAGGATATAGCAATATTCAGGACTTACTCACTTGGAGGTGCAGTACTTGCTCATTTATACAGGGAGTTATTAGAAGCAACGAGACCAAAACGAGCAAACATAGCAGGGTGCATTCACTTATTGCAGATATGGGCATGGGAGCATCTGCATGTTGGAAGACCTCAGCTTCATGTCCCATTTCCTGTTCAGCTCGACGGTCTGAGCGTTGGAATAAGGTAATTTGTTTTATTTATATTATGTTATTTTAATACTATTGCTAACACATTAATACATGTCAAATAGATGGAATGAGGAACGGCTACGGGAGGTACCTGTAGGGAATGTTATGACATACAGGGATGAGCTTGATGGCTTACTAGAGAGTCAGGTTAGTAAATGAAAATTATATTGCCACATTTTATTCATATTAGTTCAATATTATGAAGATTAAATTGTTATATGTATAATGGTACAGGTAATATGGAAACCATACACTATTGAGATTCGTGCACAGGTTCCAGAGATATGCACTTCAGGTCAGGACACTTGGTTGTCTAGAGTTCCTTTGATCAGTTGGAAAAGGGTTGATTGGCATCTCCCTGATCGAGTACTATGGCAGTTTGGATATTGCCCATCCACCGATATCATGCCAATGGATCCTAGTTTTGTCAGAATTGATGGGCGTGGTAAGTCAGATACAGATTGGGCATTATATCACCAGGCCAGTATTGCACTATGGGAGAGCAGGAGAGCATACATTGTTACAACAGAGATTCCTAGGTTGGATTATGATTATAAAGTGAAGCAGTACTTAGCATGATTTCATTCTTGGGCTACACTATACATGCTAAAGGTCCCAGTGGATCCTCCCAGTACATACTATCCAAGATCACCAGCTGAACGTCATATGGTAAGTTTAAGTTATGTAAGAAGAGTTAAATTTGATTATTTGATAAATTTTAGCTTAATTACTTATCTTTGCAGCGAGATTTCTTTGTGAGCATGGAGAGGAGATTGCAACCATATTTCGGAGGTACTGAGGCGACACCTTTGCAGGTTGATGTGAATATTGTTGGAGATATGTGCCAAAGATTGCGACAGCAGATATACATTGACGATGCTCATTATTTTGAGGAGACAGATGCTCAGAATACATCGTTTAGTCCACCCGTTTCGACTACAGATCCATATGATGTTGGCCCATCGTCCTATCCCGATCTTGGTCCCTCTCAGAGCCACTTCACACCAGAGTTTGACATCGCCTCCACACCTCAGTTCATACCTTCTTCCTTGGGAGATCCCCTAGTTACTCAGCAAGATGTTAGTGATCAAGAGCAGCGCCATCTACGTACTAGGCCACTACGAGCACCTCAACATTTTACTCCAGGCACTAATGCGATTCCACGTCGACATAAAAGGAGGCATTAGTTGTATCATATATCTTTTAGTTGCTTTAGTTCCATTTTGTTGTTTATGTAACTTATTATGCTACTATGAAACTATTATTTTTTATCGTAAATTTCATTATGCTCTGGGAATTAGTTCTAGATGATGATAATTATTGAATGATCCAAATATCAAAGGAGTAAATTGAAGGATAACGTAAGAAATACTTGGAATTAAGGTAATTATATAATAATCAAATCTATGTTTCATAAACTATAAGCTATGAGAACCAAATATCAAAGGAGTAAATTGATTTTACGTTATAAAAATCCGCTATAAACATGAATAATCTAGCAAAGTAATTAATAAGAAATTATACAAAGAGGATAAATAAAGTTCATATGATTTTTTAAAGACTTTTTTATGTTTATATATATAAATACAACTCAGAAAAAATCATATTAACTAGTACCCATAGAAATAATTTTATTTAAAATAACTCACAAGGGATAGAAATAATTTTTTTTTTAAAAAAACCTCACAAGGGTAAGTCGCACCGGGTAGTAAATATTCCCGTTACTTTTCAAGTAACGGTCTGCTGAGTCTAAATAGGTAAGTCGCTGTTGAACGAGCGACTTTGACGAGTTTAAATTTTTTTTTTCGTTGATTAATCGCTTAATTATAATTTAAATGATACTTAGTTTAAAAAATTGCCAAAAAAAAAAGCCTCTAATTTTGAACGTTACATTAAATTAAATTGAAATAAATTACATATGCTATAAATATATATAATTCCTCGCATCACAGAGCCTATCTTCGCACTTACGGTCGCGATGAGCTGCGGCTCTTCCCAACCTCCACTTCCTCCGCTTCAGGCCGATAAGCCCAAGCCTGCAAAGCTCTCCTCGTCCAACCTTGAAGCCCTGCGCCCGACCTCAAGTGATGATAAGAAGAGCTCATGGGATGGGAGAAGGCTGGTGGGCTCCGTCGACTACGACAAGGGCGTGAGCCGCGTCTCCGTTGAGGTGGCCGGCGTCGGTCGGGACCAGATACCAGCAAGGTATCGTCTTCGTGTCTACGGCACTCGATGGCAGAAGGATTGGAAGGTATCAGAGGTGGTGGAGCGCCTGCTCAGGCTAAACGACTGGGACGATGTCGACGCTGTCCTCAATTGCTGGGTCGGCCGCTTTGCGAGGAAAAATTTCTCGCTCCTCATTAGGGTACTGGCTCGGCTTCCTCTGGTTTTAGTCTTTGGCAAATTTTAATTCTGAAAGTTATGGCTTTGTGCTTTTTCTGAACCGAATAAGTATATTTGATTGGTAAATTGCTTAATTTTTGTTTTTCATGATGCTCGTAGCAATATATTTATATGGTTTTGTGGGTTCTGAAGTGTTGTAAGCTTGCTGTCACGATGGCACTAGCTGCAATATCTGCAGCTATGCCATTGTTGATAATTCTAAATTTGGTGCAGGTTATGAGAGAGTGAATAACTCCATATGCTTACAAAATATCTAATAACAGAACCTTTTTTCCCCGGCATAATTTATGTCCTAAGTAGCCGAGGTTCCCAAAATCTTTCTTCCACCTTTCCCATGGATTTTTTTCCGGAAACTTGTCATGAAAACTTATTATTTTATTGGAATGACTAAAAAAACAGAATTCACAGTAAAAATTCAAGCATCAGGGCTTTTTTTTTCTTAGAAATGGTAGCGAGTGACCCGTAATTTCATTGAAAAATCAATAAAAAGAAGTAGAAGCAACCCACCCTTCCACAATTAAACATACACACAAAGGAAGGCAATTCATGAATAAGTTGAAGCAGAAGTTATTTGTGCTTTTCACCTGTTCTAAAAACCCCTAATAAAGTGGCATGTTTCAGAACATTAATTAAGTGCCCATTTGTTGATGTGTGTGCTGAAGTAGCACACTTTACATAAACTGGTATTTGAAACCTTGAATTTTGTATTAAATTATTGTACTTTTGGCTTTTTGTGCTGTGGACGTTCATTTTTAGAGGAAGAAAGGAAATTTCCTTTTCTTCTGTCCTCATTTTGAGAAGTTTAAATGCTTGCTGTTTTTTTTTTTAAATTATTTTTTTAAATTTTAAAGGACATAAATTTATCTCAAATAATTTATTAATTAAAACTAGGGAAAGCAATCAGTTATGTATCATGCATGAGTCCATTTGCAGAGAAGGATGATAGTTATATCCCTGCGGAGTTATATTGCTTTTACTTGAGTTACAAATTACATGTGATTTTATTTGTTATTTTTCTAAAACACAATTTGTATTCTTACTTTATTTTTGGAAATTTGAGCCTTTTTTATCGTTTTGGCCTCTGCCGTAGGAGATGAGCATTAAAGGTTCCCTTGAACGTGTTGTTCAAGTTTTTCAGTGGATGAAATCTCAAAAGAACTATTGTCCTCGGACTGACATATACAACATGATGATAAGGTTGCATGCCAGGCACAACCGGATTGATCAAGCCCGTGGTCTTTTTTTTGAGATGCAAGAATGGAGGTATGCATATTAAATGTGTTCTAGATTATGTTGTAATCTTTTCTTAATACATAAAATGTATACCAAACATCACCAGCCAAGCATATAGAAACTAGAGATTATCTAAAGGAAACTTAACATGCTATTTTTTCCTTTATATGCAAAGTTCTTCAACATATTCATGTGTTTAAATTAATTAAAAAATATTCAGAAGGAGCCATGATGAAAGGATCATTTGACTTGAAAGAACACAATACTAGTTTCATGAATGGCTAAAGCACATAAATGAATATTTCCTATTCAAGTGTTATAAGTCTATCCAATGCTGCTAGCATATTTTAATTTGTTCCAAGTAACATTAACAAACCAGTTACATCATCTAACTTTTACTTTATATAGAAGAACTAGCTGAAATATTATGTACCGACCACTAGAACTGGTGTCTATTGATTTCATTGGTTTGTGGATTGAGTCAGATTTCTTCTTAGGATTCCATAATTTTATTTAAAGCAATAAATGTATCATAAACTACTCACCTTCCCATCAACACTACTATCAATGTGCTTGCATCCAAGAATTTTAAAACTATTATGCTTTGTCAGGCATTCCTGCTAGTAGAGTTCCTCCAGCTTACCCCAAGATGGGGTTGAAGTGGTGAACTGAGTGCACAAATGACAAACCTCACTTTGTAGTTTTCAATAAGCTTTTTCAATTCAAATTCACACAAATGTACAGGAGAATATAAATAAACTAATCACATAAAACTCAGTACAGGTGCACTCAAGATGTGAGATGATAGTGTTGTGGTTTATACAAAGCTATATGCACGAGTGGTGCAACTCTTAAGTACAAAAGTGAAGATCAACTCAACCACTCATGGAATAAGGGTTTTGATTTAATTTTATTTAGAATTTGCTTTAAAGATTGGATGAAGGTTGGTTCTGCCTTTTAACATCGGGAAGTGGAGAGGAAGTAAAGAGAGAGAGAAAGCAAGAGGAGAGAAAGATCAGGAGTGAGGGTGGACGAACAATTGACCAACTGTGTGAGATCGAGCATTGTTCCTTTCTTCTTCCTTTGGTCAGACAATGGTAACCGATGGGAGACATGGGATTGTAGGATGGTGGAAGGACCTTTTAGATAAGATTGATGAGAAGCGCATAAAGCCAGGTCAAAGGAGAAGTGTTGGTCTGGTGAACCCGTGTATTGGTTAGGCCATTTTCTCTCGTGTTCTTGTTTTTCTTTTGGTGTTCTTTATTAATTTTTATTATCTAATAGTTTTGCTAATGTCGATTTATAGTTATACATTTTCTATTCTATTTTGTTAATTTTCTTAAATTCATATTGTGAGTTATATTGATTTCAAGTAATCTTTTAGAGCATATGTGAAAATAAGTGCTTATCGTATGAGGATATATGATCTAGTTATGTTTGCAAAAGACATGACTATAAGTGAGTAAGTTTGATATCATCTGGAATTTAATTTTATAGTATAAAACTTGAAATATTAGATCTAAGGGAGTATTTTTTTGGGAGGTCTGTTAGTTATTTATAAAGGTTCTGATATTAGTGTGTGTATATGAATTTTACAATTATTTGAAATAAAATTTAAAGATTAATACAACTATTTTAATGATATGTTAGCTATTAAATTAAAATTAGAAATATTAATTATTATTAATTAAATATAAAATTATATACCTGAATATTGTTAAATAATGCAATTACATATTGATATAGATATTAAAATAAAAGAGTTGGAGTTTCAGGAGTAAAGTGAATCATAAGTCATCTAAATTTGAGATGAGCACTTGTGTTTCTAATTTAGGATAATGACGTTGCTTCTTCTAAATCTAATGCATAATTTATTGTTGATATTTAATTAGATATTATTATTACAATTTATTTATGATTTGTCTGTATTAAATACAATTAATCATATTAAATTGGATGACATGGATTTTCTATCATGATTCAATCACTCATTATAAGTCATATAATGGTTATTATACAACAATATGAAATGATATGGAGAATGCAAATAAAATAATTTATGTAGAAATGCTTGTATGTGCATATTGACTGATGGAAGATATCCAATATGGTATTTACTGGGGATGCAAGATACCCCTGCGCATAAATTGGAAAAGATATTTGAAAAGTGAATGAAAAAGGAAAAACCTTAATTGGCATAATTTAGATTGTGACATTTATGGCTATATTTATAAAAAGGATAAGATACTATATGATTTTCACTTATTCATAATATTATTGTATGTTTCAAGGTCTATTGCAATATCATCTTTAAATTGCATTAACTTTAAAGTTAATTTTTAATTGTTGTAAGAGAAACATACATATTGTTTCAATTTTTCTACAAGTTACTATAATTTAGATATGATGTGTTTATTGAGTTGTGTTAGAATTCACTCATTTTATTAAATAAATATACACAAAAAATATATCTTGAAATTAAATGAGCGTAATAATACAAAACATGTATTGTAAACGTGACGCTACAAGAAAGAGATATTTATTTGTAATAGTTATATTATTTCTTCTCAAAATGAATTTGGAGTTTGAGTGGTTCTTTCAGTATGTTGTAATAGATTGTTATTAGTAATGTTAATGAAGGAAAAATTAAATATCCTTCTGACCATCTATTCCGTCTCATTGATTTAAGCCTCCAGACAGAGTTGTGACAACAACCACGTTCTTGCAGCCATGCTTTCCTTCTCCATCCTTCTTTATATTTAGTTTTGTCGTATTCTTATGCATGGGACTACCTACTCATTTACCTTTCTTATTATTAAAGTCATGAACTTATCATCCTTTCCTGATTAATAATACTGTGGTATTATCTCATTACGTTTCTTATTCGTAATAGATGCAAACCTGATGCTGAAACCTACAATTCGTTAATCAGTGCACACGGACGAGCTGGTCAGTGGCGTTGGGCTACAAATATAGTGGAAGATATGCTTAGTGCTGCTGTATGTATGCAGTTTTGATAATTAGGCCTCCTTATTTTTAACTCTGGTATGCTAAATATTGTGGCTTTTAATGTTTAATTAGCCATTTCTAAAAAAATAGTAATTCTTTTCATTATTTAGTCTAATGAATGCGTTTTAATCAATCAAATTTTTAGATCATGTTGCCCTTTGTAGTGCATTTTTTGTTTTTGTCATCATCAATGTCCTATATCTAATGTCATTTATAAACTTTATTTATAACGGCTAATGTTGTTATCATAATTATGTTTGACATGGACACGGTGCATAGTCTTATTAAAGAATCACTGAATAATTTACAAATATATATTTTTTAATTGATTTGGTTATAAACTGTTTAAACCGTCTTTGCTAAATTTGTGATCATTATAATTGGGCTACAACAACAACAACAACATCAAGCCTTTGTCCCACTACGTGGGCTCGGCTACATGAATCCTTTTTCGCCATTGTGCCCTGTTAAAAATCAAATTCTCATTTAAATCTAATAAAGAAATCTAATATTTTCTAACCAAGTCTTTTTAGATCTATCTCTACCTTTCTTAACATAAGTCAAATCTTATACCTCAACTTTCCTAACCGGTCATCAGAAGGCCTCCGCTTAATGTTGTTGTTGTTGTATAATTGGGCTGAAGTAGAAACAACCTTAGAAACGCCTTTTTGCAGTTTTCTTGGATTATCTTGTACCTGGCCTTCGTATTATTCACAGCCTCATCCCATGGATCACATAATAGTTCTGGGCTGGATAACGGATAAGCATATATACTGAATTTTATCAGTTTTGAATGCAATGCACTCCGAAGAGAGTTTATAAAATATAGCTGAAGTTTTATTTTAAGAATCCCTCATCTGATGATCTAGATTAAGGCTTAATTTGGGATGGCTTTCTTACTGCTTAAAGCAACTTTATAGTACAAAAATTAAAAATATTATACTAGAAAGCTGTTTTAAGAATTAATAAGAAAGTCGTTCCAAACGAAGTCTAAATTGATTAATAAGGGGGAGGATTGCTTTACTACGACTTAGATAAAAAGGAATAGTACCTAACCTTAACCATACCTACGAGTACCTGTAGATTTATAAAAGGTACTATATCGTTACAATTTCTGGCAACGGAGACAACATCATTAAATTGGGAGGCAAGATAGAATTTATTAACCATTTATCTTTTAAAAAATTAATACTTCTATCATTTGGACTCTTCTAATAGATATTAAGGAAGAATGAGTTAATATATTTAGGAATACGTTTACTAAAGTCGGAACAATGAGACATATTAGTCATCCAGAAGTCAAAGGGACAAATTATAGATCAACCAGAAGAACTTTTATTTAGCTGAATAGTCTGCCAAATCCATTTGTTAAGTTGAGACAAATTCATCATACAAAGCTCTTTGATAACAAGTCCACCCAAATATATTCTTCAATCCTGACCTCTTCTTTCCTCATCACCTTTCTTGAAAAGGGCTACTTCTAATAGAATCTATCTTTTTGACAACAAAATTTGAAATTTAGAAGAAACAGAAGTAATAGAGAGGTGGTATTGAAGGAAGCAGGAATTTTGACCACCTTTAAAGAGGAAGTTGCTTTTCTGAGAAGAGAGCTTCTTTTGAATATTTTATATAAGACATGTTGTAGATTTTTGGAGCCTAAAGGTACACCTAAATATTTGAATGGATGGTCTTCATGATAGCACCCCAAAATTTTAGCCAAAGAATAACCAAACCTGTTTGTTTCTCATGGTAAATCGGAGATTATTTGGAGAAAATAATCCTAACTGCACACATTTCTTCTAAGATGATTAAGATGCTTTTAAGAATATTACCTTGAATTCTCCACAACATAGAAGAGCATCATCTTCAAATTTAAGGCTATTAAGAGGTGGTTCCCCATGCTTGAAGTAATTATAAAAATGAATTTTCTTGCAGAATTAATTAAAATTTTTTTTTGATACATTTTTATTATATTATAGCATTCATCTTAAAAAAAAAGTTTCTTTTGTGACCTAGTGCCCGCCCCACTTCAAATCTTCAACAAGACTCCAATCGTCGGTCTTCCTTCTGATGCTACATTTGATGCTTATTTGACCATCTTTGTCTTTTCCAAGTCATGTTTGCACCCCCTGTTATGGCACCATTGGCTAGTTCATTTTGCTAGGCATGTTAAGAAGAAGCTTGCTCACGTGAAGCATCAATCCACACCACGTTGCACCTTGACAGTCATGAGCGTATGCTCACTAGAGGCCACAATTGTCCGCACAATGTTGGTACTGGCTCTGCCCAACCACCATTGATCTTCATGTGGAGAGCCATGTCGTAGATCCAACTAAGTGCTTGCTTCCTCTTTAAAATTCTGAAATTGAGAGGTCGGAATGTGAATTACAAAGGAAGATTAGATAGAATAAGAGAACATGTATAACTTGTTTAATGTGTAAATATTGACGGCCCCGTGTCTATTGTATCTTTCATATAGCTGAAAAGAAAAAAATGCAATCTTGTAAGATTTTAAATATATTGAATTTCTACTATTTTTTTAAACTAGCTGATTAGATTTCTAGAAGCAATGAAATGGACATTAGTTTATTATATTTATTATTATTATTATTTTACTTGATAACACCATGTAATTGCTATTTTCTCTTTCACCACTAAGAACACATCCAAGCAATTCGACCATATGGTTCAAAGTTTAAATATTTAGTCAAACTTAAAAATTAATTTATTATTTTATTTTGCTTTTCTCCTTCCACAATAAGCTGAGTAAAAACTAATTTAAAGTATATATTTTTATTTTCTTTAATTTTTGTTCATCATGTCTATATTTAATCGAAACCTATAACTATATCAGATGTCGTCAACTTTGTCCTTAATTAATTTGAATCAGTTTTCAAGATATTGCTAGTGATTCATCCCTGTTATATAAATGAACTTGTATAATCTTTCAGGAATAAACCTCAATACAATTGTTAGAAGAAACAACATGGTGCATTTTATGAAGAGCATTAGCAATGATGATGAACAAATATGAGAAAGGGCATCACCTAGTCTAAGCCCTTTTCCATTTTTTGAATTGTTTTCTAAGATTATCATTTGTAATCATTTGGAAAGTAGCATGAAACAAAAAATTCGTCCAAGATCTTAGTTTGGGAGAAGAGAAATGATGAAAATCCTATCTGCAATTGTTGAAGGCTTTTATTTTCAAAAAAACCTGAAAAAATCAAGGTTTTCTCTGAATCCACTTCGAAGATTAAAATATCCTTTTTTTTTGCTTGATGAAAGAGTATTGAACTCAATATATACGCTGTTAAACTCGACTTTAGAATGAGCAGTGATCCAAGCGTGTTAACTTGGTCTGCAATCTCAAAAAGCTTACAATTGGGGATTGTATCTAGACCTGTGTTAGAGCTGTCCATCTCGCTCAAGGTTGTGGGAAAGTAATATGATAGAAAGTACTTGAGTTTGCAAGTAACCACAAGGGGGTAATACTTGAGTTCGCAAGCAAACCTAGCAAGAATCGGCAAAAATAGCGAGGTAACGGGCTGATTTCAAAGAGAAATCAGCAAGATCAAAGCAGAATTTCTAGTGGATTGGAGAAGAAAACACGATGAAACTTCCTTGATTCAAACAACAAACAAGAAACACAAAGCAAGATACAATTTTCTTTAATTCGAGAGGAAGAAAGACTCTAAAATCTCTAGCAAATCTAGAGCCCAAGAACACAAACTCTAGATCTCAAAATTGCATTCAATCTCAAGAAACCTCTAACCCTAACCTCCACATGACTAATTAAAGCCAAAAGAAGTTTACAAAATCCTTAAACAACCCCTAATTCAAATATTCCCTCCTAATCGTTGTTTAAAGAAGCAAGTGTGCCCCATTGAAGCCTCCGCCCCCTCCTGGTTCCACTCCGCTGCTGGGCCGCCTGCGATATACTTGAACCTCTCCATGTTGAACTGGTTCAGCCGGCCCCTCCTGGGCCGGCCCCGTAACAATACTCCCCTCCCAAAAACTCACCTTGTTCTCAATGTGAAAAGAAGGAAATTGGAATCTCACTCTGTCGTATGGTTCCCAAGTGACCTCAAACTCGGAAATGTCCTTCCATCTGATAAGCACTTCCTTGTTCTCCTTTTTATCCACTCTGACTCCACCTAACTCTAGTGGTTCTAAAATCACTTCCAGATCCTCTGCCAGTGTATCTGGCAAATCCGCACTAACTGCATACTCCCCTAGAGCTCTCCTCAGCTGCGACGCATGGAAGACTGGGTGTATAGTAGCCGTTGGGGATAACTTCAAGCGATATGCCACGGCTCCGATCTTGTTTACCACCTTCTATGGACCAAAGTACCTCAGAGCCAATTTCTCGTGCCTCCTGTTAGCCACTGATTTCTGCCTGTAGGGCCTTAGCTTCAAGAGCACTTTCTCCCCCCTTCATACTGTATCTCTCCTGTGTTTATTTTCCCACTTCTTAATGATTTGTTGTGCCCTCCCCAGATGTTTCTTTAACTCCTCCAACACCTGGTCTTTCTCCTCTAATTATTGTTCGACTGAAGAGACATGTGTGTTTCCTCTCCCAAAATGCACTAAGTGTGGGGTGTCTCTTCCATAGAGCACCTTAAAAGGAGTCATTTGGGACGCATAATGTTCAAAGTATTATACCAATACTTAGCCCATGGTAATCATTTAGTCCACTTCTATGGTGTTTCGGAAGCAAAAACACCTCAAATATGTTTCCAAACTCCGGTTCACCACTTATGTCTGTCCGTCTGTCTGTGGGTGGTAGGCGATACTTCTTGATGCAAGCAAAAATCCCCAAATTTTTGCAAGCAAAAATAAAAGCTTCATAGGAAATAGAAACGACACAAAATTCCAAAAAAAAAACATCTTTTATATCATATAAAGACACTACAACAAAGGATGCTTACAAACTTATGAAATAAAAATAAAACAACACATACGACTTCCTAAAATTGCATTTCTTCCATTGCTTTGAGAAGAAGGATACAAGTGACTTCGAACTTGCGGAGAGAAGAAGGAGATTAGAAGCCGAGACGAAGAAGGCATAACTCGCAAGTTATCCTAGAAGAAGGAGAAGGGATACATAGCTCACAGGCTATCAAACAAAACCCTCAGGTTTTCTTCCAAAAATCATCACCATAACATCTCTCCTTAATACAAAACACCTACTATTTATAGAAGAGAAAGGGGACCCAAACATCCACATGAAACCATCATCCAAACCAATCAGATAAGGGGAAGAAGAAGGGCAAAAGACATCACAAACAACTCCCAAAAAACTGCACAGAAAACAGGAAGGAGAAGCCACGGGAAACAGCCAGGGAGGGACCCAAAGAGCCAGCACAGGAAACGGCTGGAGAGGTCACGAGAAAACAACCAGGGGGAGAAAACCGAAAAGGCAGCCAACACACAACCATAATTCACAAAGAAGAAACCAAGGAGACACGAGAATGGGAAGAAACAAGTTCCATTCCACATATATTTTCAATTTTATGATCTAGGAAGTGCAATTGCTCCACCTAATAATGAGCTAAACTTCAGCTCAAGCATTTATGAGCTAGAACCAAGAAGATCCCAATTTTTTAGCTCAAAACCAGTGCAGCCAAAGCCCAACCCAAGAGCAGTCATGGCCCAAACCATGAAACAGCAAGCAGCCCAAAGAATAAAGGACCAAAAATGCTTTGACCCACACACCCTTGCCTACATCACTTCTTTTGAAAACAGTGCCCTGCGTCTTGAAAAGCTCCCTCCAAAACTGTCTGAGGAACACATTGTCTCTATCAGACACAATCAACTCAGGAATCTCGTGTAATTTAACCACTTCCCTGATAAATGTTGCTGCCACTGATACTACGGTGTAGGGATGTCGTAGGAGGATAACATGTGCATACTTACTAAGTCGGTCCACCACGACCAAAGTGACTGTGAATCCTTCTGAGCGGGGTAGACCATCGATGAAGTCCATGGACACTTCCTTCCATACTCTGTTTGGAAGTGCTAATGATTAGAGTAATCCTTCTGGTGCCATTGCTATATATTTATTTCTTTGGCACACCTCACACCTTGCCATTTATGCATTGCCTCAATTTTTGACTGATCGGCCGCCACTCCCTCCTGAGACATTACATGTCCCAAATACTCCACCCTAGACTGGGTGAAGCTGCACTTCTTTAGGTTAGCCCTCAGTTGATGTGCATGTAGAATTTTAAGAACCTCTTTCAAGTGCTCCAAATGCTCCTCCTTTCTTTAGTTGTACATCAAAAAATCATCAAAAAAGACCAGCACAAACTTCCTGAGGTGCTGCCGGAACACCCTATTCATCAAAGACTGGAAAGTAGCAGGGGCGTTAGTGAGCCCAAATGGCATCACCAAGAACTCATAGTGTCCCTCGTGCATTCTGAAAGTTGTCTTTTGAATATCATCCTTCATTGTGATCTGGTCGTAGCCCGACTTTAGGTCCATATTAGAAAACACTACTGCTCCATGCAGCTCATCTAATAACTCATCGATCACCAGAATTGGGCAATTTATCCTGTACCATCTCCTTGTTCAAAGCCCTATAATCCACGCAAAACCTTCAGCTCCCATCCTTCTTTTTGACTAGTAAGAATGGACTAGAGAAAGGACTCACACTTAGTCCGACGATCCCTGCCTCCAACATCTCCCTAATTAACTTTTCAATTTATCTTTCTGAATTTGGGGGTAGCGGTAAGGTCGAACACTAATCGGTGACTCCCAATCCTTCAGAAGGATTGCATGCTCCTGCTCTCTGGGTGGTGGTAAGCCTTGGTGTGGCTGGAACACCTCCCTGAACTGCTGTATGAGTGGTTGGATCACCATTGGAATGTCTCCCTCTTCCCTCACACTAACCCTCTCCAAGCATTATAGCTCCACCAAATACACACCTCTCACCTCCTGTATGGATCTGATCATGGATTTAAGAGATACTCCAACCCTAGACAGCCTTGCATCACCCTGGATCATCATCCTATGTCCTTCCACCATCAATTCCATCCTCAGAGCACCCCAGTTGACCTTGGTCTCCCCCAAAGTCTGCAGCCATTTCTTCCCCAAGATGACATCAGTACTTCCCAACTCTAAGCAATGAAAATCCTCTCTCACCTGTATACCTTGAATGGTCAACACTACTCCCCTGCAAACTCCTCTCCCCATCTCCACCTTCCCAGTGCTCATCATCACTCCATATCCTCCTGTGTCCACTAATTTCACCCCCAACAGATTTACGATCTGGTTAGAGATGAAATTATGGGTGGCCCCCAGGCCCCCCACTATCGATAAGCACCACTACCTATCGATCCCCTATTTCTGCCCTCACCTTCATGGTGTGATTTGGTGTGAATCCCACCACAGAGTTTAGAGAAACTTCTGCGACGTCCAGATATAACTTCTCTTCCTCTTCCTCTTCTATCCCGCTCTCACATCCCTCTTCAGTTTCCTCATCATCATAGATGGTGAGAGCCTGAAGAGTTCGGTTCTTACACCTATGCCCTGGCATATACTCCTCATCACACCTGAAACACAACCCCATAGCCCGCTTCTCCTGGATCTCCTTCTCCGTTAGCTTCTTAAAATTTCCTCCAGGCCCCCTCCTCCAGACTTCTCCTTTTGTGCTTCGCGCAAACCTCCTGGTGCAGCTCCTTTAGGAGCTAGAAAGTAGTAGTCATCATGTAGGATCCCCCGGCGCTACTGCCTCGAGCCCCCCTCTCCAGATGCTTCTGGTCCTCGACCATCTGCGCCAACTCCATGGCCTCCCCCAAGTCGTGCGGTCTCATTACTCTAACAGATGTTCTGATCTCCTATTTGAGCCCTTTCATGAAGTTTCCTCATGCACGGTCTCAGATAGACGATTTAGCCTGCTCGTTAGGTACTCAAACCGATCATGGTACTCTGCCACTGTCCCCTTCTGCATCAGGGCAAAGAACTGCTCATAGAAGTCTCCTCCCCTACTGGTTCGGAAACGTTCTAGTAGATAGTCCTTGAACTCCCTCCAGCCTCGATTGGGCTGCCTCATGTCCCGCCATTGGTACCACGTCAGTGCCTTCCCTTCCAAACATAGTCCTGCCGCTGTCAGTTTCTCCTCCTCAGTCAACCCATTGACTGCAAAGTACCGCTCCACCTTGTAGATCCAACCATGTGCATCCTCGACCTCAAAGATGGACATCTTCAGTTTTCTCACCCTCGGGTCACTTCCGTTTCCCCTAACCCCTCCATAACCTTCCATTCCGCGAGGAGGAAATGCTCCCCGGTGGTCACGATCTTCCCTTCGACGATCATACCCGAGCCCTTCCTCATATTCCGCTCTTCTCCTTTCATCTTCAGCACCCTAGTGGTAAAATTCATCACTTCTTCCCAAAAATTCAGCACCCCTCCTGTCATAGCCCTTGCTCATCTCCTCTTTAGAAAGTGGTTCTAGAGGAGCATTCCATCATTCCTCTCAAGGATCTCTACTTTTGGATTCTCCCCCCTAAATGGGTTCGGATTTCCGCATCTCCCATTGTCATCAGTGGTCTCCTTCGATTCTGATGTCGTCGGATTTTGTTTGCTTTCAAGCATATTTTTCATCATGTCTTCTAAGGCGGTGAACCTCCTATCCATCTTTTCATGGATGGAAGCGAATTGATTTTGAAAATCAGTTGTTCTTTTCGCAAAATCGGTTTTCAGTTGGCCGATTTCTTCCTCCAATACTTCTACTTTCCTTCCGGCCATCTTCCTTCCAAAGGTTTCCGAGAAGACCTCTTGCAGATGAAAAATTCCTTGCTGAAATTTCTGGATTTCAGCCGCTGATGGTCCCAAGACAATGCTCAGATACCAATTTGATAAGTACTTGAGTTAGTAAGTAAACACAATGGTAATACTTGAGTTCATAAGCAAACCTAACAAGAATCGGCAAAAACAGCGAGGCAACATGTTAATTTCAAAGAGAAATCAGCAAGATCAAAGCAGAATTTTTGGTGGATTGGAGAAGAAAACATGAAGAAACTTCCTTGATTCAAACAACAAACAAGAAATACAAAGCAAGATACAATTTTCTTCAATTCGAGAGGAAGAAAGACTCTCCAAATCTCTAGTAAACCTAGAGCCCAAGAAAACAAACCCTAGATCTCAAAATTGCATTCAATCTCAAGATACCTCTTAACTCTAACCTCCAAAAGACTAATTAAAGTCAAATGAAGTTTACAAAATCCCTAAACAACCCCTAATTTAAATATTCCCTCCTAATATCTGTTTAAAACAGCAAGTGGGACCCATTGAAGCCTCTGCCCCCCTACTGGGCCGCCTACGGTATACTTGAACCGGTACATGTTTGGACCGGTTCAGCCGGCTCAGGATGGGCCGGCCCCATAACATAATCAAGAATCTGTCATGCGAGACAGAAGATTTGCTTTGGAGTTGGCAAGCACACAGTTTTTAAAAAGATGACAAGATCCCATAGTAATAAGCCAAAATTCATAAGAAAGAGGCAAAAAAGAGAGGACATCTCGAGGTAATGATGGTTTATTAGAGCATTTCCTTTTTACATTTATCTAATGCTGTTCTCTTTCTACTTTTGATTTATTTCATTAATTTATGAAGTGCAGCATTTCTTTTTATGTATGTTCTTTTATGTTAAGCTTTTGCTTATAGAAATTATTTGAAAATTGACAGATGCGAAATTGGGCGCACACAAGCTCTAAGGACAAGTCTTCTACTTTTATTTTGCTACTGATCCGTTATTTACCTTAGTTTGCAGAATATAACATTGATTATAAACGTAGTTTCAAATATATATTTTCAGTTTAAATTCCCCATGTTTTTTTTTTCAGATTCCTCCTACTCGATCTACTTACAATAATTTGATAAATGCTTGTGGATCAAGTGGTAACTGGAAAGAGGCACTGAAGGTTTGTAAGAAAATGACAGAAAATGGTGTTGGGCCAGATTTGGTTACTCACAATATCATTTTGTCTGCTTTTAAAAGTGGTGGTCAATATGCCAAAGCGCTTGCTTACTTTGAACTGATGAAGAAAACAAATATTTCTCCCGACACGGTTACTTTCAACATTGTCATACATTGCCTTGTTAAACTTGGACAATATGGGAGAGCTGTTGATGTATTTAACTCATTGATAGGCAAAAGAGCAGGATGTTGTCCAGATGTTGTAACCTTTACCAGCATCATACATGCATATTCTATTTGTGGACAAGTTGAGAACTGTAATAAGGTGTTTAATATGATGCTTGCTGAAGGGATGAAACCTAACATTGTTTCATTTAATGCACTAATGGCTGCCTATGCTTCACATGGAATGCATGATGAAGCTTTTGCAACTTTCAATGAAATTAAGTATGCGGGTTACCGACCTGATGTTGTGTCCTATACTTCCTTGCTTAATGCTTACGGTCGATCAGGGAAGTATAAAGAGGCTAGGGGGATCTTTGACATGATGAAAAAGAACTCTTGTAAGCCAAACAGAGTAACTTACAATGCATTGATTGATGCTTATGGATCTGCAGGAATGATTTCAGAGGCTGTCCAGGCCCTTCGTGAAATGGAAGGGATTGGTATTCAGCCAGACAATGTCTCTTTGAGTACTCTTCTTGCTGCTTGTGGTCGCTGTGGTCAAATTGTAAAGATCAACACTATACTTTCAATGGCTAAGTCCCTGGGCATTGAATTGAACACCGTTGCACACAATTCAGCTATTGGGAGTTATATGGCTGTTGGTGAGTACAGAAAAGCTGTGGCTTTCTATAGGATGATGATAGAGAAGAATGTTAGACCTGATACTACCACATTCAACATATTAATAAGTGGTTCTTGTAAGTTAGAAAAATTCAATGACTTTTTTGAGTTTTTGGATGAGATGAAAGAATTGAACGTTCCTTTATCCAAGGAAGTATATTCTTCTTTAATCTGTGCTTATATTAAGCAGGTAAGTTAGTGACTTTATCCAATACCTTTAGATTTCAAACCACCTTGCCCCACTCCGTCCTCAGTAAGTTCTGTTTTAGGGAAACTTAGCAGAAGCTGAAAAAACTTTTGCAATGATGAAGGCTACTGGTTGCATGCCTGATGTTATCACATACACTTCCATGATAAATGCGTACCGTACAACAGGTAACACTGCTTAGATAATGGGTTTTCAAACAATATTAATCAAAGTTTTTTTGAAGGAAAAATTCTTTGTTTGTTTTGCATTGTTTTAGATGACTGGAAGAAGGCATGGGATGTTTTCGTGGAAATGAGAGTGAATAATATCAAACCAGATCCCATTGCATGCTCAGCACTCATGGAAGCTCTCAACAGAGGATGCCAATCAGCAATGGTTCTTCAGTTAGCAAAGGTGATGAGAGAAGAAAGCATCCTCCTGAATTCCCGTGCCTCCTTTGAGATAGTATCAGCTTGTAGCATGTAAGTTTACAGAATATAGTCTTTATAGTTTAATGTACTTGGATATAAGACCTGGACTATTTTATCTCATAGAAATCCACTATCACACTTAGAGTTATTATAACTTCTATATGTTGCTAACAACACTACTCCATCGGATGCATTGTTAGGGACATCCCTGAAATTCACATGCTTCCTTTAAGAATAGTAACAATCGGCTTGTAACATGTAAGTTTGCGCAATGTAGTTTGTTTCGTTTTAGTAGTTAAAACCATCTTCTATCTCCTTTTTTTTTTGCCTTTCTTAGTTATCATTTGTCACGCCTTGCCCTCATTGGCTCTAAAAACTTTAGTAGTACAGCAACTTGATGGTCTGTTACTAACAATTTATAATTCATCCAATTAACACATAAATTTGCATAAACAACTCGAATCCACAAATGACATTTTGGTGCAACTATTTCCAGTCAATCAAGCAGTTTATCTACAAATTCATAAATGATTATCTACAAATTCATAAATGAAAATCTAAGTATTACATCCATTCATCTCAGAAGGTCTAAGCCACAATATTACAATGTATTTCCCCAGGGAAACTCCAATGCAAGTCCCCACGCGCTACACTAACAGTACCACTTAGTTATTAGAGCTATCCAGTTAATATCCAGCTAGCTTACCCATAATCCAGTGCATCTCCTGATCTGTCAATGTCTGTTTGGTGAACATTCAATTTAAAAATGACAACATATATCAGGGTGGATCTCCAATCCCGTTCTTGTTCGCAAGCAGCAGCTTCCATCAGTTTCGACCTCCCGATCTTGCTATGATCTCTCGACCCAATTCCGTCCGGCCCAGTCCTAATCCTTCACTATACCGAACTCCATAAGCCGTTTACCTACCCAATTCCCTTGCTTGACCCGTTCCTCACACCAGAGCTGGACGACCCACAGCTAGCCACTTCCTTCTCTGCTCTGATTGAAAAACTCGACGCCCAACCCTGTTTGATTCTTGCAGTAGCCGACTGCTCCCCTATCCACCTCTAGCCGAACTCCACCCATCAACCCCTCACTCCTGATTTCCATTGCCCTCTACCCGCTGAAGTCCACACATGACATCCGGCTCAGCTGTGCCGATCCGTCGTTCCCATTTGAATAACTACCTTTTATGTTCGCACTTCCACCTCAAGCCGCGATTCCCAGCTTGTTCGACAACCTTACCTGACGCCAACACCGTCTATCCCTCCTGTCTGAGACCTCGATCTCACCCTTGCCAAACTAAACCCCCCCTGCTTTGTTTGTTTCGTTCATTCATGCGACCCAAACCCACTTTCTTCCTTCATTTGAGCCATCCAACAGTTGCCAAAACATACTCCTCCTAGCCGAGCCTCCTCCATTCCCTCTCCTGCAAGAGTTAAAACTTCCTACTCCTCACACTTAACCAAACACCTTTAAACTACTAAACCCCACTCAAAATAGCCCTTTCTTGCCCTTCTAACCAAATCAACCCATCTCCTCAACAGCCCACTTAAATCACCTCCACTCACTCAAACTTCACACACAACAACAACCATCTATCTCACTTAAACCAACAGCATTTATCTTTCTCTCACCTCTCTCTCTCTCTCTCTATATACAACAAAAAGAAGAAGTGGGAAACTAAACAGTATTGTGGCATTTGCCGTCGTCTTTGCTTCAACATCACCGTCACCTCTTTGCTCACAAAGGTATAATGTTCTCAAAATTACAAAAACCCAAATCCTGTTTTCTACGCATGTGGCGCAGTGAGCGAAATTCCCATACACGCTTTTCTTAATGTGGTAGGAGGGAGATCGATGCGATGCTTGCGGCAAGACGGGTAGGCCCTGTACACACTTTTTTTAGCATGGTATGGACACTCCTAAGTACTCGTGCATGTGCTTCTATAGCTGCAGAGAAAAACTACAAAATTTTCATAGAGGTATCTTGAAGACCCATACACGCTTTTCGTAGTGTGGTGGGGTAAAAAATATCAGCAGTGGTGTCTCCCAGCACTTATCATACACACTTTTCTTAGCGTGGTGGGAATGCCCATCCCCCTAAAATTCCCGTAAACTAAGGAGATGCCGGGAGGTTGCTAAAATTCAAACTGATGATGCACGAAACTTGAACAAATGACATGGGATTGAACTTGCAAATTATTGAACCACAGAAAATGGAACATAATGCTTAAGACGAAGTTATAATTTGCAAGATTAACAAAAATTCCAATTAAATGCAAATGAATGAATATAGGACTTGTGGTGGACAAAGGACTTGCAAAAACCACTCACTTACAAGTAATAATGAAATTGTAAAGAATGCAACCTGATTTCATGCTATGATTTGATGCCTTTAATGGATAACTTGTATGCAATTGATAGCAACTGGTTCACAATGTTTATCTTGATCATACAATTGGTTGATTTTGAAATGATTACAATGGATACAGGGATGTGCGATGAATACAATAACATCTTTGCAATCAATATCAACTTACAAACAAGCATATTGAACTTCGCAAGCAATGAAAATTGAAATGAATGTGTAGTTTGATTGCAAGCAAATATACAAAGTCCTTAACAAGTATTTCACCTACGAATGGTGACGGTTGATGTGTAACACTCACATCAGTCTTGCAAGCAAATATACCAGTCTTCGATGAGCATTGAAAGTCGATACACAAGCAAATGCAACAACTTACCAACCAACATGCATAAGAGAATTAATGATGAATGCAGCTCATCGGGCAGCTCATATTAACATACAAATGAACACACTGATTTGCCTGCAAGCAATGATAGAAGGTATGCTGCAAGCATGATGAGTTCTCTATAAATATAGGAATGCACATGACATGCTACAAGAAAAGTTAATATATTTGTGACGATTGCAAGCACCTACAAGCAACATTGGAGAAATTGCGTTGCACACGACATCCTGCAGGAAAGTGGCAAGTGACATGTATTAACACTTGCAAATAATAGCAGATGATTCATCATGTATACAATAGCTTGCACACAAATCAAAGCAATAAATTCATGGAAAATATGACTTGCCCACGAGTAGGGAGCGTAAGCTTAAAATGCACACAATAGTCCTGCCTACATACAAAATATACGTTGAATGCAGGATACCTGCATGCAATGGAGAGTGACTTTTGAACGTCCGTTGACAGTGAATATCCCACAAATACACTTAAGAAGCATATAATGAATACAAATACCTGTTAGCAATGACAGAAAACTTGTTGTATGCATAATAATATGCCTATGAGTGATAATTAGTAATAGACAATAAATGCCATGACACCCGTCCAGTCAACAACCATTTAATGTCAGGTAAATACATTGATCTATTGCAAGCAAAGACGGTCAATTTGTAATAAATGCAAGCACCTACAAACCGTTGTAGAAGATCCTTCATGATATCTACGAGCAAACATAGAAGAGCTGTGCTAAATACAAGCACCTAGGAGCTACTATAGGAGATTCTTCATCTACATAGTGCTTTGCCTACAAGCTAAGATATTGATTTCTGAATGCTCGTAGATGACGATAGAAAGCCCATAATGCATACAACGGTCCTACCTATAAGTAACTGTAATGAATGTACCGCAAGTGTGGTGGATCCTCTACAGACATGAGTAAGAAGATTGCAATGATTGTGACGCACTACCTGCATGCAAAAGCAGCAAGCATGTGATGAATGCAAGCCTCTATGAGCAATTGCAGAAAATTCATCAGTGCACGACAGCTTGCCTGTAAGAAACAATGAGCAACCAATAGTGCAGTACTACGACCCGCCTACAAGCAATGCTAGAAGATTCACTGTACACAATCCACATACATACAACAATTGGTGGGTCCTGAATGCGTAGCATTGGACCACAAGTAGTGTTAAATAAAGCCTATATAGCACGACAACTTGCCTACAAGTAGCAAAAAATGACCTGTAGCACAGTACTATGACCCATCTGTAAGAAGTGACAAGGAATTTATAACAAAAACTATGGATCAGTGGTAAATTGAAGTAGTAAATTTGCGACGCTAGGTTGTCACACTTGATAAATTAGTTTACTTGCAAGAGACAAGTAGCAAACTCCTAACACATCACACAACTCATTTGCAGGTAGATGTACACTCATGTGGGCCAAATCTAGAAGAAAATTACATTATGCAAAGGATGAAATGAGCCAAACTGTGTTGTCGATGCGCGACAAATGAAACTCAATGCTTTGCTGAGCAACGCCACTGGATCCACAACACTCGTACAAGCAGACAGAAGATGTCTGTAGGCTTCTAAATAGAACACTGCACGCTCTAATGACAATCATTCATATAGTTGATTAGTATCCAAAACTTTGAAATGTTCTTCCACATGCATTGCAACAGGCATAATGTATCATTCAAGCATGTCATTCAACATTGCAAGATGCATTATGTTGTAGTAGTGCATCATACTGACATGCAAATGGATACCATACAAATACTTTATACAAAATGCTTGAAAAGTAGATACCCGCATGGGCCTCGACAAGCATGATGTGTGCGTGCATGTCACGTCTGAGGATGCTGCGTGGGTCAAGAAATAAACTTTAGTTCAAGTCCGATCCTCTATTAGCAAAATATATAGAATCGACACTGCTTGAATTGTCAAACAAATACATGTTCGTAGCGCCATCCGGGGCAGTTATTTTATACATTCATATTTGGCCTTTAAGGTCTATTACAAGAAAAATTCACTAATAAAAATATAAAGTTGACAACGAACCTGATCCTTTGTCAGTAAGTAAACATAGTCAACAATGTTCAAATGAAAAAGTAAAGTCATCCGAAATCCCCGATGATGACCGTGCCAAATGCTTGTCTCAACTGGAGGGGATTTTACACTTTCAAATGCCTCCAAATTTTTATAAAATACAAATGTTTTCAAATGATTCTCATAAACCCCAACGATGGCCGTGTTGACAAAAAAATCTCAACAGGAAAGGACCACAATTATTTTAAAATACATTCCAAATTCCCATGAAAATCCACAGCAAAAAAAATTACAAAAAAAATCAAGATATTAAAAAATAAAATAAATCATCTAATAACTTAAAGCGAAAATTCATCCACCCTCCACAACAGTTTAATACTTTTACTCACAAAGAACGAATGTCTAGTCGAGAATACCACTATGGTTCATTCTCAAATAGCCTTTTGTTAGTAAGGATGTGACACATGTCCTCTAACCATTGATTTTACCGTCAAATGATACCACAGGCAAGCGGTTATGATTGAGACCCTCTAACGGGTAATTTTGCTGCCAAATGACACCACTAAATTACGATCATGGTTAAATATCGTATGTTCCCCAAGGGCGTTAAATCTTTGAGCAATGAATTAATAAGATATGACCATAGGGCACAAATCCCTTTATCAGCTAAGGTGGACTCAAACATATCCCCTTAGGTAAATATTCACCCCAAGTCTACAAGGAACTCTTATATGAAACAACCCATGGTTGCAGACAAGGATCTTTTGGTTAGGTATGTTCAACTACCTCCTCTGACTGAGTAGACTAGGGACCATGATGACCCAGGACGACGGAACCATGAGATCTTGATTGGGTCCATCATCATTCCTCCTACCATTCTCTTTAAGTTATGGGTGATAAAATTTCAATTTTAAATATCAAATTATGCTACTACTATATTTTAGATACTATGCATCTATTTGATGACTAGCCTTAATTGAAAGTTCTCCTTCATTATCGGGAGGGGTAATTAACTATAGGGGCTTGCGCCTATAGGAAACCTGAACTCATATTATAAAGTCCTCACAAAATGAGGGTGGAATCTCTCGGTAATGTTTTATCTAAAACTCAATATGTCTTCTGAAAATTTGCCTCGAAACATATACGTTAAAACTCTCATTGCCAACCGACACAAAAAAGAAAAGGGGTCGCGGAGTGTCTGTGATGTGAATTTTCGGAGCCCACACTTAGTGGTGGATGCCGAATGGCTACTTGATAGCAGGTGGTGAAGATCAGCTGCTGTTGTGACCGGAGGCTGGGTACTCAGAGGAGGGTTCTTGATTTGATTGCAAGCGAATGAAGGCTGGGGGACATTAGGAGATTATTTCTTGATGTTGTTTTCAACGTGTGAAGGCTATTGGGACAGCAGAATACAATTTTCTTGGGCTGGAGCAAACAGTGGAAGACCTAAAACCATAGGAGGACGAGGAAGTTGTTTTCCTAAGGTGTGGGCGGATGGAAGAACAGCCGCCAACTATGGCTGCTGGGGGAGGATGAATATTTGTCATGTTCCGCTCGCTGTTTTCATTTAGGGCCGGTTCAGTTAAACTGGCTGGCTGGACCGGTTTTTACAATCTCTCCTTATAACTTCTAGTTACATAAGCAAATAACATCTTCAATTTTATTCAACATAAACTACAACATTGTATACATAATTGAATTCAAGCTGGTTCTTACAAAAACATGCAGAATTATTTTAATGGCGTATTAGTTTTGAGATTGCATGCATAAATGAAACTCAAGTTTATGCATGATACATATTCTACATCCTTTGTATCTCATATATTTTATAAAATCATTAAGCAGTAATCGCGTGTGATTTGCTACGCTCATTTGCTTAGAAGGCTCCTATAGCAATTAATCCTTCGAGGCAGATCTCTATGCATCAAAAACATTCAGTTTTTGGCAACTGAGAAGCGTTGTTCAGTCTACTTGATAGCCAAATAACTAGGGCTGCAAACGAACCGAGCCGAGCTGAGCTTAGACTTGTTCATGTTCGAGCTCGTTTGACCAGACCATGTTCAAGCTCGGTTCGAAGTTTGCCGAGCTTTTTTATTCACTGTTTGAGTTTAGTTCGCGTTCATGTTCAAGCTCGTTTATTAAGCTTAACGAGCCTCTAATCGAGCCGCTCGATAAATCTAATCGAGCCGTTAACGAGCCGAGCAAAACACAAAACAAATTTTATATTAATATTCTCATTAAACAAAGAAAGTGATACGCCCTAGGGTTTCACCAATTCGATTTTGCCCTAATTTCTCTCAAATGAGCATGAGAGGAACAAAACAAGATCAAAAGCAAAGATTTTCCACGGTAAAAATCCTTAGAGTTGTGCACTTTGATGATTTTCGGATTAGGGCACAAACCCTCCAAAACTTTGAAGGAAAGAGAGAGAGAGAGAGAGAGAGAGAGAGAGAGAGAGAGAGAGAGAGAGAGAATCAGGCGTGAATTAGGATAATTAAAAAACCTGTGTGTGGGCAGGAGTTTTTTATTTTTATTTTTATTTTTTTAGTGGGAATATTTGGGCCAGAGCATTAATAGCAATATCTTAATATATTATTAATTAAATAACGGTATAATAGTTAAATAATATTAAATATATTATTAGTTAAACAATAATATAAACTAGCTTAGTTATAAATGTTAAATATCTTTTTAGTTAATAGTTAAATATTTTTTTAATTAAATAAGACATAATCTAGCTTTTTAATCGAGTTTTTAACGAGCATGTTCACGAACTCTAAACGATCTTGTTCGTGAACATAAACGAGCCGAACGTCAGGGTGTTCAAGCTTGTTTATTTAGCTATCGAGTATTGTTAAAGTTGTTCAAGCTTGTTCATTTACCTTATCAAACGAACATAAACGAGCCCTTATCGAGCCGAGCCACGAGTAGCTCATCGAACGCTCGGTTCATTTGCAGCCTACAAATAACACCTGAGCCAGGTAGCTTATCAGCTTATGTATATCCTGGGTATATAGTATATAATGGTCACTGGAGCAGCATCATCTTCCTCCAAACTTAATCTCCTATGGCGAACCGATGGTTTCCTAACTGTCAATGAGAGAGGAACTTGTGAAGCTAACGTCATGAAGGCTTGGTGGTTGATTGTTGGCATCAGTGTTAATACGGATGAGTCTGTATGTTAAGGTCTCCCTCTTAATGACCTATGTGTTGCCCAAACCTATGAGTTTGTCTTTGAGACCTGCTTAATGGCTTCGATATCCCAAAATGAGGTTGATGGAGATGAATGATTCAAGTGTTCTCTGCCTTTGTTTATATAAAAGGCATTTTGAGAACTCATGAATTTAAGCTTCATGCCTTTGTTTATTTAAAGAGACGTGCTGGCAACTCATATGTTACACAATTGACTTATGTTTTCATGTTTCACTTTTTCTTGGATGGTCCTCTTTTTTGTAAGTTTCTGTGAGGCGTGATTTCTGCATTCTTTGTGCCTATATTTTAAACCTTGACCTCTTAACTTCTCATCTGCGTTTGATTTGCAAGGCTAAGGGATTGGAAGATGGCAAGTGAACTAGTTGAAAAAATGGAGCTTTCACTCTCATTACTATCTGTTGGGCTTCTGAATCAACTCATTCATTTTCTTGGAAAAAGTGGAAAGATCGAGACTATGATGAAGGTTAATTAAAATATCTATTGTATCTTAAATGCTTCAATATTATGCTTGCATGGTGATTTTTTATAATTGTCTTAAGTGTATGTTTTTTGTTTTTGTTCCTTTTTGTTGTGGATTTGCCAGGTCTTATTTCTTAGACAATTATCATTTGGTTCTAATTGCAATGTCTGCAAAAGATGGGCAACGTGCTTCTATTCGAAATACAACTATTTTCAATGGTAGATTGGGACAACTGGGATACATGTGGCAGTATATCTCAAGCAGATAACTGTTGGCAGTATTTCTATTGCTAGATGTCACACATACTTCTGGAGATTTGCTTGCTGATATCAATTTTCTTCTACATTTCCATTTGTCTGTTGTTTTCTATTAGCTAGCACATTCATGCAAATCTTCTTTCAAATTGCCTAATCTTTTTAATTTTAGTTCAATGGTTCATTAGTAAAGCCAGACCATGATGATAGCAATTTCATTTTGGCAAGCCCTGTCACACCCCACACTGCCCCCTTTTGACAATTGTCGGGTGCAACAGAGAAAAAATGTATAATTCCTAATATTCAAGGCTCAAAACCTTGACAAATTTAATATTTTTATTACATTCCTTTATAAAACAGAAACATTTAAAATCTTTTCTTTATATCATCAGTTATACTTACAGAGTAACTAACCATTAAAAACATTTTCATAACAATTGTTTATATACCTTTGCTCGGGACTCATCTCATAATACAAATTATGATGCGGACATCCGACGGTGGACGTTAATTAAAGGAAGAGACGAAGATCAACGGCCGAGATCCCTCCATTTTGTCTTAGTTTATTAATTGTATTTTTGATTTAATTATACATTTTTTATTTTTACCCTTACTTAAGGGTCTTGTCTTATATAAGCCCAAGGGCCAAAGTTGTATTTTAGTTTCTTTTAAGGCCTATATATAGAGGCCCTTGCTCTAGTATTAGACGATGATGGATTATTAATTAAAAAAAATTGTCTACACTCTTGTTCTTTAGGAAGAACTTCGGTGAGATCCCTATGTGAGGGAAGCGTAATACCCACCAGCCACAGGATGTGTTCGAGCTCGTGGTTGAAGTCCCTAGGTGATGGCATCGCATCACCCTTCAGCCGCAGAATGTGTCCGGGCTCACGGTTTATCTTCTTTCCCTATCTCCTTCCCTCTCTCTTTCTCCACTTGCCATCTTCTTCCATTATTCCTCTATCTAAATCCCCCACCCTCCTCTTCTTCCTCCTTTAACCGCTGGCTTTGTCACGACCCGGCCCGGCTAGCCCAATTATATCGGGGCGGGAACAGACGATCGTACGGAAGAGCATAATTACATAACATAATTTCATTTAAAACTTAAGGTTAGAACATACATATCATGGTCCCCTTCCCCACAACCCTCCCCTTCCCCACCGAAATCCACACCTCCTCCCTCTTTCTTTGGCTCCACCCATTCAAATCTTGCATTCAAAACCTTCTAATTTGAGCCCTTCTTATTTTGGGAATAATTTAATTTCATATTCAAATAAATTTGAATTTTGAATTTATTTCCTAAAATGAGAATCTCTATTTTAGGAAAGTTCCTAAATTCATGCCCATTTGAATTTTAAATAGGGTTGGAATTAAATCAATCCTTCCTAATTTAAAATTTTAATTCAAGCAAGCATTAATTTCCCTCTCTTAAACCCCTCCCCTCCTTGAAGCCGCCGGCCCTTCCTCATCCACAAGTTTGAATTTTAAATTCAAATAGCCTCTTGATTACTTTCATAAATTAGTCAATTGTTAATTTTCAAAGCTTCTTAAATTGAATTCAAATAGATTTGAATTTCAAAAACCTTTTCTGATTAATAAATCCATTTTGGGAAGCCCCTCCAATCCTTCCAAATCTGAAATTAATTTCAGATTTAATTCTCAATCCCAATTCATGCTTGATTCACATTCATTGAACCTAGACACCTCATTCTTCCCTCTCACTTGACCGGCCCCTCTCTCCCCGCTATCCTAATGATTTCCTTCCTAATTAAAGGCCAAAATTAAGGAGATAATTAATTCCTCCCTTCCCTCCCTTCTTTCTTGTTTGAATTTCAAATTCAAATCCATTAATTAAGGGAAATCTGAGATTAAATTTTAGATATTTAATTTTTATTAACTCCCCCGCTTCTGTTCTACATCAAATTAACCTGAATCTAGTCAGCTTTCATATATTTATCCTTGCCCTTTCATGTAATAACAGTCAGAATAAGAATTTGATGAGCTATGAGGCTCAAAAAGATATTCAACTCTAATATATTATTTTAATATATGAGACACAATACTTACCTATGTATCAACAAGCAGAAGTAAGAACTGTATGTACTTGCAAAATGGGTTCAAAGGTACTATATATGACCTACAAGAGCTTGGAGGCATGAGTGAACATTAGTTATCCACATGCTTTTGTTTGACTCAAAGAAGAATGCCTAAAACACATCAGATTTTTGGTTTGTGTGCTTTTGGTTTTTTATTGGCGGGCTTGTTAACCTCTGGAATAATCCAAGTTTAATTTAGATTGTGGCTTTCATTCATTGGAAGACCAAATGTACGATTAAATAAGTTAATGCCTACCCAATTTGATCGGCATTAGGGCTTACATATCTATCAGAAGGCCCATAAACAAGACTTACAATTGCAAGAATGAAAAGACCTTGTAATGTTACCTTATAAATAAGTTTAATTGATTGATTTCGGTTTAGTTTAATGAACTTTACAGCCTTGTTTAGTCCCAATTAATTGGTTAAAATGGTGCTTTTATTCATTGGAAGACCCCTAATTTGTCAGTTTGGTTCTTGACAAAGTTTGATGCTTGGAATAAACATGATTTGAAATGTGTGATTTATTGCTCTATTTGTGAGTTGCACAAAGAATTGTGCCTATTAGTTATGGCATTTGACATATCTGCATGTTGGACTTATGACTTGTATATTGAAATTGGTCCAAAAATCCGTCTTATGATCTTCTCCTATAGGCAAGATGACCCATTTAATAGAATTTAATTTTTGACGTAGTGCATATTTTAATATACATATTGAGATGATTCACCAGGATTCTGAAATTAATTGAGAGTTAATAAGGTCATTTTTGTGTCCTTTACTTACATGATCAACTAGGTTGACATTATGCATGAGAGAAGGCTCTAGAGTTTGGGCTTTAACAGATTTTTTTTAATGATTTTTCCACCATAAAATGGGTATTATAGTTATTTAGATTTTCCATCGGTCTATTAGAACCCCTGGCAGAGATTTGAAATCATTGAGAAGTCCAAGGGGCATTGGCATACTTTTTTTTTCTGTATTAGTAACCTTATATCATCAATGCATTGGTAGAAATGTCGATGTTTTCATGCTTTTCATAGATATGTATGTGTTTCATGATGGTTTAGGTAATTTAAACACCATTCAAATTATGATATTTTGATGCACTTTGTGCACTTTTCAAGGTTATATGTTTGAGTAAATGTAAGGTTGGTCGTCGGTTTAGTTTACTTTGCAAAAGTCAAATATTGTGATCCTGATCTTTAGGAATTGTTAGAGACTCTTTGTAAGATTTATACAATTTAATGGTCCGGCCGTGTGGTCCGGATTGTAAGACCCATCGATAGACAACTTCTAAATGAAGAAGTAAGCCCTGATATTTGGGAAAACTTCTAAGTGAACTCATCTATCCCATCCTAAACCTACTAGCTACTTCTAAATGCAGAAGCTATAGGATTTACTTAAACAATCGGGCAACTCCTAAACGGAGCCGTAAGTCCGACCCAATTCAAATCATCGGGTAATCTCCTAAAAGGAGTCGTAAACCCCAAATCATGATAAAATCAAAACCAACCTCTAACCACTTCAGTCTACTTGGGATTTCGAAGTGGAGGCAACCCATGTCTGCTACTTATATTTCATGGATACTACAATCAACGGTTATTAGTGTTAGTAGACTAAAATCTACGGTATGCCTGGGGTGAAGGAACCATGGTATCTTGATCGGGTTTACCTGCATCTACCATAACTGATTTAAAAATAATCAAACTTCTAAAATGATTCATCCTTAATTGAGAGTTCTCTTCTGCGTAATAAAAGGGGTAATTAATTATGAGGGCTTGTGCTTATAGGAAGCGAAGTCCCAGAACTATACAAACCCTGATATAATCATGGGGGGAATCTGGTTAATTAAAATTCCAATCTAACTTAGGGAAAATGGACCTTAAGGTTGCAAAAAGCGGGGTTCATGCCTATGCATCATCTTTTCCTGTGCGAACAACTGCCTTTTCAAATGTGTTTTAAATCATATAAAATGATTTTAAAAGAGGATGAACTAGTTAAAGATAAAGGTCATTAATCTCAATTTTGCTATTCGTTTTTTAATTTGATCCTCAACTTATTTTGAGCAAGCATGATGGGCTCAAAATTTATGTTAACATCGACCAATTTTAGCTGGTGCAATTAACTGCAACACCTCAATCAGCAAGCTCATGGAACTTGGTCTATTTTAGCTTTCTGCATTTAACTGACAGCTTGCTCAGCGCACCAATTGATGAGCATCTCATTCCAATTGTTTCTGGCAAATGATCTACTGAAATTAAGTTCCACCCACCTTTTTTAAATTTCTGATGTGCTTAGTGACTTCATTTTTTTTTTAATGTAATCCCGTCTATGAACAATCTTGTGATGTTTTAGTTTAAACTTTCTTCTTTCTTGCAGTTATTTCACAAGATAGTAGCTTCTGGAATTGTAGTTAGCTTTTCCACTTATTCAGTTCTATTGAAGAACCTTCTGGCTGCTGGAAGATGGAGGAAATATATAGAGGTGAGGAGTGACGTATTAATCTGCATTTTATGATGTCGAAGCTGTTTACTTCCGGATAATGTCTTAATTGGCATAATCAGATGTCAAAGAGTTATAGCATTCTAGATCTCGTCCAGATAGAAAGTGATATGGCAAGTTTATAATTGTTTTGCTTCTAAATTTTGCAGAAAGCATTTTAATCATTGAGCCTTTCTTGTGCTGGGAATGTTTTGCTTTTAAAAGTTGCACAGCCAAATGTGGTGTTCCACTAGGTTAAATCTTATCTGCCATCTTGCTGAGCTGTTTTCTGTTATTCATTGCATGCAAGTATCTTCTTGTTGTAATTATTTACCAATCTCCATGATATTTTTATACTACAAATTCCTTGCTCATTGCATAACTCTCTTTGTTAGCCAATGCAAAACCATCAAATTGCTGTTGACCTCTGTATAATGTCAAAAAAAGAAACAAAAAATCATACCTACCAATGCAAAACCATCAAATTGCCTAGGATATGTGGCACAATCTTGGATTCCTAATTAATAATTATAATTATAATGCAAGGATGTATTTTATAAAACTTACCCAAAATGTTTTAGCAGGTGTTGAGCTCCATATGTGATCCTAGGGGTGTTAAAACGGGTTAATTAGTTGAATTCGGGTCCGACGTGAAGTTGACCTGTTTTGAAACCAATCAAGGAAGACCTGAACCCGACCCTTGGCAACTTGGATAACCCAAAACCGACCCGATAGCCTATTTTGATTAAAAAAAAATTGTAATTTGTCAACTATAGAATTTAGTTTAATTGATTAAAAATAGGAAAACCATACTAACAAGCAACAGGATTTAAGGAAAAAAAATTAAACATGTTACTTTCAAGTTAAAATCGGGTTCATGTGTCAACACGAACTCAACTTGCAAATTAAATGGTTCACCCAAGCTTGGATTTTTTGGGTCAGGTTGTCGGTTCCGGTCATTTATTGGCACCCCTATGTGAGCTGCAAGTTAATTCAGTAGAATGAAACAACAATTACAGAAGATGGAGACATTTTCACATGGAATTGACGAAGTATTTTCTACATTCATCATTATTTTTGGCAAATGGCATGCTCTAATGCATTCAAAACGTTGAAATGATATAGCAGGTTTCCCATATTGCTCGTGTTGTGACATGTGGAAATGATTTTCTTTTGTGATGAGAGGAAATTATAAGGAAGTTCATACACTCACACATTTTTAAAAAAACGATGATAATAAATATACATATATATATGTGTGTGTGTGTATTCACAAGTTTAAGATATGTGGAATTAACAAAGTCAAATCAGTTCATAACTGGAGCAAATTCATCTTAAAGCGATATATTTATAGCGGAAGTTTAAGATATGTGGAATTAACAAAGTTAAATCAGTTCATAACTGGAGCAAATTCATCTTAAAGCGATATATTTATAGCGGAGACTTCTCTAAAATATCGCTACTAATCATTCTCCAGTTTTTAATTATAATTCTTTTTATCTTTTGATGGGCCAACTATGTGTTGCTCCACGAGACAGCCGAATGGACAAATTCTTTTTATCTTTTGTTTTCTTTTATTTTTCCTTTAACTCACGTTTGTTTGTCGATAGATATTAGAATGGATGGAAGACGGAGGGATACGGCCATCACTTCAAATGTATTGTAGTGTTCTTTCACATGCTTTAAAGTACGAAAGCATGAAGCATGCCGTTCTCATTCAAGAAAGAATTGGTAAGGACATTGTTGCCCCCATAATTTCCCCTCTTAATGAAATAATTTAGTGATTTTAGATTTTTTTTGTTGCAGATAGTTCTTCATGATTTTCTTAAGTGTTGTTTCATGCATGTGTTATTCCCAGATATCTTGAAAATGATCATCTATTAGCACATTGAGGTTTCCTTTGGAACGACTTTCTTAATGCTTTATAAAACTGTTTTTTAGTTAAAAAAAATTTGAATTAGAAATTTTTGTACTAAAAAGTTGTTTTAGAAAACAATGAAAAAGCTGTCCCAAACAAAGCCTGAATCAGTGTTAAAAAGGGCTTTTTTTATCAGTTTCAACCTTTCCTTTTGTTCTAGTGAGACTATCTTGAAGCAGGTCGCTCACTTTTTCTAAGAAGGGACAGCTGGCATCATTATTGAAAAAATAGAACTCTTACTGGCTCAGAACCAAACTGATAGGAAACACTTGAGTTCCCAAGTGTTTCTCACCAAAACTGAAGTTGATCCGATAGAAACTGCTGTCCACAGCAGAAATACAGCAGAAATCTGCTGTTTACAGTAGAAAAACAGCAAATTGACAAGGAAATCTGATAGAAAACGAAGAAAAAACTCTTGTATTTCACTAGTAGAGAATTATATTTTAATGAAAAGAATACTGGGATTTGGGAAAGATAGAATTTTGAGTTGAACTATATTTCATGTTGTCTTATTGTTGGGATATTTTGATTTTACTTCATATCTTATGCTTTTTATGTTTTATATTATTCACTCATTAGTATATACAAATTTATCATTTTAGGTTTACGCAATCTTTTAATTTTGAGGCTTACGCCTCAAAACGCCTTGAGGTTTACGCCTCGCCTCACGAATGAAAATCGCCTCAATACCCGAATACGCAATTTTAAACATTGGCTGTCCCAAACAAAGCCTGAATCAGTGTTAAAAAGGGCTTTTTTATCAGTTTCAACCTTTCCTTTTGTTCTAGTGAGAATATCTTGAAGCAGGTCGCTCACTTTTTCTAAGAAGGGACAGCTGGCATCATTATTGAAAAAAATAGAACTCTTACTGGCTCAGAACCAAACTTAGAAAATCTGTTTATCAGACGAGAATTTAAGTATAGATTGAACATTGGACTTGAGAAAAAGAGTGAGAATAATTAACTTTATTCCATAGAAATGGTATTTATTTCTTTTTTTGAATAAAACCCTTCCAACCAATCATATCTCTTATGTCAATTTTTAAGTTTGGCTGGCTGGAAATACCAATTTAGCCTACTAGAATGGAAGATGCAATCAATTAATGAAATTCCATATCCTGCCCTTCCTATCTTTATTCTCAGAAAATACGTAGCAACAACATCATGTTCGCTTTAAGTTGGCAGCTTCACTAAAATGTAGTCGTTTACACAATTCACCTTGATCTGTTGGTTGGGAGCTTAGGCTATCAACTAAGAGATCTTGGATTCTAGTCTTGTGTATGCGATGTGTGTATGATTTTGCCTTAATTGACCTAAATGTCCCAAAAAAAATTGTAGTAATTTTTTTATTTAATTGAGGTTTATTTTTGTTTAGTCCAAGTTGTAGTGAGGAAAACGGGGCATTAATTATGTGATATGACATGTCATTCTACTTGGAGTGAGCTGGTATGACCTTTTTCTGACTTTTGAGAGGTAAAACCATTATATTTAGAGATGGTCATTATTCTCAGCGGATTTATCATTTATATGTGTGATGAGGACATCCATAGAAGATTCCGGCACACGTACCATCGGAGAGGTCGTCGAGCGACGACCATGATTCAGAGTCTTTATTTTTGATGTTTTATTTTATTCATGCAATTTCTATTTCATGTTTTTCCATTTGTACCCCTAATGGAGAGGAAGGGGAGAGTGATGAGGACATCCATAGAAGATTCCGGCACACATACCATCGGAGAGGTCGTCGAGCGACGGCCATGATTCAGAGTCTTTATTTTTTATGTTTTATTTTATTCATGCAATTTCTATTTCATATTTTTTCATTTGTACCCCTATGAGGGAGTTAGTGTTTATTGTAGCCCAAGAGCAATGTTGTCTTTTTTTAACTTTTATTTTCGATTAGCCTATATATAGGCTTTATCATTGTATTTGGTCTTAGTTTTGATGAATGAAAAAAAAAATTTGCTCTTTGTTCTCTTTGTGAGTTCACTCCTAGATCTCTTAGTGAGTTTGACGGAGAAACTAGATCTCTTTGTGAGTTTTAGAATTCGCCCAAGTTAATTGTGTGAAAATCTGGATTGAAGATAATTGAGGTTAGTGAATTCGTAGCCGCTCGAATCCCTAGAAAATTCCCTCTCTTCCTCCCCTTGCACTTGCTGCTGCCTAGCCCTAAGCCTCCCAAGCCGCCGGCCACTTGGCTGCCACCTCCCGCCTGCCGGCCACCCCACACCGTGACCCGCCCCTTGCCCCTTCCTCTAGCCGCCGGCCGCCCCTTCCTTGGAGTTTCAATTTTGAAATTTCAAATTGTCATGAGCCATTAAATGTTTCCTAATTTAGCTCCCTAATTTATGCAATCAATTTAATTGAATTTCAATTTCAAATTTGAAATTCGAATTGATTCAATTAATTGTCTTCATAATAGGAAGCCTTCTCCCCTAAATAAAACTGAAGTTTATTCTCAGATTTTGTAAAAATCTGTAATTAAACTTGTGGTCCCCACTCTCATAATTCCTAAGCTCCTCTCCCCTCTCCCTATGGCCGGCCCCCCTTAATGGTTTTCTCTCTCTTCCAAATTACATTAATAACATCACAAATTCAGCCCAAGTCTTCTCCCTCTTTGCCGCCCCTCTCTCAATCCTTGGATTAATTTGATTTTCAAATTAAATCCCTGCACAATCCATCAAAAAATCTAAAAGAATTTCAGATTTCCTGCATTACCTTGGGATCCTCCTCCATAGCCGATCCCCTCCTTCCCCCACCCGAGCTCCTCCCCCTCCCTCCTCGTCTCTTGGCCGCATCTCTCCCAGGTGACTTCTTTTCCGTCGTTTTGAGGCCAAGATCTCCGATAATTATGCATGGAGGAACTCGATTGGAACTTTGGATTTGTGCATGACGATCGAGATCAAGTCGACATCATCCAATCCCCATTCTTTGACGTGGGCTTTGATTTCGACGACACCATTGAATACATCGACCGTATCCATTACACCTTAGTTGACGTGATCGACGAGCAAAGGTCAAAGGGACGTTGGATCATCATTGGACGACAATCATCCTCCACCACTCCGGCCACCTATCCAAGAACGACGATCCTAGGTTCATTCTTCCTCGGAGTGACCTCGATTCTAATGTGGAGACTCTTCTTCCGCTAAGCCTAGACTATTTGAGCGTTTGGGCTCCAAAGGTGAAAGTTTGCATTATTAAATTGTGGATTCTTGTGTATCGTCGTAGTTTTACAATTGCTCTTTGCGTTTTCTTGAATTGTTTGGTTAATCGACTTCGCTCTTCTTTGCCTAAGCAAGTTAAAGACTAGGAACTCCGAGGATCAATCCTTGTTATAAGTAATAACTTTATTTTGGGATTACTTTGTTAATTGGCTCTATTTAATTTCTTAAGTAACTCCTGGTTATTTCACATCAATGTGAGCATTCAAAACGTCGATGCTCTGGCTGATAGGATGTTCCACATCCTATTTACCATACATCCATCATCCTTTGGATGTTGCTTGCTTGCTTGGTTATCAATTATCATGTTATCATTGTATTTATTTTTTATCTATGATAATTTTTTATACTTGTCCTTATTATACTCATATCATTATTTGGTTATAATATTATGTTTTTAAAAACACTTTATCAATCTAATATATTTTTATCTGCAAATCAAGGTATGCCCTCATTAGAATTCACAGCTTGGAATTGGTTGAATATGGTTATTGATGCCAATGTGAGAGTTGTATGCATCATGCATGTTGAGCATGTTTCATTATAATAAATAGCATTTCCCTTCAAATTTTGCAGTTTAAAAGGCGTTATGTATATTATTTATTTACTTATTTATAGAATTCTTAAGCAAGATTTGTAATATATAGCTCAAAAACTGAACGGTGTTGAATGAAGGAGGAAATGAAAACACAAAGAACAAGTTATGAATGATTACACGTATAAAATAAATGTTTCAAAGCATGGATGAATGATTGTTTATCTTCTAATATTTTCATGGATTGTTAAGATCCCATTATGTTTGTTTTTTTGCTTATCAAGCTTGGCAGACATTTTACTGAAAGCAATTTCTGTGAAACTTTCTCAGACTCACTGAGAGAAAAGGTGGGCTGAATTTGATTATATGAATGTGCCAAGTGTTCCAAGCTAATAGGCTGTACAAAGGAGTTCAGTTGAAACTGCGATACAGATCCAGAACAAAGTAGATGAACAAAAAATCAGAAATTATGGCAATAATAGATCATGGAAGTCCAACTGCATATCTAAATCGCAGCTCATGGTGTCATGGTAGTTGAGCTGAGGTTTCTCATGCAACAAGTTCAGAATTCAAAGGTTGGTCTAAACAGAGGGAAAATTTGTCCCAGAGGATTAATGAATCTCAAAGTTTTGAATCTATTTTTGAGATGAGCATAATATGTAGATAAATAATCTTTTGCTAATTTCAAAGCAAATCTAAAAGTTGAGGATATCCTGATACAAAATTTTCTATCAAAGAGTGCTTAGGCTCAACTTTTCTTCAAAATAACTGCTCATCTAATTACTCTTGTCTTGTGGAGTGCTATAGCAGGCCTGGTCTCATGCTTCTCCATTCTCTCTTGAATACATGTATGCAAACCTATTCTGAAGCTTTTGGTTCCATGAACTTCTGAATTCTTGATTACTCCAAGTGCTGATCAACTCCAATAATCTGTTAATTAGTGAATCATTCTGTGCAGCAGCTGCTTCAATATAATACAGGAAAAGTTCGCCAAGGTCAGAAAGAAGTCTAACAATGGAGGCAGATAACGAAAGAAACTAACAGGAATCAGACTTTTTGAGTAAAGATGAGAAGAGGGTATCTTCTGTTGGCATTTTCTAGCTGTCTGTTCCTATTTTGGTGTTGAATTTGTGGCTGGTGAGTTCCATCATGCTGTGATGTTACTCTTTGTTGGCCAGTCTCATCTAATTATTGAGCTATTTTGACAACTGTTTTGACATGTTGCTCCTCCATCCTATGAGAACTTATTCTGTGTGGAGGTCAGTCAGAATGTGCCACGTCACCCAGTACATAGTGGTATCCAGCACCAGTACGGAGCAAAGAAGTGACTTGACACGTTCTGATTGACCTCTGTACGACATCTGGTGTCCGCACAAAATAATTCATTCCATCTTATTGGGTCTTGGGCGCCTATTTTTGGTTGATTACGACATCTATGACTGTGAGACATATTTCTAATTTGATGAGTATTGGAACAGGAAAAGTTACTGCTAGTGGTATTACTCCTACAAGTCATTGCTTGCTATGATATTTGGGATATGCTTCTCATAGATTACATTAAATTATTTCATGCTAAAATATTTAGGTTGGTGGAGTGTTTAATATATTGGCATGCATACACATATAAATAGAAGTTGCCAGAGAAACATAATTTTTTTACGTGAAAATCCAAAATGAGGAAAAATTATGGGACCTAACTCAATTGAAGTAATTTATTATGTAATTAAATATGCAAGAATCTACTCTTTTCCAGAACTAAGAAGTCATGATTATATACAATTGAGAATATTTGTCTTATTTTATATCGAGTTGTGTCTACGACCAAATAACAAAATTTCGTGATAGTGGTTGATGGTGATGGCTGGCGATACCGCGATAATATTTGAGCAAAGCAATATAATTCTTCAAATCTATTGGAACTTTTTTTTTTTGAGATAGTCAATTTGGTAAATTTGACTAGAATACAAAACACTTCATTGAATAGCTCATACTAATCTTAGTGATAATAAATTATTTATTCAATATTTAAACACCTTAATTAACTTAATTTGAATGATCTTAAGTTTGTAGGATACATCTTGTTGATTTGCTTGATTCGAGTATAAATGTGAAAGGTTTTGAGGCCCTTTGATCCTTCAACTAATGCCTTGAAATTTTCCTATGTAATCCAAATGCTTAAATTTAGGTGTTTTTGGACTCAAATAAAATAGCTGTTTTTTTTTTATTTTTTATTTTTTTTAACTCAAATAAAATAGCTTTTATTGCATTACCTTCAACTTTTTAAGATGTTCAATTCGAGTATAAGTTTGTTGAAATCGAAGTTTGGATATTCCAAAATTTAAATTTGAAAGTTAATAGTAGTGGTTTTTTTTATTTAAATGATAATTTGATTCTTAAGAGGACAATGGAAAAAAAATAGAGAAAAATGAATCATGTAGTCGACCACGCAGTGGGAAGGCTTGATGTTATTGTTGTTAATGTATTTTTTGTGTTTTCAAAAATTTGACAGTTATATAAGTGAAAATAAAATATGTGTTAGATATGTAAATACAATTGTTCTGTGCTAAAAAAATTAATTTGGTAAAAAATATATTTCACATCTTAGTAGTGCACAAAGATTCAACACATAGATAAAAATGATAGAGCTAGAAAATTTTTTACATGAAAAACTCGAAAAGGAAAAAATCATGAGGCCTGACCCAATTGCATAATTCATATGTAACAAGTGATAAGAAAATCATCCACTGTTCACCTTTGAAGGAGAAGAAAGACTATAAAGATCAAATGTTTTGTACCCAACAATAGGGTTTAATCTTCACAAGAGCGATTTTAGAAAGTTGGTGTCCATAGATGGAAAAATATGTTGTACACCATTTTCACTTTTTGTCAGTTTTTTAGAAATGATGGTGATTTATGATGCCAATCGTTGGTCAGAATGGTGGTTGTTGGTAGCAATAATTGGTGGTCGTCGCGACAGCAATGGCAGGAAAATGCTATTGAGTTATCTCTTTTTCTCCTCCTTCATGTGAAGAATTAGGGCTTATTTATAAGTTTTTGAGAGTGGCATGCTCCTTAAATATGAGAAAAATTTATGACAAATTAGGAGTATTACATTAAACAGTTCATATTGATTCTTTTGATCATAGATATTTTATCAAGTATTTAAGTGTCTTAATGATGTTATAATCAAGTGAGCTTGAGCACGTTGTCTTCGTCACAACGAGCCACTCGATTCGAATATAAATATGCTATATTTGAAAACATGTGGTTACGAAATTATTATTTTTAAGCTTTCAAGTATGCTTCAACTTCTTGATATGAACCCATATGGATTTGGATTGGGCTAATTTTAGTGTCATCAGATTCGTCTTATTGAAACGTTCAGTTTGACTATAAGTTTGCTTATATCGGAGTTTGGATGGTCACAAGTTGATTTTAGAAGGTTTCTAATTCAAACATGTTTCGAGATTCGTGCCGAATAAGGTGTTTTTTTATGACATATCAACAATCTTGTGGTATTTATGTAAACTTTCTAATTTTAATGTAAATTTCTAATAATTTGTAAATAAAACAAGTGATATACGATAAAGTTTAAGGGCATAGTTGAATTTAGTCGATTTAAATAATTTTATGAGCCAACAATAAGAAGCAAATGAGCCAAGTAGGAGCAAGTCAATTTATTAGCTAGTAAACATACTATCTAATAATAATCATATACAATATACTTAAAACATATTAAATTTTAAATTTAAATACAAAACTATTAGCAGTTTTATTTTTTGTTTAGAGGATTTACACACATACCATTTTATTTCATACTATTTACATATCTAACATCCAAAATTTTAATATTTCATATCTACCACGCATATACAACTTTAATATCAAATATATCACTCATATATTTCATTCATACCACTCATACCCCTTATAAACTTTAATATTTCATTCCTCGCATCAATATTTGATCTATGAGTAGCATGCATGAAATATTAAAATTTTAAAAGTTACATGTATAAATAATATAAAATAAAGTGGTATTTTTGTAAATCCCCCTTTTTATTTTTATATATACTGATCAAAATTTTTATCGATTAGTAATATGCAAATATTGTTATCGTCTTCTCAGGACAATTTCTTGAATTGGAGTCGTATGGAGGAGACGCGGATCGAGGCGGGGTTTTAGGAGGGCGGCAGGGTTGCAGAAGACGAGATTGCGATGGAGATGCGACCATTTCAAAGGGGCGTTCTCGGTCCCTCTCCCCTTCTGCCGGAGGCGGGGAATCGAGGCGAACTGCAGGCGATTCTGTCAAGCTCGATGGCCGCAAGCCTCGCGGGTCTTTTCCTTCTGATGTTCCTTCTCTTTCTGCTTTTTATACTGGCTTGCCGGCCCTGGAGGTTCGTCAATCGTCGGCGATCGTCCACATCCCCCTTCTTCAAGGTCTACCTTCTCTATCGCGTCACTGATTTGTTTTTTTGGCCTTTTACTTTTTTAATGTTTACATTCAAGTCTTGTTTTTCTGCAATTGTATGCAAGTGAATTGTCTGATTTGCCTTTTTAGCGAATTTGTAATTGTCGCGGGGAATGATCATTGGCATTTCTTTTATTTCAATTACTTTGGGCCTACGTTATGAGTCGCCATTCTCCTTCTCCATCCATTCCACTTCAGTGCTACAAGAAGTTTCATATCTATTGTAGGCACGTTTCCTTTGAAGAAGAACTTACATGTGACAATTTTATTGACGTGAGGTTATTTTGTGTTTGGTGGCGCTTCAGAATGCTACTTCAATAAGGTTTTCTTCTTAATGGTTCTGCTTTTTAGTGGTGAAATATTACAAGCTGCTTGCAGGGCGATAGCGGTCCGGGATTCATTCGTCTTCTTATATCTGTATTCTGTACGTTTAACAACGTTTTAATTCTGCCTTGAACTTAGGATGCTCTAACTTTATGTATTTAATCGTCTTCTCTTTTGTGCTTGGCATTATTATGTACATTTAGCTGCGTTTTAATCCGTCTGTATCTGTGCGTGATTATGTCACGCTTTGTTCTTCATTGATGTTGTTGGCTTTTTTTTTGTACAGATAGACTTCTGCATTTGGATTCATTTGTTTTTCAAGGTAGTTTTTTCTTTTGGTACGAAATGCCTGCAGTTCCTTAACTGAGAGCATTTTCACTGTATGCATTCTCTTTCTTATTATTTTTATGTTCATACGCAAACATGATATGAACACGCTTCTTAGAGTCTAGTGCAAAGATATGACTGTTGTGTATTAACTTCTAATTCAAGTGTGTTTTTGCTTTTTAAAATAGATTGAGTGATTTAGATAGGGAACATTTAAATTTCATCGACAGATGTTATATACATGGATGCATTCATTTTTTAATCTATGTTTATGCCACTCAAAGTTAATGTTTTTTTGTTATTTGAGGCTTTACAATAGTATTCTAAATGATTATCTTCTCGTACTTCTATGAAAAAAGCCAATTTCAAATTGTCATGTTTGTCATAGGGATATGTGCACCTTGTCAACATATGCGCAAATGTAGCCTCCTTTTAAGAGCGCATTGATTTTTTTATTATTAATCGGGTCACTGCTGTATGGCTGAATGATTGAAGAAATTATTATGTGCAAAGTTTGGACAGGAAGAACCGTCCGGACTGTGAGTGTACACAGTGTGTACAAAAATTTGATGCACATTGTATACAAAAATTTGATGCGCACTTTCTACAAATGTGTACACAGTGTGTACACTCACATATCCAGATGGTTCTTCCTGTCCAGACTCCACACATATTAATTTCTGGAATGGTTGGGATTGCTTAGTTTGGTAAGCTGTTGGAAGATTCTGCAACTTATAATAATGTTGCATTGGGGTTTTTATTGTATGGAAATAAGAAGCAAGCAAAAGCTCTATTGAGTTGATTTCATTGCATATGCTATCTTATTATACTCTTTAGTCGCTGTTGAACCGCACTTCAAAAAAAAAAAAACAATTGACTAAACTACATGTGGAGCCATTTATACTCCTTTACACTAATTGTACAGTACCTCAGTCATCTTAGGGTAAGGGATTTGTTGGTTTCAAAAGGAAATTCAATGATTGAGGATTTTGATGTGTAGTCCTAGAAGGCTGAGTTTATACTTTGTGGAAAATCATTATTTCTTTGTATTAATTAAACTTAACTTCAGTATATTTGTCAGAGTCTGCCAACTGTAATGGTGTTAGCAAATTTGAGATGCAATTCAAAGCATGATTTAACCAAGTTTTGAGTACTGGGATGTGAAACATGAATACATCATCCCTACCCTTTTTCATTGCAATCTGCATTTAGCAAAATGTAGCATTTGATAACTTCTTAGGATTGGACTTACGCATGGTTCTATTATTTTTACGTTTTAAAATTTTAATCTTTTTGAATGATTTCTAACCGTGTTAACTTGAGTATAGTCCTTTCTATTTAGCATTTTACATCAACATTTGTTCAACTATTTCATTCTTTTCATACTTTTTGGTGTCCATGCTTAACTCATCAATTTTTTGCTAGCTAAATTTTATTTTGATACACTTTATATATTCTATTTTTAACAATTATAATTACACTTCTTCACACTTGTGTTGCTCATGCGTACAATATTTGTTAGCTGGCACCCACTTTCCTTGTTAGGTGCTAGTAATATTTCTGTTTTATAAAATTTTCCCTTCGGTTGTTATGAGTATCATAGAGAATTCTATTGTCTCACCTCTATTTTAACTTTCTTATCTTATCAAGTATGTCCTCATCCATATCCTCACTTCTTTATGTAATCAAAGACCTAAATACATAATCGTATGTTTTATCTCTTTGTCTGATGTAGAACGATGGAGGGGGTCATTTGAATTTTAAAATTTCCTAATTTATTGGAGAAGGGGAAAGGGGAAGGTGATTATGAGAATTTTGAAAACCTTCCTAATTTAAAACGTTGCCAATATGGAAAGTTATAATTGCTTGGTTTGAAACTTGGAGGGAAAGGGGAAAGGGGAAGGTGATTATGTGAATTGAAATTTGAATTTTGAATGAGGATGGAAAGGAAAATTATCCCTTAAGTAAGGATGAATTAATGCTTCAAGAGGGGGGGGGATTAATGGGAATTAAGTGGATTGGAGAGAGAGGGGAGGGGCCGGCCTAGAGAGAGAGGAGGGGAATTGTCCACATTCAATGAATGACCTAGGTTCAATGAATATTGAAATTGGAATTAATTTCAATTCAATTTCAAATTCGATTTGATTGGGAGAGGACTCCTAAATTAGCGTCATTAATTAGGAAAGGGTTTGAATTTATTTGAATTCAAATTTGAATACTTTCCAAATCAATAGTGATCTAATTTAGGAAATTTATGAGTGGAGGGGAGTAAGGGGACCGGCCATGCAAGGGGGGAGCATTAATGGGGATTATTGGAGGTGGATCAAAGGGCCCAAATCAAATCCTATTTGAAATTCAAATAGGTTTTATTTAAATAACTTTCCTAAAATGAACCAGATAGATTAGGAAAAAAATTTTAATTTCAAATAAAAGAAATCATATTTTAATACTTTCCTTATTTGATTTGCATCCAATAAGGAAAGGACTAAAGAGTAATTCGAAATTTGGAGGCAAAGGGAGAGGGATTGATTTGGGATCGGCGGCTTAGGAGTAGGGTTAGGGGTGGCCAGCGGCTAGGACTAGGGTTTGGGTTTGGGTGGTGGTTGGGAGTAAGGTTAGGGGTTTATTTGATGGCTAGGATTAAGGTGGAATTTGGGACCCGGTGGCTAGATGGAGAAGGAGGGGATTAGGGCAGCGGCTAGAAGAAAGAAGAAGGGGAATTAGAGAAGAAGATAAACCACGAACCCAAACCCTTCATGCAGCTAGTGGGCAATGTGCTACCCTCACTTAGGGATTTCAAACCACGAGCCCGGACGCTTCTTGCGGTTGGTGGATACTACGCTTCCCTCACATAGGGATCTCACCAAAGTTCTCCCCAAAGAACAAGAGTGCATAAAGTTTTTTTTATTAATAATTCATCATCTTAATGCAATAGCATGTGCCTCTATATATAGGCCTCGAAATAAAATAAACTCAAAAAGATAAACATGCCCCTAGGGCTTATATAGGACTACTCCCTCAAGTGAGGGTAAAAACGAAAAATGCATAAATAAAACTAAAAAAATACAATTAGTAAATTAAGATAAAGTGGAATGATCTTGGCTGTTGAACTTCGTCTCTTCCTCAAATAAACATTTACCGTCAGATGTTTGCATCATTATCATTTTTATTCCTAGTAAAGTTCCATGCCAAATGCCTTGATGCAATACATGTCTTTAAACAGGTCAAATTAACCCACAAAAGCCAAACTTGCTGTAGTCTAATTTCATGGATCAAACTTAAAGTCTAACTAAATGAGCTCATTTTCAAGCTTTTAAAGCTCATTCTCATTTATGGTCTAATTTCTCTTATTTATTAGGTTTTTATCTTCCTTTGAATAAGAATAAATTTAAAGTTGCATGTTTGTTAAAATTGGATTTTCTTTTAAAAATTTGGCAATTGGCATTATCCTTGTAAACTAATTCCCTTAAATAGGGAGCCATGATATAGAATTATTGATTATTATTTGATGATTGAATGGATGCAAATTTTTTATGAGGTCGATCGAGTACTCTCTAGATCCAAGTTGCGTACACTTATTACCCTAAAATTTGTATTTGAAATTATCCCTCTTACTTCGCTATCAATTTTGATACATAGCCAAATCTTTTATAATCCTAAATTCCATAGCCATTTCCTAATCTCTCAACCATTAGCCCATATCTTCAGAACTTATATAACCTCCGATGGATTTAATTTTCTTGTGAAAAGGCTTTCAAATGGGCTCGATTTAGTTTTGTTATGGTCTGGTAAACTAATTGTAATTGGCCCATTACCACTTGGGTTTTTGTGGACTGAATTAGGATGTTTAAAGACTTGTATTACACATGTCCTTATTTTTACGAACACCACGTTCTTCTGAAGCATCTCACCATTTCTTAAACTTTTATTGATTTCATTTTTTTCTCGTCTAGTATATCCTTATCAGATGAAATAGAATCGACCATGGTAATCCAATCTCATTTTGTGTCCTCTTTATCCTCTATTAACTAAATTCATCTCATCACACCTTTGAATGTTAACTTGATAAAATAATTCTTGGTTTTAATTTATGCAGGTTGATGACATAGAGCAACCTCTTTTTGCTGAAAGCTCAGTTGATACTTCTGAACAATGCAATAATTTGGCTAGAAACTTTGTTGAGGAATCTAACATTCAAATTGATGGAATAACTAGTTCACCAAAGACAGTTGGGGTTGATGGAAATATTAACTCTAATAGGAAACATGGTTTTGCTATTAAAAAGAGGGTTTCAACCAACTTTCAAGTCGGTGCAGGTATTTTGAAATGTACATTATCTTTTTTTTGCCCTAAGCAGCCATCTATTTTTTTAGTTAATTTGTAAAACAGTTTCTTAAATTCTTGATAGGAGATTGCTTGGTCTTGGATGTTATTACTGATGCTTCAGACAATCTCCGTGTTGGTCAAACGCTAAAACGTTTAGCTGCACAAAGTTTGCCATGTGAAGGCACAAAGCATATCAGATGGGAGGACTCCAGTTATGACTCTAAAATCATTGGAGACAATGGCAGAACTCAAATTTCTACACTCAAGGATGTTGCTATTTTACGTATGCATTTTCCTTCTATGACTCCTTTAATGTTTGTTTGGTGTTGCTTTCTTCGGCATTGATTTTCAGCAGCATGCCATATGATGCACCAAACCGTAATGTTGATTTATGCGGGAAATGGGCCACAATGGAAACTTAGGTTTTGATTTTCCATAGCATTGACTTCTTCCAGTTCATGATTATGAGTAATGCATTGCTGAGCGCACCATCTTTTGGGATTAGAGATAACTTTATTTTGTACAGTAGACACTCCATAGCACGCGCGCACATACCTTCCCCCCCCCAAAAAAAAAAAAAAACCAAAATTGCCAACTGAACTCTTTAATTCGCATGATGCCAAACCTTTTTGCCTGTTTGTTAGTTATTTCATAAATCTTGTCATCCCATCTTTTTGTTAGAAGTGCAGGAAGCAGTATAAACCTTGAAGTCATTGCTGGTCCTTCTGCTGGTCTCCATTGCTCAAGATATTCAAAAGACAGTACCGCTCTTCCACTAACCCTTGGAAGGGTTTCTCCTAGTGATTTGATACTGAAAGATTCAGAGGTTTCAGGAAAACATGCGCTTATTAATTGGAACGTGCTTGTAAGAACCATGATATAACTTTCAATGTGTTCATTTATTTATATTGGATGAACTTTTTTTTTTGGGGCCTTCTGAAATATTTTTTGGACTCTTTTAGTCTTTTGTCATAACGTGGTTGTTGGGTTAGGTGATTTGACCTCGAATGGGAGATATAGTTATTACAGACATTGCAAATGGAAGATTAAAAGGCCATGTTAGAATTAGTTTCCACTTTTCTGATGTAGGTGTTAGAAAATGATTTTTCCTTGGTAAATGAATTTATGGTCTATTCTGTTGTTAGGGAAATTTATGGTGCAGAAGTTACTCCATAAATATGCTTTTTTTTTTTCCGAAAGTACCACAATAGAAATAAATCTCAAAATATGTATGGTATCAGAAGAGAAGAATTTATATAGTGAACCACTATTGAGCTTATACATTGAGAGAACTTTTTATTTATTTTTTTTCCAATGATTATTTCATTAATTGCCCTTTTATCTGTAGTGATTACGTTACAATGAATAATATTTAGAAAAGATAGTTATTGGGTGGAGGAGACAAATGAGTTCAACAGCTTGATACAAATTTTCTTGCAATTAAGGCTTTGATATGATCCTCACATTATTTCATGAATTACCTTTGTTGAATGATTGTGGTGCCCACATTAAAACCAATAACCCAAATAGAGAATACCCCCTTCTACCACACATGGCTAGTCATTGGTGGGGACCTACATGTCAATCTTGAGCACACTGTTTAAATGTTCTAACCATTTGATTGATTCTCTTATGGGACCTAGATTGCAATCTATGTGCCTGCTCTCTCTTCTATGTTTCGGCCCCTCTTGTGACTTTTTTCTTTTCTTATATTAGTTATATATAGCTTTGATTTATCTCTATTGTGAATTTTTTGGAGAAATTTATATACATTTCCACACTTTATACATAATCAAACAATAAAAATTCAAAGTAGCTTTTTTACTTTTCTACTTTTTTACATAGTATTAGTGCAATGTTAGAATTTCCTTTCTTTAACCTTTGTTCTATTTTCTTTTGGTCTCTATGATATGTGCCAACAATAATTTAGCTTGTGAACATTCTCTCCAAAGGACTTTACAACTCCATATTTAAAATATTATAAGCAATTTTATAATGGTTGATTTATACCATTCAATTTGAGAAGTGTAGAATGATCATGGGGCCCACATCACATCTAATAGCCCAAATAGGGGTTACGCCTGTCTCTCATACATGACTAGCCATTGGTAGGACCCATAAGTCAACCAATTTTGACAACGATCCTTGAGCACATGGATTCTAACCATTAGATCCATCCTTTTATGTCTCTTAAATTGCAATCTGTATGCCTCTTGCTCTTCTAATTTTGAGGCTTTGTACAAAATCTAACAATAATATTAGAAGTATCTTTTGTAGTTTCTATTTTTCTAGAACCTTCATTTTTCTATGTTTCCGCATTTGGTTCCTGGTGCTAAAATATCCCATTTATTTGTTGGCAGAAATCAAAATGGGAGCTGGTTGATTTGGGCAGCTTGAATGGAACTTTCTTAAATTCTAAGGCAATTCATCATCTAGATGTTGGATCCAGGAGTCGGAGTGAGCCTTTTGAGCTTTCAAGCGGTGACCTTATCTCCCTTGGTTCATTTTCAAAAATATCTGTAAGTGCAATTAATATGCCCTTGCATTGTTTAGTTTCATGCTGTTCTTTATACTCCCAAATGACAAAGATGGAATAATTTCCTTCCTAATAGGATTATTGTGTGATGCTACACAAACTACGTGAATATACAGTCCAGAATCCATGAAATGAAGCTCTTTTAAATTTGTACCAACAAATTAGTCCATTAGTTTTTTTAGAGCATCTCAGAACCTCTAGTTTTGTTTTGAGGTATGCTCAAGTTTTGTTTTGTTTTGTGGTTTCAGATTATTCCATTCTAAAGCATCTGGCATCGTTACCATGAATGTTTGTAAGCATATTGTTATTTGTCCATATAATATGCAATAGCATGTGCATATAATTTTAACTGAACATGTGTGATTTCTGTATTAATCTGTCTTGAACCTTCACATAAGTTTTGAAGCTTCATTTTATCTGTTATCCGTGACTCCCAACGTTTTTTTATAACAACTTTTGCATTCATATTCCTCTCATTTGGCTTTTACATGTGAACGCTTATTTTGTCTTCTGTTGTCTTATGATGCATTTAGTTGCTCTCCCATATATTTGTTTTGTTGATGACTTGTTAATAGCGTGCTGTATAAGTGATTTTTTTTTTGGATCAGGGGGTATCTTTAATTCCCTTAACTTCGTTGACTAGCATGCTTCATGGATGCTTAAGTTTATGTCGGGATATTCAGTAGCTTTTCTAGTGGCTTAAGCTAGGTTTGCTTTAACTTCTTTATGCTTATTGTGAAATTTCCAGTTTAAATTCAAAGGAATGAAACTTGTATTTACTTTTATGTTTGCAGGATTATTGTTGGTGCTTGATATAAATTGCATTTTCCTTATTTATTGCTTTAAAAATTATATGTAGTACTCTTTTGATTTCTCTAGGTACAAATCGTTCAAGATGTTGAATATGAACTACCTTTTGGAGTTGGTATTGCATGTGATCCCATGGCGATGCGTCGTGGTGGAAAGAAGCTTCCCATGGAAGACATGTGCTACTGCAGATGGCCCCTTCCTGGTATTGAACAGGTGATTACAAAACCATATTTTTATGCAACTTTTCTTTGTTAATAGTTTAAACATGCACCTACCTGCGTTGCAGTTTGGATTTTTTAGCATTTTTGATGGACATGGCGGGGCTGGAGCTGCCAGAGCGGCTAGCAAGTGAGTTTTCCGCTTTATGTTTTATTTCTTTCGCCACTAGGCATCTATTTACGACATGTACGAGGTATGTGATGAATGTATGCTGGATTTCTGCTTTGATTTCATCTCCCTTTGTTTCCTTTGGGTATAACATAAGGGTCAACAATTATTTCTGATATATGGATGTATTTGTCTATTTATGAAGAACAGTATCTCTCTAAAATGGTTTCTTTTATTCTTTATATTTAATTATTTATGCTTTTGTCATGGATGTTCTTACTAGACATTTGTAAGAGAATGTACCATGCTGCATAATTTTTACTGATGATATTCTTCTTATTGGTAAGACTAGAGAGGGATTTGATGATATACTTGAATTATGGAGGTCAACTTTAGAGTCTAAAGGTTTTCATTTGAGTAGATCTAAACTTAAATATATTAAGTATAATTTTAGTAGTAATAGATCTAGTGGGGGGATTGTGAGTTTAGGCAATCAAGTCATTAATAATAGTTCACATTTTAGATATCTTGGGTATGTTGTTTAGAGTGATGAGGATATTATTAGTAGATTCAAGTTGGATAGTTGAAGTGGAAGAATGCATTGAGCCTGTTGTGTGATAGCAAAGTATCCCTCAAACTTAAGGGAAAATTCTATAAGATGGTGGTGAGGCCTGCAATGCTTTATGCTGTAGAATGTTGGCCATTAAAAGAGAAGCATAAAATTAAGTTAAGTGTTGCAGAGATGAGGATGCTCAGGTGGATGAGTGGCTTTACTCTTTGAGATAGAATGTGAAACGAGAATATACATGAAAATATTGGAGTAGCTCCAGTGGTAGATAAGATTAAAAAGAGTTGCCTTCGATGGTTTGGTCACATAAAATGCCAGCCTTTCAATCACACGTTTAGGATAATAAATGCATTATATTTGACCTATGTTAAGAAAGGTAGAGGTAGAATTAAAAAGATTTGGTTAGAAAATATTAGAAATGACATTTTGTATTAGATTTAAATGAGAAATTGACTTTTAATAGGACACAATTGAGAAAAAAGATTCATATAGTCAACCCCACGTAGTGAGATAAAGGCTTGATGTTGTTGTTGATCAAGTACAATATATTGTTTCTTTTGTTTTTTTTGTTAATGGACATGATGGGGTTGAACCTTCATATCTTTCAACAAATAATCATCTGTTGTTTTGTTTATGGAAATTTTGTACTTCATCCCATTAATCTTGCTACTTAGATTGCCAGTATTCGTTGGTTCTTATTGCTACTTCTCCCATAAAAAAAGACGGAAAGAAGCTGTAGCAGGCTCAAAAAAGCTTTCAAATTTCTCTTGTTGGTGGGAGAGATCCGGTATTTTATTTTTTATTGATGGAAAATGAGATGCACAACATGGAAGTGCATGTGCACATCATGATTGCTATAGGGATATGTGGCGCATCAACAATCTTTGTAAAATTGATGAATGGGGGAGAGAGAAAAAAAAGGAGGCAAGAACCTATAGATGGCTCAAAACAGCTTTAACATTTCTCTTGTTGTTTGGAGGGTGCTTATTGTATTTTTTTTTTTAATGATGGAAAATGTGACGCACCGCATGGGTATGCTTGTGAGCATGCCATGATTGCTATAGAGGTATGTGATGCATGAACAATCTTTTTAAAATTTATGAATGCTAGGGAGAGGGGGGAGGTGGGATGAGCAGGCTCAAAACAGCTTTCACATTTTGATGAGGACATCAGAGATCAACGATTACGATATGGAGTTTATTTTTTTATGTGTTTTATGTACTAGTTTATTTTATATTTTTTTTCTCATTTTACCCCTAGGGGTGGTCATGTGGTGTTGTAGCCCGAAAGACATTTTAGTCATTTTTTTTTTCTTTTCGCGAGGCCTATTTATAGGCTAGTTCTTTTGTATTTTGGGTTAATGAATGAATATTATAAAAATTTCTTGCGTATTGTTCTCTTGATGTGAGAGTTTATGAGTCTAGGAGAAATCCCTAGGAGAGGAAAATCGAATCACCCACCAACCTTGGAGACAAACGGGTTCGTGGTTCTTCTTCCTTACCTTTCTTTAGTTTTTTTTTTCTTTCCATTCCTCCTCCATTAAGCCACCTACCTATCTATCCAATCCCCTTGCTCCTAGCCGCCGGATTCCCTAGCCACACTCCACCTTGCCACCGACCTCCTTAGTCTCAACCTCATCGTCGGCTAGCTCCACCATCGTCTCCCCCTCACCCACGGCTCAACTCCCTACCCGAACCCCTGGACCCGCCATCCACCCCCCTCACCGTTCCTCCCGTTACCAATCAACGCCCCACCACCACCTGAAGACTACCGACCTTCCTTCTCCCTCCCATCAAGCCTCCGGTCTCCATATCCCCCTCTTCAAAATTGTTTCATAAAGCTCCACTTTACTTATTTAACTCCATCTATCTTTGGAAGAAGTTTGAATTTGAAACAATTCAAATTTAAATCTCAAATCATTCCTCTGTCATTAATCCTATTTTTTGAAGGCTATTAAGTAAATCAATTAATCCAAATCTGAATTAATTGAGTAATTAATGCCTTAACTCCAAATACATTGAATCTAGACACACACACACCCCTCCCGCTCTCTTGGTCGAACCCTCCCCTTGCCCATTTCATTATTTCTTTCCCATATAATCAGCCCCTCACTTTGGGATTACTTCCAAACCCAGCCCTAGCCTACCCGCCCCCTCCCTCATCCCATAACCTACTTAAATTTATTTCCAAATCAAGAAATTTCAATTTGGAAATTGATCTCAGCTTTTCCCTCCAAGATCCTCTCTCAAACTTTAAACCCAATTCCCTCAAAATTTGGACTAAACTCTCCCCAAGCCAAAGCGGTTGTCCTTGCTGTCATAAATGCTGTCCAGAGGAGTCAGCACCAGCCCCTTGCTGTCCTACACCATTGGAGGTCTGAAATTGCTGTCCAAAAGCTTCCAGCAGCCCATAACAGCTTCCAAAGATTTATCCAATCACTATAGGGTGCTGTCCAGAATTTCCCAAGTGTCGAAGCTGCTGCCCAGCAATCGTTGCATTCTCCTATCGCTGTTTTGCTGGCACTAAAGTTCAGATTGCTGTCCAACAATATCGAGAAGAATCGAGGTTGTTTTCTACTTCATCTCAAGCACCTAAACACAACACCGGAGCTTTATATGTCCTGTTTATTTGGGTGAACCCTCCTCCTACTCTTTTATCTTTTAGTCGCTTTCAATTTTAGTTCTAATTGAATCATGGAAAGTTGTGTTAATTCTTCCCGCTAAAGCCTAGTATTTAGTATGAATTGTGTGAGAGATCTTTATAGCACTACTCTTATTGTTAGATTAGGGATTTCTTGTTGAAACCTATTTCGCATGCAACATTAGGAGTAATTGATTGGTATGTGGTTTTTACTTTTCGCAAGTAACTTGACCTAAGCTTGTGTTTACCGCTTTTTATGTTTTATTTCATTGCTTAACTCACCATAAAGCTTAGTTAACTTGCTCTTAATCATCAAGCGTGCAAAATCCTTATCTAAATCAATTTTTTCATATATGTCCTGCATCACATTTCTTTTGTTTGTTGGAGTGTGCTTATTATATTATTGTTTGATACTTTGATTGATGGCAAATGAGATTTACCGCATTGGTGTGCATGTGCGCATGCCATGATTGCTATAGGGGTATATGATGCATGAACAAAAAGGTGGGGTTTGATATTACAAGAATTGGGCATTGGAAAAAAAGTTTCTTATTAAAAATATAATTGATGAAACAATTGAGGGCCGAAAATTTTCTAGTCAGTAGGTTTAGGTTAAGTTTCTACATTAAATTATATCTTATGTTATGGAGGTCCTTTTAGATATTTTTTTTCAGTGGAGTGCATCGAACCTGTACAGTAGATGTCTAATCAGATCAGGTAGTTCAAGTTTAAATAATGTTTAGTATTTTTTACTTATTTTTGGCATTTTTTTAATTTCTTTTTTGTTGAGCACATTTATATTATCAGATAAGCTGTATGAATTAATAGTTCAAGCAATGTTAATCCACTAATGTTAAAGTTGCTTTATTTATGATGGTCATGTACTAGAGGAAGACTAACTTATCCTCTTTTTTTTTTTAACGATTGTCTTGCGTACAATTTTTTTTTATTTTTTATCATGCTGAGTTAGGTTTGAAGCATTTGTTTTATTTTTTGCGTTGTCCAGGCTACTTCCACAAATCATTGTCAACATTCTGTCTAACCCTGAAAAGAAGCAGAGGGTAATTACTTGTTGTGATGCTTCAGATGTTCTTAAGGAAGCTTTTTCTCTCACGGAAGCTGCACTGAATCATCAGTACGAGGTTTTTTTTGCCTATCTCTAGAAGTAATGCAAATTCTGATACATCGGCAAATATGATATTATGCTTGTATCATGAAGTTTAGGGGAAAAATATATTCTTTATAAACGTTTCTTATTGAAGCTTTTTTTTTCTATTTTTAATATTCCTTTGCTTCAGCCTTTATGGACTTGAAAGCTCATGTGATTCATGATTTGATTTGCTATTATTTGTCCTATCACGAAAAGGAAAACATTTCGTAACAATAGCTAGACTTTTGATAGCAAGAACTTATGTCTTTTTACATTTTAACCGAAAAAAGAAAGAAAGAAAGACAACTCTAACAAAGAAAATGTCTAACAATTTCAAAATGGTGTAAGCAAACAAATAAAAAACTAGTTGAATTTATCATGCTAAGAATTTGACAATTTTGTATGATAGACTTCACAATTGTGATGCACTGGCACTTCTCTTTAAAGAGGTGTGCAATGTTCAACTCGTATCCGACACGACATACGTCTGACACCTTCTATACGTGTTGGACATGCCGATATTAAATATAAATTGACACGCGTGTTCGATACACGTCTTAAATATTTTATAAATTTTTTAATATAATTTCTTGTATTAAAATTTTTATTTATTTAAAATATACAACTAATTTTTTTTTCCACAACACCAAATGAATTGCACGCACTCAATACCTCATTCATCGAATATTCTTATTTTTGTTTCTCTTTGGCGAGTCTCGACTTTGGTTTCACAACAATGATCGATGACATCTCAACATTGACATCTGACGTCATTACAACATCGATATTTCAAAATTATCTTAACATCAAGGTCTGACACTGTATTAACATTGATGCTTGACACTAGCAATTTCTACACCCACAACTTGACAGCATCTTTGTCCAACCTCATCTTAACATTGACGACAAATGCCCCTCGACATCAACCCGATACTTACTGCATAACATAAATGCCGATTATCGATAACATTATTGTCTCCTCTCTAGATGTTTGATACACAACATTGACTCCCGATTCTCGACATCATAATATTAATCATTTTAAAAATAAATTCTAGTTAAATGACCTATTATTTATAAATTATTTTTAATATTATACTTATTTAATTTTTATACACTATTTTTAAAATATAATAATTATAGTACTATGTTCAACCTTGGTCCATGTCGTATATTTTCAATAATTGATGTGCCTCGTGTCCGTGTCGTTTCGTATACGTGTTGCCGTGTCCGTGTCTATGCTTCATAGCTTCACCAAGAATCATCACTAGATGATGAAAGAGAAGGAATGACAGAGAATAAAGGTGGTGATATCTAGTTAGAAGATGAAAGAATGAGAATGCAAAGATACTTATCATTAATGATCCAATATCAGAATGAATCTAATATCTCTTCTTGCTCCTTTTTGAGTGGTAGAGGTAGAAGCACGGAAATGTCATGATATGCTTGAACCAAGGTTTAAAAATATAAAATTAAGAGCGGAGCTGTTTTGCCTTAGCTAAGCAAAGATGTGAGCCTCAAGGCGGATCAAAGTATTAAGTCTCAAATAAAAAAATTTAAAAAAAAAACTTACATAATTAAAATTAATTTATAAATGTCATAAATTATTGATATATTAACATTGTTCATCATCATAAATCACTAAATCACACAATAAGAAAAGAAAGAAAATCCCTATCTTAAATCTTAATTTAAAATGAAAGTGTAAAAAAATATTTAAAATAAGCATTGACCACTCGCATGTAATTGCATCCTCCCCATTTATAACCCCCTCCCTCCTTGTTATGCCTCTTGTCTCTCACCTGCTCTCTTATTACTTACCATACTAAGCAGATGGGGATATTATTAGAAGAATTCGAGTTGGATGATTGAAGTGGAGGAATGCATCGTGCTTGTTGTGTGTTAGAAAAGTCCCCCTGAAACTTAAGGGAAAATTCTATAAGATGGTGCTAAGACCTGCAATGCTTTATGGTGGAGAATGTTGGCCATTAAAAGAGAAGCATAATATTAAGTTAAGTGTTGCGGAGAAGAGGATGCTTAGGTGGATGAGGGGCTTTACTCTTAGAGACAGGATATGAAATGAGTATATACGCGAAAATGTTGGAGTAGCTCCCGTGGAAGATAAGATTAGAGAGGGTCGCCTTTGATGGTTTTGTCATATAAAAAGGCAGCCTTCTAATGACTTGGTTAGGAGAGTAGATGCATTATATTTGGCTTATGTTAAAAAAGATAGAGATAGAACTAAAAAGATTTGGTTAAAAAAAGATTAGAAATGACCTTCTTTATTAGATTCAAATGAGAATTTGACTTTTAACAGGACACAATGGAGAAAAATAATTCATATAGCCGATGCCATGTAATGGGATAAAGGCTTGATGTTGTTGTTGTATGATTGACTAGTGCTTGGCTGATTCTTAAGGTCTTGTGTTTGAGTATTGTAAACTTCAATAATTCTGAGGTGAAACGACATCTGTTATACATATATGAAGTATTTATTATAGACTATCGTGTTTGTACATGCGGTGGGAAATCCTGGTAACCATTCATTTTACCAGCATTATGACAATTTCTGCTACACTGCTACATCACCATTGATATTTGTGTCATAGAAAAACCAAAACATGAATTTAATTTTAGAATAGATTAACGGCTGGCTGGCAAATTTGGAAGATGCAATCAAGTATATCTACCTCTTAAAATAGTAGCCTTCATTTTAATTTTGAGTCCTAATATTTGATCTACTCCTTCGACCCTTTGATTTAAATGATTTCCATATTTGCAAGTTGGAAACTAAAAGTCATTAGAGATGATTATATTGTATTATCATCATCATTAGCCTTTTTTCAACTATGTGAGATTAGCATTATTATTATTTTTTTATTTTCTTTATGTTGAGTGTTATTTGAGGCGTTAAATATATTTTTTATAAAAATGATTTGGAATGACTTCTTTTCTTGTTATCGTAATTCTTCTCATTTTCATGACACTTGTTTCAACTACCTGGCTATGGGGCAACTAATTTTATTCTATCAAGCCATGTTTCAGCTACCTGGCTAATGGGGCTTATAGCATAATTCTATTGTATTTTACTCTTGCTTTTTAATTTGAAGAGCGAAGTAAATTTTTCTTGCATGACTGCAAAATTTTCATGGTACGTATAGTTAGTAAAATACCAAATATGTTGCAATAAGCAATCTTTTTTTCAGGGATGTACTGCCACAATTCTTCTGTTGTGGTTTGATTATGATGAAGAAATGTTTGTGCAATGTGCAAATGTTGGTGATTCAGCTTGTATTTTGGAGTATGTCCTGTTTTTTCTCGTATTGCTTTTGTTTTCTTTTGTTTGTTATTTTTGGTGTCAATGATTATTGCTTGAGTATTTATCTGGTTGAATAATTGAAAGATCGTAATTTTTTTGGATTGTTTCACTCATATGCTTATTTTTATTGTTATGCTTATTGATTGTTTGGATTTTGTTCTCATTTTATTCTGCTTTTCTTGGAAAACTATCAGGGCTTGTAATGTGTAAACATCAACTGTTTAGTTGAAAATAATGAACTCATTGAAGGAGATAAGGAATACTTCCTTCAAGAAATCATATCTGTATACCATTCTGCAAAATGGTTTGATAGTTTGGAGAAAGCATGATCTTCGTAGGGTTAAATTCTTCCCCTAATTCTGGTATATTATTTTGATCGTGTCATTTGGCTTTTTGCTAGCGTGATGTAGGATGTTATAGACTAGAGTTCCTTATATAGTCAAATGATATAATGGCTTAAAACACAATTTAGATTGAAATTATAGTTAAAAAGCGCCAAATTAAAACTACAACTTACTTTCTTTTGAAGCAAACCAAAAAATACTAGAAATTCAAGCCAAACAATAATCTAATAATCGATTAAATCAAAGAAATTATTGTTAAAATGAGGTCATAAAAATCACAACTTGAATGAGATCGACAACATAATCTGAAAACCTAATTCGTATCAGAATAAAAAAGATTAGAATTCACCGAACACAAAAATCTTAGGCCACACGCTACAAGGAGATGACTTGCCTTGGAAATTGATAGTAGCATTTATATACGTATGAAATCAGCATCCAACCAAACACAGACACATGATTGAATGGACCAAAATTTTCATCAAGCAAAAAGTAGCATTATATGCTTTAGATTTTCTACTTTATAATCCTTAAATTTTTATAAGTCAGCTACTTTCTGAAATCGTCTGGTTACAAGTAACAAATTACTACATATAATACTCAACATACCTTCTCTAAGAGGAATTCAAATTCATCCAACATAGCAATTCTTTTAATTAATGTTGCCTGGTGAATTTGTATCAGGATCACATAAGAGTTCCTCCAAAGGAAAACGGGTGAAAACCTATTAAACAGACAACCGATTCAAGCAAGTGTAGGTTTATCCACAATACAAGTATGGGAAGTTCACATAAGCAAACTCCATACATAAATCCAATAGAGAAGTCTAATACTCTAATCTGCAATTAATCTTGACTGATGAAAACTCCAGTAGTAGAGTTGATTGCGCATAATCTGAGACGTGAACCAAATCAAATTAGAGGTGAACTATGACAAGGAGAAATGGCATAATAATCTTGAATACTGTGTTCTCAATGGCCACATCAACACATGTATGTTTAAGCAGGTTATCCTAAATAAACCAAAATTAAGAAATAGAAAACTATAAAATAGAAGTAAAATTGTGACTAAATTGCTTGTTTTTGTTTTAGCATATGTGATATGTGCTTATAATGAGTGTAGATTTTTAAGATCTCCATCACAAAGCACTTATCATGTTTCGAAATTCTATTCATAAACTTAAGACATTTCTCTATTTTTAACCAACTTTCTATGATTGTAAATGAATCGAACCAAACTTAAAGCTCCCTCAACTTGAGCTTGAGATTGATTAATCAATTCTATGAGTTCGAGTCGGCTCATAAGTCGAGTCATTTATTATAGAAAGCAAGAACTTGTTTGTAATTCAAGCAATTATTAGAAAAATGATAAAAAAAAGTAGAGGAAAGTATTTATATCAACTTTGTACTTAAACTCTTGAATTCAATATGTTTTAAGTATATTTTATATTAATATTTTCTAATTGAGTGGGCTTATGAGCTAACAAATCGAGTTGAGGTCAGCTCAAGCTTGGATTTGTTATCTTTTCGAGCTCTGCTCATGAGCCATTTATCGAGTTGAGCCCAACTTTGAAGCATAAAACAGAAAAGGATGTGTGTGATTCATTTATGAGGACATATGTTACAACTATTATAAGCTTTATTACAACAAATGTATAATGCGCAATAGAGTAGCATCTCATAACCAATAAATATAAGTGTGCCCCTCTAATTTAAGGTGAATATGATAGTGGAGAATCTATAACCAGCCTAGAGTTAGTATTTATAAAGAGCAAAGATGAATCGTTGTCTAGCAAAGCTCAATTTCAATAGAAAAGCAAAGAGAAAAGATCAAAATAGTCTCCGATCATTTAAATGTGTCCAATTTAGTTCAACCCTTCTACTATACAAAATTGATTCCAAATAGTCCCTCTGGGACTAAATTGGGATCAATTTTATATAATCACTGGACTAAATTTGTATTCTAATTTTATTCAAGTTCTATTATAGGGGACCACCCTTTGAGGTCAAATTTGTATAGTTGGGGGACTACATTGGAGAAATGTGATGTTGTGAGACTAAATTGGCGGCATATTAATCGTCCGTGAACTATTATGGGTTTTTCTTTAAAAAAATTGTAAAGCAATCTAATGCCTCTTTCTTCATTCTAATTGAAAAGCTGAACTAAAAAACTAGGTGGCAAAGGATTAATGCGATAGAACATGATTGAACTTACTGCTAATTGAGCCAAATTTATACTGTTTAGGATCAGAGAGCATGAAAATTTGAAATTCTATGCAAGCAAAGATTTGTGTCAGAGTCTCTTGAGTCAATGATTTCATAATGAGAAGAAATGAGCACACTCGCTCAAAAAGAACATTTACAGTTGTGTGGCTGACCTTTTCTGCAATAATTAGAATCTGATCGATAACTATATTAATCTGTTAAATTGCTTTTATTAAAAAAATAAAGTGAACACAACTTCTGTTTTACACTTTTAACTAGTTCATCCCATCAGCGTTTCAATGCAGTTCATAACAACCTTATTATCAGCAGCTACTGCCAAGTGCGTTGGATTGTTCTTAAGTTCACAATATTCAATGTCCAAATCAAACTCATTTACTAAAGTTTTCACCATAAAAAATTAGTATGAGGTCAAATTTTATTAAAGATCATGATGATTTGATCATGCATCAATGATAAAAAATTAACATCTTAATAGTTGATCTTAACAAGGAGATAAACTATTCATCTATTTCATTGTGTATGAATAATTAAATCTATGGAAATATTTGAATATGTATAAAAAGACATCTTAAACAAGTTCATTTGTTTTGATTTCAAAAAAATTATGCAGTATTAGCACTTTTAATGAGTGATATTACAAACCATCTATTTCTTGATTAAATATGATCAAGGGTCAATCTTCATTAAAAATAATGAAAATATATCATCAAATCATTCTTGTAATTCAACTTCAACATTCTTTGATCTTCAATTGAGAACTTTTTCCACGTAAATGGATGTTAGTATTTCCCTTACAGAACCATGCATGAGTTGCTACTTCTTTGTAGAACTTGCTGCCAGCCTCAATTAAGTGAAATTTCATTATTTCCATGACAAATGTTCGTTTTTTTTAAGTTGTACAAGGTATGTAAAAGGTTCCCAATCCATTGGTTGTAATTTGCTTTGAAACTTAATAAATGGTATCGTATGTAAACTTTTACAGAGATTTCTTCTTTTGCATTTCTGTTAACTTTATTATAATCCCACGCCAAAATTTATTGATATAATTGATGGGTTGATGTGCATTTAAAAGTGGAAGGGAGGATATCACATCTTGGTAAAATGTATGATTAAAATTAGTGTCACATTATTATTCAACTTGAAGCATGTAATTGATGCCTAGCTTCTTAGAAAATAATCTTCTCTTGCAAGTAGCATAACTACGCATTTCTTCAGAAAATAGTAATATGCTTGGGAGAAATCTACCTTTCAGTGGCAAGCTATGATGCACCGACACTTCTCCTCAAAGAGGCGTGCAATGTCCGACATCGTGTCCGACACTCGTCCGACACTCGTCCGACACTCCTTCGACACGTGTCGGACACACCGAAAACGTGTCCGATTAAAAAATATTAAATGTAAATTGGACACGCGTGTCCGACACGCGTATCTTAAATATTTTATAAATTTTTTAAAATATAATTTCTTGTATTTTGCGGAATTTAAACTAAATTTCTTATTTTATATCTACAACACCAAATCAATGTCCGCACTTAATTCCCAATCATCGAATATTCTCATTTTCATTTCTTTTTGGCAGTGAAGATATTTTAATCTCCTCTCTTGATGACTGATAAATGGCATCGACGTCTGACTCTCGACGCCTGAAATATTAATTGTTGTTTTTTAAAACTTACCAAAAAAAGCTAATGTACATGCTTGGTACCGCTAGGTTTTAAATATAAGTTCTTGTATTTTGCCGAATTTAAACTAAATTTCTTATTTTCTATCTACAACACCAAATCAACATCCGCAATTAATTCCCAATCATCGAATATTCTCATTTTCATTTCTTTTTGGCAGTGAAGATATTTTAATCTCCTCTCTTGATGACTGATAAATGGCATCGACGTCTGACTCTCGACGCCTGAAATATTAATTGTTGTTTTTTGAAACTTACCAAAAAAAGCTAATGTACATGCTCGGTACCGCTAGGTACATGCTCAGTACAGCTAGGTACCGCTCAGTACATGCTCAGTACCGCTAGGTACAAGCTCGGTACCTAGTTATCATGAAATTGATTTATTATTGCTTGTCATTTTTAATATAATGTCACATTAATTTCTTAATATAATGTCACATTAATTTCTATATATTATATTAAAAAATTATTATGTCGTGTCCACGCCACACCCGTATCCTATATTTTTTAAAAATGCCTTGTCCCGTGTCCATGTCGTGTCGTGTCCATGTCGACGTGTCCGTGTCGGTGCATCATAGGTGGCAAGTTATCACATCACCTTATGTCATTTTATAACCTTCCTTTTTTGGCTCTATAAATGTCCATAGAGGGTTTTATGCATATTTCCGTACTGTTTTAACTTAAAAAGAGTTGATGCAAAGTGGAAAATTTTTAAACTTTCTGGCTTTTAAGAAATTTGACCTTGTTGTGATATGATCTCTATTCCTTCCGGGCTTGAAGATCACTAGTCATGTTGCTTGTGTTGTCTATTCTATATTAAGCAATATATGTTATGCAATGCAGTGCTAATGGGAGGCAGATCACTATGACAGAGGACCACAGAGTGACCAGCATTTCAGAACGAACTCGTTTGAGCAAAGCAGGGATGCCCTTGGAGGGAGAAACACGCCTTTGTGGTGATTGAAACTATCTTTGCAGACCTTTTTTCCTTTTAAAAACCTCAGGCAAATTTTCTAAGAACTTATTAGATTAGCAAAAGTGCCATGGCACCACAGCACAAAATTTGATGGTGCGAGTTGGTCTCTTTTGTTGATAAACTTTTTAGAGTTAATTATCCTCGTTCTGTCCCCTCCAGTCCTTAGTTAGAGATGAGCCATTTGGTGCTGTAATGAAAATGAGTGTCAGCGAATTGCGACAAACATTATAACCATCATTGTTTTCATGATTTTTCAGGTTTAAACCTTGGCCGCATGCTTGGAGACAAATTTCTGAAAGAGCAGGACAGGCGCTTCAGTGCAGAACCGTATGTGAGCCAAGTTGTACATATAACAAAAGGCAGAACAGCTTTTGGACTAATAGCAAGGTGAATGATTCTTTTCACTCTCTTTTCTGATGCCAACATGTCTCTTTTCTATCATACATTTCCTACCTGATGAACCTAAATAAGGAAATAAACTGCAGTGATGGTTTATGGGATGTAATAAGCACCAAGCAGGCTCTTCAGCTTGTCATTCAGGTAGGGTATTACTTAATTTCTCTTCCCCTATTTCCCTTTATCTATAAAAAAAAAACTCAGAACCTCGACAAATCTTGAATAGAATGCTCTCTAGACGCCAAAATCCCATTGATTGCTTAGGCTTCGTTTGGGACGGCTTTCTTATTAAAGAAAGCCGTCCCAAACAAAGCCTTAATGACATAATCCTGCTGTGTGGTGTTTAATTATTTAATTTGTGATCTTCTTTTGACTAGTATATCCAAACGAAGGAAAGATGCGAAGTTCCAAGCGAAAATTCGGCCGAGAGGATAGCAAATTACGTACTGAGTGAAGCTAGAACATTGAGAACCAAGGACAATACATCGGTTATCTTCTTGGACTTTGATCTTATGAGAATAGATTATCGCAAACACAATTAATGATTACATTATAGTGTTTTTTAATGTTTACCTGTGCCTATTTTGCAAACTCTATTAATAAATATATTTTTCATAAACTTTATCTTTTGCTCTGTGATTCATGGGATTCTGCTTTTTCTTTTTTGTTTTTCTATGCATTTTTTGTGTCTTTGTTGCAACAACAATGGTTCAGATTATCATACACATGGATGAACTGTATGCTCTTTTGGGCTGCTTGGTTTTATGGCTGCAGATAATGAATTAAAAAGCACTTGTTGACGGATGGATTTGATCAGTGTTGTAACTGATAATATTGTAGTTTTAGCACATTTGTGTTCTTAAGGGTGCGTTTGGGATGCCGTTTTCGCTGCTATACGGTAGGAAACGCAACCGACTTGGGGTTTGGGGAGACGAGGTTGTGCTCCGTTCTCAAACTTTTTGCGTCCCGTAGCTGCTTTTTTGATCCTGAAGTAGGCTTCGTTTGGGACGGCTGCAGTTGTCGGTAAAACAGGTTGTGAAGTTGTTGTCCAGAAAGCTACTTTATAAAGTTGTTGTACAAAAATCAATAAAATTTATTTGGGTAGAATTCAAATCAAAGCTCTCCGTCAAAGGATTTTTCGCCAAAGCTAACACTACTGGCGGCACATCTGCCGTTGCCGTCACCTTATACTTCTGTATCAATCTCAGCATTGCTTCAATCTCGAACTTCGGTAAAGCAGTTATACTACCCAAACAAATTTTATTGATTTTTGTACAGCAATTTTATAAAGTAGCTTTCTGGACAACAACTTCATAACCTGCTTTACCGACAACTGCAGCCGTCCCAAACGAAGCCTAAGTGTTTATATATGTTATGCATTTCTCTGAGGCTTGATTATGTTGATAATATTGGCTGAAATTACTAAAACATGTTCATATGCCTAAGATTACAAGACTGATGGTTCGTTTGGGATGGCTCTCATATTTTCTTAAAGCAATTTTTTAGTAGCTGCTTTAAGAAGCAATAAGAGAGTCGTCCCAAATGAGTTGTCCCAGGCTTCATTGGGATGGCTCTCTTATTGCTTCTTAAAGCAACTTTTTAATAAAAAAATATTAGTTTTTGTACTAAATAGTTGCTTTAAGAAACACTAAGAAAGCTTTTAGGTTTCGTTTGGGATGACTTTCTTGCTATTTTCTAAAATAATTTTTAGTGCAGAAATTTTTATTTTAAGAAACTTGTGTACTAAACAATTAGTTTAAAAAACAGTAAGAAAGCCGTCACAAATGAAGTCTATTATTTCTTTTGAAAATTAAATGAATTTACTAATTTTTAAATTCAGGTGTAATGTAATTATTCAAAATATTTTTTATTGTAATAATATTTTAAAATTAAAAATAAGTTGAAAATTCCATTCTAACTTGTAATTGTATCCTTCTGTGAATTAAAATTTAAAATTAATTTATATATCAACAATATGTACAGTAACCTTAAAAATTTCCACAATAAAGAAGAGTTGAGAAAGCAGCAGCGTAAGGGAAAGGCATTGCGGAAGCTAATGAGAGGGCAAGTCCGATAGTGTAATAAAAATTTGTTGTTATTGTTAAAAAATTATCTTCTATATAAATAATTATTAAATTTTATGTTAAATATGTAATTTGGATATTATATTAATTTAAATATTAATAGTTGAAGGGCTAAATTAAAATAATGTGAAATTTTTAGTTCAATTAGATATTTATTAATTTAATAATCGGGGGATTATAAGAGAAGGTTCCAAAAATAAATCTGCTTCCGAAGCGCATTCACAGTAAGCTCCGCCTGCATCTCTTACCCCATGTCTTCTTAGCTCGAGCGATCGAATGGCATGGCCCCGTCGTCTTTGAAATCCATCTCCAGGCCTGCTATTCTCCTTTTCTCTTTCGCCGCTCTCCTCGTCCTTCTCATTCCCTTCTTCTCCTACTCCTCAGATCCCACCCACCGCCGCCGGCTCGTCTCGTCTTCCACAAACCCTACTCCGCCGCCTTGCTCAGCCATCCTCCGCCTCCCTCCGGATGAACGCTGCGCCTTCTCCCGTTCCCACTGCTACCCCTCCGGCGGCCTCGTCAACTACTCCTCCCTCCATTTCTGTCTTCTCCATTCATCCCCTCTCCTCTCCTTCCCCTCGCTCTCTCTCCTCCTCATCCTTCTCTTCTACCTCCTTGCCCGCACCGCTTCGGATCACTTCTCTCCCGCTGTCTCCCTCATCTCCTCTCGTCTCCTTCTCTCCCCTTCAATGGCGGCTGTAACTCTCCTTGCCCTCGGAAATGGCGCCCCTGACCTCTTCGCATCGATTTCCGCTCTCCATACCGGTCAGGCCCGGACCGGCCTTGCGGCTGTAGTCTCCGCCGGCGCATTTGTCTCTGCCTTCGTCGTCGGTGCCGTAGCCGTCCTCTGCCCCACTTCCCCCTTCCCCCTTGAACCATCGCCCTTCATCCGCGACGTGTTCTTCTATCTTCTCGCCGCCTCCGCCATGTTCTACATCTACCTCAGCGCCGAGATCTTCCTCTGGCAGGCCATGGGGTTCGTTTTCTTCTATATCTTCTTTGTTGGGCTTGTTTTTTGGATGGATTCCAACATCGACAGAAGGGAAGGGGTGGAGCATGAGATGATTAAGCTGCCAGAATGGGATTTGAAGGAGGCCGTGGCAAATAGGGAGGCATGCAAAACAAACGAGTCTGGCTGGGGATTTTGTCAACTGATAAGGAACGTAAGTGTGCTTTCAAACATTATCTGTTATCCTTTCGTTCATTGCGCTCATTTTCTATGTAGAATAGAAGTGCATTTAATTCTAGTTGCAAATGGCTGCTTATGGCACCGTTATTTGAGTGTCATTACTAGGCATATTGAAAATGGGTTGGTACTGCTTTGTTGGATATTTCACCTTCCCTAATTAAAAGCCTCACCTAAATATTGAAGATAGTGCCACAAACAAAGAAGATATGGAAGTCATCCATAATTTTATCTTTGCAAATACAAATAATAATGTTTGCAACCCTTTTGTTGAGTAAGGAAACCTTGCTAGAAAAGTTTCTTATATAAAGAAATCAAACAGAAACTGAAAATTTGAGGGGAGTGATAGATATTTCAAATTAAGAGCAGTTTGGATTATGAACGCTTCCATTCATCAGAACAGGGAAAGCACCACTAGAAGATAGAAAACAATACACAATGTTCTGATTGAATCAAATTTGAACATATTGATAAGAGATAGAAAAGTTCCTTTGATGATAAGGAATAAACTCTTTCCATAACCTATGCTAACCACTGCAAGGAGCAATCATTAATCCTTTTGTCCTTAAAGTTAATGTTTTTACCCTCATGAACTTTCTAAGAAATATTGAGAAGAAATTAATGAAAATCTTTAGACTCCTTTAATAAAGTTGGAAACAACTGTTAAAGTATTTATCATGCATGATACGGCTAATAATATAATCTTTGCTTTGTTGAATAGACATCCAAATACATTTATCAATGAGAGACAACTTAATCATGATTATATCTTTAATGCCAAGACCACCCATGTTGTTAGCCCTACTTAGTCTTCCACTTGATAAGATTTAAACCTTTAATATTACCAATCTTTTTGATAGCCCAATTAGGATTCCAAAAGAAAGAGAAGTATATAGAGAAATATAAGTGGGCACATAACTAATAAACACATAACTAATAACATTACCGTTTTAATATAAACTATCTTTTGGATTGCCCATTTTTAGGAAATATAAGAGCACATAATTAATGAACACAATTCAACCATATCTGGAAAAAAAAGTTTTGAATGAATCTTGCCAAAGAGAGTATTCCAAAAAGGATGTTGAATGATTTTTATCACAAAGGGATGAGTTCTTGAAAGGAGAAGATTCAAGGGAATAACTCAAAATGTTGGCAGAAGGGTACCCATACCAAGTTGCTTATGAAGGTAAATCAAGGAGGATTTGGAGAAATTATTTTGAGGCTAGAAATTTTTTCAAAGATGATCAAAATATTCTCGAGAATATTTGCTTTATAAAAAAGCACCACAAAATTATAAAAACTCATCCGTGAATTGGAAACTATTAATAAGTGGCTCCCCATTTTTAAAATAACAACCATCAATCCTATTATGTAGTATTTTATGTAAGACATCATCAGTAATAATGAAGTGAAGAAAAGAGGGGGTCCCTGTTAATAATGTTCTGAGAAGTTCCATAAGAGTCTAGCTGAAGTTTTTTTTTTTTTTAAAGCTTATTTTCACTAATTCCTCGTGATGATTCAAATTCCAAAAGTAGCATCTGGTTCTTTCATATGAAATTATGGAAACATGATTTTAGCATTCTAATTGTCACCTTGATAGCCTGTTCTTCAGTTGAATGAGGTATCATCTTTATATTACCTTGCCCTCAATGCTTTCTCACTTAGATACTCAATCATCATGTCCTCGAAGTTTTTCTTCACATTGAATCGTATCTTATAAATCCTCGTATATTGTTCGGCCTTTGTTTTAATGCTAAATGCTGCCTTGAAATAGTTCTCATAATTGAATTTGCTTCAGAAGTTCTTCTAAAATCGTCTTTACTTTCCACCAGATCCCTCGACTGTGGCAAGTTCCTGCCACAACTCTTTTAAAGCTTACCATACCATCACCATCAGGAGAATGGAGCAGATTTCAAGCCGCCGCCAACATAGCCTTGTGCCCCAGTTTACTTCTTTATTATTTTAGCTCCTTCATTACCATGGACAGGCGGCTTGTGTTCATCATTCCTCACTATAATTTCCCCCTCTGGTCCATTGTTCTCTTCATTAGCATCTGCCTTGCAATCTCCCACTTCATTCTTGAGAATGAACCTCCAGAAACCGAACGGACAGCCACAGCAATTGCTGCATTTGTGATGAGTGTTGTCTGGATCTCAACACTGGCAGGAGAACTGTTGAACTGTTTATCAGCAATAGGTACAATTATGAACCTTCCACCTGCAATCCTTGGTTTGACAGTGCTGGCATGGGGAAATTCAGTTGGTGACCTTGTTGCTGATGTAGCGCTGGCACGGGCTGGGCACCCGGCAACCGCCATTGCCGGATGCTTCGTAGGTCCCATGTTCAACATGCTTGTGGGGCTCGGCTCGGCGCTTGTGATGGAGACTGCAAATTTGTACCCTGAGGCTTACAAGCTCCAGTTCCATGTTAGCATTGTGGTTGCATTTGTGTTCCTTCTACTAAGCCTCATGAGCTCCCTTTTAGTTGTCACCTGGTTCAGGTTTCGGGTCCCTAGGTTCTGGGGCTATTCCCTTATGGGGCTCTACTTCACCTTCACTGCTTTGAGCCTGTCAATGGCAGTTCTTTCCAGATGAATTGGGTATTTATGTTCTCCGGCGAAAGCGGCCCGAGAACCTCAGTACTTGTTTCTGGTTTGGTGTTATATTATGGCTTTCTGGCACAGCAAGATCAAACGATTATGGCTAGCAAGCATGAGAACAATGGTATGTGATCTCCTTTATCCTCAGGTTTTTTGTGATCGGCTCTTATTAGATATTCATTTCTTGTAGAGATGATTATAAGATTGCATTGTTCTATAAATAAGTAGGATGATGACATTTTTGGCTAGCTATTTTTACTGTGTCATTTCATTAAAGATTCATAATAAGCTGATCCCAAATAGTTTTTCCGAGGCAAATCGATATGAAGAAGATGCTGATTAGATAATTTGATCAAATATTTGTGTTGGACATTGCTTGAGAGACTTTGATGTTTGTATATTGTTTGGTTTCTCCCTCCAACAAAAAATGTAAAATCAGCAACTTTGAATAGTTTTTCACCCAATTATAAAACTAAATTCTTTGTTGGTCTAAATTGGTTCAGTAGAAGTCTGTAAAAAGCATGAGACCACTTCTGAGGTCATTTGGAGATGAAATTATTATGTGCGGATGCTAAACGCCGTCCAGAGACTAACTAGAATACGTCATATCGCCCCTTGCTCGATAATTGGCTCAATACTATTGACATGGCGCATTCTAATTGATCTTTGGATGGTAAACTGCAATCGGTGTCCACAGAATAATTTCTCACTTGGAGGAGCTGTGGCGTTTAGTTCAAGCAGGCTGTTGTTGCGGTGGAGAATTTCTGAATTGGGTTGGAACAGATTCCAGTCTGAATAGGCTTATTTTTATTAAATTATTAGCTCAAAAGATAATGCTGCTCGTGAAACTTGAACTTCAGTATAGGGCAAAAATCAAATTATTAAAAATAAAAACAACAAAGAACGTGATTTTATTTTGATTTCCTTTTAAATTTTATTAAATTTAATATGATGCCTAATTTAGTGACTTTTCAAAATTTTACGTAGTTTAAATTTCATTATAGGGCTATTATGCCAGTTTCAAATAACCAATTGAATACAAACTTTTACTAGTTAAGTGTTTGTGGGATGTAAAAATTTCTTAAGCCAATATTACTTTGGTCAAAATCAGCCAATCAAATAATTCCCATTAGCCTCGCTATATACATATTCAGTAAAGTATATCATTGTGCCCTATTAGATTTACTCGAATTCGAACTAAAATAAATAAATTATCTTTTATGAATTAAACCTTTTTTTTTTTCTTTACCTGCTGTACGTCTGAAGCCCTAAAAACAACAAGTACAGGTAATCAAACCAGCTTTAGAAAGAACCCACTGAGAATAATATGACAACTAAAGCATTACATCCATTCTTCCTTCAAGAAACTGATCCCTGATATCATCAAATAGTGAAGTGATTGAAATGAGAGATCTTTAGCAAGCAGGATGGATAATGTTACCAGCCATCTGTGAGTTTCTAAAACAACTTTACAAGCTAATCCTGTCATTTACATAATTACAAAATAGAATGCTAGCAACTTATTTCCATAAGACAAGTTGGATATATTCTTAGTATATACAAATATGGATATCTCACCAAGCAAATCTCTTATAAGCTTATTCTGTGAATCAGCATGAGCTCACATTGCACTGTGAGGAAGCAGCTATCACAGAATACTGTTTCACACGAGATGGGAGCCCAAAGAAGCTTCTGACTAATCCATGAAATCATGAGTTTCCAATGTTGGCCACAAATGGCACAAGTCGCTTGTAGTCCCTCTTTCGACCGAGGGCACAAGTATCGAGAACACGACCAAGTATCATGCGAGTATTCTGAAGGGATATCTCCCTCTGTGATTGCCCACCATCAGCAGTAGCATGAGTTGTAGATCCCACCCCAAACGCAGACCCGGCGGCGACATACTGCAGTTGCCCGCTCTTAGCCTTGAATGAACTTTGAGGTGCTAGTATACTTTGCAAAGATTTTTCACTTAATCCATATCCATTCTCTGTTGAACCAAGTTCATCACCATGATCGCCTGCTAAGGTGCTGCAACTTTGCAAAAGTGCTTCTAGCACACTCAATGCCTCCCTGCTTAAGGTACTTTCCACTAATTGTGATACAATGCCATAGACATGAGGGCTCTGAGCTGCATCTACTGGAGTTTGATGTAGGAGAGCTTTGAGCAGTAGGAGTATCACGCGCTGGTAGTCAACTGGCCCTCGCTCAAGAAGTCTTAGTAGATGTCCAAATGCTAAGGAGGAGTGTTTAGGAAACCATTCGGCGCAAATGGCTGGTGATGCACGGGTAAAGAGACCTTCAGTTGAAGTTATCTCACCTTGTGAATAAGCTAAGAACACCTCGGCGAGGTCATCCAAAGACTTCTTGTGGCACCAGTATGAAATGTTTGAAGCAACCAAACATGCCTTTTGGTACTGATGTTGGAGGGGTGATGCTGATCCAACAAGAGGCAAGTCCTTGTTCAGCTGCAGCCCTAACCAAGGTAACAAACCTGTAATGTGCATTAATAGACGTGTCTCTGGGCTCCCAAATATGGAATCACAGCTAGGGATGGTTATTTTCGATAACACCTCGATTGCGGATCCATGGCTAATGGTGGACATGAGTCCTTTCAGGACTAATGGTTGCACTCCTTCAAATGTTGGCACCTTGCCACCAGATGGCAAAGACTCTGGACCAGGGCGTGATTCTTCCCTTTGAAGCTCTGCACCATTAGGACCATAGGTGTCAAACTCATCTCGCGGCACACTTGATAACAACACGTTCTCAGTTGTTCGATCGTGTAATGACAGACGGTCAATCACACGGGAAAACAACTCTAGCACCTGACAGTACACATGTATAAAGTCTGTATGCATCATAGCAACACACCCCCAAAACAGCTGTGGATATAGGATAACCTTCTGGGGCTCCATATTCTCAACCATCACTTGTAATGTTAGGAGAATCTCCATAGCAAAGCCTAAAACAGGTGGTACAGGATTTCCCAAGCACCTGTGAAGGCATCGGAGTAACAACACGCAATTATCACTTTTCACGCTAGGCCGAAGAGCTCGATATATTTGGTGGGAACGACAAGCAAGGTGCCTAGAAGTGCACTCTACTGCCCATTTGAGTGCCTCGATACCCCAAGTCTCACGAAGGTCTCCTTGGAAAAATATGGCATCAACCATGTCCAGTACAAGTGCAGATAGCAGTGCAGCACTAGGAAGTTCTATATGAACAGGCGTTGAATCTTCATTCTCCCACATTAAACAACCACGCTTAGACTGAATATACTTTATAAGGCTTTCTACTTTATGCTTATTTTCTCCTTCACTGTTTGCAGTTCCATATAGCTCCAAATGCCGACCAGCAAGGGAGTAAAGCAAATTAACAAGCAAATTCTTGCAATGCTCAAGCACAATATCCTCTGAGCTATCCATGGAAACACATGTAACATGGAAGAGTAAGGGCAAGTTCTCACGAAAATCTTCATCATTCTCATATGCAATTTCAGCAAGTAAAATTAATGCTATATCTGCGCGTGATAACGAGTGTTGATGTCCCTGCAGGGCTGATTGAAGTTCAGTAGCATTAATGCCATGCAACCCACTACTTGCTTGGTGCAATATATCTTCACCAGAGTTTGGTGTATCAATAAAGATGTCTCCACTGTCCCTTGACACGTGACGGCTTCTCAGATTTCCCGTTGAACCTCGGACGCCCATCAAAGGCCCTGACATATTCATCAATGATGGAAGCAACTGCCCTGACCGGCCAGCAGTAGCAGCAACAATGTTAACCTCAGGAGGCATTGGGCTTAATGGTCCTGAGATGCTTCGACCTGTCACAGTTGAAGTCCTCCAGCTCAAATTCCCACTAGCATTCTTCAGATGACCATCAAGAGATCCTCGAACAAGCAGAGGTGACATGTGAGGTTGGCTATCTACAACAGTTGCAAGCTGTGCCATTGTTGGTCCTTGGGAGAACTCCAGAACAATGTTTGCAGTAGGATCCACCTTTCCTGGCCTAACAAGATCCTCACTATCCTCTAACATCCTCTGAGACAACTCGCACACCAAGTGATCAATGGTTTGCTGTGGGCAGATGCGTGCAAGATACAAACTCACACGTTTGGCAACTGAGAAATACGTGGCGAAAGCCCAACTAATTTCTGCCGATGGATTCGAATCGCAATCTTCAATTCCTTTGGTGACCAAGAAGTCCAAAACTGGTATGATATTCCTTGTATTACTTGCAACAGTGCTCCATAATTTCTCAATCTCATCAGGAAACTGATCCCCATGTTTCCAAGTGACATAATAAAGACTTTTAAGTAATCTCTCACTCCACCCAGATTCCCATAGTTTCAAGAAATTTAAGTTCTCAATCCATGGAGCCATACATGTAAGTACTTGATGCTGCGCAATTATGTCCACAGCATCAAGTAGACGCTGCATGATTTCTTCACAGAGCTGCTCGCTCAGTTCTGGGTGGTCTTTGGCAAGTTTAGCGGATAATTTATATTGAAACTGTTGGTAAGAATCAGGAAGGTTGCCTACTACAGAAGCTCTATAATGGCTGGCACTCTCAGTATCATCCTCAGCCCACTCACGAACAGAGAGTGTTTCCAACATTTGAAGAGCATCATCACGAATTTGCCTGGAAGGATCAACCACTTTATAAAGAATCAAGCTGACAAGCCTCTGTACCTCACACTTTGGAATCTCTAATCTCATGTACACTTCTGCCAGGACACTGAAGTAACCATCTGCCAAGAAGTGAGGCTCCGAAGCGTAGCACTAGAACAAGATAAATAATTTTTTGTTAGGAAGATTCTTTTATATAGAATATAAGTGAACAGAATAAAAAAAAAATAACCTAATTGTATTGCGCCTAATCTCCAAAAGGGGGAAGATATAGGATACCAAAATTAGGATATCAACTATCATGTATAACATGTTTACGAAGATTTGCATAATGTATATGAGGTGCTAGTTTTCTAAACAAGCATGATATATCTGCTTTTTTATGTTGCTATGTCTAAACGATCCTGTACTATGATGAAAACATAAGTTAAATAAAAGGCCCATGGTTATCCTGTATCATGCTAGCCAAGCCTTTGATGGTGGAATGCACCATGCCAAATCTTGAGGATCAAGAACGGGTAAAAATGAGGGGAGAGGAGCATGCATGAGCCAAGCTTCAATTGTAGAAAGATGTTTATCCTATTTTCTGCATTTTATTGTATTTTATTTTGTGTATTTTTCCTAGTTTATCCTTATGATGAGTTAAATGAGTGTTATAACCCAAGGGGCATTTTAGTTTTTGAGTCCTTCATATTTTGACGCCTATATCGTGAGATCCTTGGCTATTGTAGAAAGATGATGGTTATTATGAATTAAACTTCAATTTTTTTTTTCTGAATTGTGGGTTTGAACTTTGAATCCTCTTGAGAAGAGAGTGAAATCCCTAGGAGTAGGGCAACACAACACCCAACAACCGCAGTTGTGGCAAGGTTTTTGGCTCTATCTTCTCTCCCTCCTCACCCCATCTTCCTCCATTGGCTACCAAGCTCTCCAACCTCCTTCAAAACAACCGGCCGATCCCTTCTTCCCCCTCAAATCAACCAACCAAGCCTTCCTCCCTCTTCCAAGCAATGGCCAAAATTCCCTGCTGCCCCATACAGCCAAGCAATCTCCTCTCTCTTCCATTCCCACTCACCTGCAAGCCAACCCTTCCTCTCCTCCCTTAGTTAGTCAACCCCCACTCCATTGCCTCTTGGTATTCCCTCCACATTTTCCTCTTCCCCATTGATTTCCCCAAGGGCTGCTACATATTCCTATTCTCCTCCCCATTAGCTCCACTTTAATTACTGTATTTTCCCCTTCCGCATTAATTCCTAATGGCTGCTATCTTTTATGATTCCCCCCATTAAATCATATTGGCTACTGCCTTTTCCTATTCCCCCCATTAATTCTTACACTAATTGTTATCTCCCCCTTCTCCATTAAATCCCCAATGGATGTTGTCTCTGCCCCTTCCCCCTATTAACTCCCTACTAGCTGCTGCCCTTTTCTCTTTCCCCCATTAATTCTTCATAGTTGCTACCCCCCACTTCCCTCCCCTATTAATTCACTAGTGTTGTTGCCCCTTCTCCCCTCCCCCTTCCTTTTCCTTAGCTGACAACTAGGCTGCTCTTCCCCTCTTCACCTCTTCTAGCCACAGCCGCCCTCCCCTCCTCCTTACCCGCTAACATCAGCTTTCCTCCTCCTCCCTCTTCCCCTTAGTCGGTCACCTCCCCACCCATATCTTCCTTCAGCCGACATCCCCTCTCCCAAACAGACACCTCTTCATCACTTTCAGCATGCCAAGCCCAAACTTCCTTCCCCAAATCGAGGACAGCCCAGTCATCCATGGATGGTTGATCCTGACTTGATCACGGCTTCGTAGAGTCGACATTCATCGGTATCCCTTCTTCGACATCGACGTCGAGAACGACCACAACATCCAAGAATGCGTGGATCGGATTAGCTTCTCTTTTGCAACTTCCATTGACCATCGAAGACCTCCCGTCTAATGGCAACTCACCTATGATCCACCTACTACTTTTCTGGGTAAGTTTTTGTTGTTAAAAACCTTAAACATTTACTTCTTAGTGTCATTGTTAATATCATATTAAGTTTTCTTCCACTGAAGTTATTTAAATAGTGTGAGTGAGGGAACTTCATTGTGACTGTTCTAGATATTAGTTGTGAGATTTTTATGACTTGTGGATAAGTACCTATTATCTTGATTATTATTTTACTGATCCCCGCTAATACTTGTAATTGTTTGCTATTACTTTATCAACAATTGAGAAGTTGTTTAAATCAGCTCTTGATCACCATTATTATATAATTGCTAAGCTTACAATTCATTATTATTTATAAGCAATTCCAGAATCTAGCATAGGTTTCACATCATAAAACCTTAATTCCCTCCGAAATCAAAATTCAAATCAACCCTCTTTCCCTAAATAAATCCTTCCTAATTCCCTCACAAATCTGAATTCAAATCAGTCCTCTTTCCTTACATAAACCTTTCCTAATTTCCTCCAAATCTAAATTCAAATCCTCCTTTTCCTAAATAATTTTCTCAAAATTTTAATTAAAACTTTTCTAAATAACTCCCTCTTTACATAATGAACATTAAATACCCTGGGCCCCACAAGGTGGGCCCCTTGATGTATGATATTCTCAAATCTTGTTCTAATGAATGAATATACAGTTGTAGAATCCATGATATTATTTGATTTTTAAGCCTGCGGCCTTCAAAACCTATTACAGGATGAATTCATTATAAAAATATAGATTTTCAAGCTCACGGCTCATATGATAACTTGCAAAGCTAAGACTCAAACTCGGTCCTCTATTAGCTTTTGAATAGAATTGACGGATTCAAATAATAAAATGAAATATTTAAATATCTTGATTACGACTGTGTTGATTAAAAATATCAACCACATGGGATGTTACTTTCAAAATGCCCACCTCCACCACCCAAATTCCAAAGATAATCAGTTGGAGATTAAATTCTAACAAAAATATAAAAATTTAACATGTACAATCATAAAAAATATTCAAAATGAAATCTACCACTTCAAACTTAAAGCAAAATCTATGGACCTTCCACAACAAATTTACCAATGATGATATATTTAATAATAATATTCGCTCACAAAAAGTCAAATCTTATTGAGTGTATCGTTGTGATTCATTTTTAAACAAACTTTTACTAATAAAGACGTGACACATGCCTCTAATCAATAGTTTTGCCATCAAATAGCATGACAGGTAAATAGTTATGACTGGTTGATTTCGCTGCAAAATGATACCATCAAATTATAATCAAAACCAGAGCCCTCAAGTTCACAAATAGCTAAAAAATTCTTGAGTAATGAATTTTATTGTGTAATTGATAGAAAACAAAGCCCTCAGTTAGTTAAGGTCAACTTAAGCTTGTCCGCTTAATCAAACATCTACCCCAAATCTACAAGATTCCCTTGGACAAAACAACACATGGCTGTTGACAATGATACTTTGATCCAATTGGGTTAACTATGAAACATGACAACTCGTGATAACAAAATCAATAAACCTTGATTAAGTTCGTTATCATTGCTCCCATCATCTACTTTAAGTTAATGGTGGTAGATTTCAATCAAGTTGCTGCTATGATACACTAAGCATTTAATTTCTAATGATTAACTTTAATCAAAAGATCTCTTGATTTCAGGCGGAATTATTAACCATAGGGGATTGCACCTACAGGAACTTGGAATCATATTATGAAGTCCTCACAAAATAAGAATGAAATCTCTTGGCAGTGTCTTTTCTTAAATCTAATTTGTTTTCCAAAATCTGACCCGAAATCACCAAAACTCGCTTTGCAGAAGCCGAGGCAAGAATTTTTTAAGCGCGCACATTCAAATCCAATTAGATAGATCCCATAGCAAGTCATGATACACACACCCAAAAATAAAAAACACAAATCAGCACAGCCATTGAAAGTATGTAGTTGCACCATGCACAAGGATTTAACAATGCTAGTCTAGAGAAGGGTTACTCTATGTCACCTTCCTTTGCATTGCAGAGTGACTATTTTCATGATTTGAACCATCAACACCCAAGTAAAGGCAACCTAATTGCTTCCCCTGGGGTAGCCTTTTATAAGCCTAAGCAAGTTGATTATTTAGCAAATCATGTTACACTTAGAAGTTACTAGAATAACATACGAAAAAAATGAGGGGGAAGAAATACCTGGTCCATACAAGCTGGAAAAAGATCCAAATTTGTTTGAATAAGATTTTTTAAAGCAGTCTTTGCTAATGGAACACGGAGATGGCCTCCTTTATGTTTGTCTCGTGCCCCTGCTGCACGCCCTCCATCTGCTGTATACTTCGAATATGATGGTGTGCGTGGATCTACAGGTGAATATCCATAAGGTGCTCTTGGTGCTGAGTCAATGAACAAATTATTGATCCAAGATATCACCCGTCCAGTCAGCTTTCTAGCGTTATCATCAAAGCAAGGTCCATATAGAAGAGAGGCAATAGCATTCATGGAAACCCATTGAACTGCTTCTACCTGTTCAATCACCTCCTTATCAAATGTGATTTTGTCTATGGATTCCCTGGATCGACCGTGTTGTCCTGATTTGTACCGCTCTACTTCTCGACGATAATCACTAATGCCTTCTTGTCCCCACACGCTTCCAGATTCATCACACCAAGTCATGAGCAAGTCAAAAATCTTCTTTCTTGTTCTGACATCAAACCTCTCTGACTTAGAGTCGACAATCTCTGGCGCAAGATATCTTATGACAGAAGCTAATGCATACCGAAGAGGCTGCAAATCTGGAAAACTTTCAGAAGGTGATGTTAACAATTGGCGATATGTTTCATCAATGAACTTCATAAAATGTAAATGGAGAACAGGTTTGCGACGCAACATCCCCGGCCAAATTTTCTCTGCAACAGCACGATGAATATTCGCAATATGCACTCGGAGTTCTTCACGGCGAAATTTTTGATTCTACAATAACAAGAAACTACATCAAATTATGCTCAACCTAATACCTAATGTATCTGAATTTCGCTCGATGCCCAAAACAGAAAGTTTTGAACAGCTAATTTGATTAGCATAATAAAAAGCTTTTGCAGGAAGAGTATGTGAAATGAATGAATATTTAACAACTATGATGGTATATTGAGTGCTAATTGTAGCAATGCATCTGTTAAGAATCGGTTTAGTGTTCCTCTATTTTTTAAGGCTTTCAAAAAAAAGAATTTCATCCTGATGGTTTGTACTAAACAAAACAAGTTTGAATTCAAAAATCAGCCAAAAACAAAGAACCTGCGTAAGAGAAAATCCTTAATAAAGAATACAAAGTTGAGAAAAAAAGCAAACACGCTATTCAACCAAAACGTGGAGGATCAATGAATTGCAATATATTACTTTTTGAAACACAACTTTAAAAAGATTTTTAGCCAATTATACTATACAAATTATGACTACTGAATAGCTCATCCGAGATTATACCTTCCATTTCTGTTTCCCCTCTGACTCTGACCAAACATCTTCAATGAAAGATGCAAGCTCTCCAAACATGACTTCACATAATTCAAGATGACAATGACCCAGAGCATTGGTGGCCGCAAGCTAAGAAAGATAGAAATATTAGTCACAGGAAGAGCAAGTTGTTCTCTGTTAGCTGAAAGTTGAAAATTGAGGCATTTTTCCCCTAAACAGATCAAAATTCCTCTGTGCGTTTATCCACACTAAAGAATGGAGCAAATGAAGGGAATATTGTGCACTTTTTGAAATATGTTAATTGAAAAGGACAAAGAAGGCAACACACAAAGAAATCAAAAAATATAATAAATAAAAGCAAAATTAAGGTATTTTGTATGGCTAAATGATGAAATGAGACTAATGTTAATTGCAAATGTTTGGAACGACCGAAGTGAGAATTAGAACGAAGTCAGCGCATAAATGAAGAAAAATGTAGAAGAGAATTTAAGAGTTTGTCTTAAGGTGTCCAGCAGTTTAGAGATAAATTCAGAGGATGCTAATTTCCTCTTCCTTGTAATGGCGTTCTTACTTATCATGTTTGTTGTCATTCAAGGCACAACAAATATTTACATTTTTTTTCATCAAGGTATCCACCCAATATGAATATTAAAAACTAACATAACTAAAATATGATAATTTGGAAAAATATATATATACTTCTACTTGATCTTGATAAACTTCCATATACAAGAGTTAACCCGTTAATCAATCAGAAGCTTGTGACATGCAGATGATAAATACAGGTACGTTCTTTAGCATAATCAAAAGTGTATTGAGTGTGCATAATGCCGGTATTTTCTTTTTAATTTGTTTGACATTTTTTGTTTATTTGGAAACTATTATAATGAAAAACATTTATGCTGATCCTTGATCCAATTCTAGTTTTTCTCATTGCAACCAAAGAATGAAATAAACCATAAAATATGGCATCTATGCACTGTTGTCCACAGTGTCCAGATCAAAAAGCTTGGTGTGATAGATGAATATTTCATTCAATAGGCCTTTTTTTTTCTTTTGGAGTTGTATAAATAGAGAAGTAAAAAACCTCAATTAGATTCACATAAGAAAAGACGAAGTGAACTATAAAGAAAAAAATTTTAATGAATTTACCAAAAGCTTTGTATTCCAAGATCCTTGGGTGAAAGATTGCAACAGTGATTCAGAGTGTTATTGCCTCTCCAACCAAATCAAATGTAATTTTAGAAAATAACATTTTGAATGAAATAAATGTAAATTTTAGCATTTATTTAAGTTAAAAAATTGATGTAATTATAAAACGGTTTCAATCGTTAGAGCAGATATTTTCAAAATTTTCTGACCATCCATGTGTCTCCTCACTATTTATCACCACACTGTTATGCTTTTTTTTTTTAAACACAAGTGCTAGTGTTATGTTCACTTACATGTATTGCAATGAAGCTTGACAGTCGCTCTACCTAACAATGTTTTATGAGATTTATATTGATTGTTCACCAGCCACCCTTTTTCGTATCTTTGTTGTCATACCCCTCTTTGGTTTATTATATCTTGGTGGCAATGATAGAATCTTGTCACTCTTTGGCCACTCTTCATCACAAATTAAAGGCTTGACGTTAGGTTCCATCTATGATAATTATTTTGTAGTTGTTGTCATTAGATTTGTAATCAATGCACCTACCTGCATCATGTATATTCTTACCAAGAATCTCCCTAATCCTTAGACATAACTTTCCACTCCAGCTTATTGCATTCTCCTTATTCACCAACATTCTTGTCATAACCATAGATCTAATACTTTAAAACATTGAAACAATAAACAATTCTCTAGCATCAACTATCAAAGCATTAAAAAATTCACATATACTAATGAATAAAATATCATATTCTGGGATAAAGTTGAAATGTGATCTTGACTATTCACTTGGAGGATTATCATTTAACTATTGAAATGCTGTTGAATCTAATTGTTCTAATTCCTACATTTTGAATGTGAATTGGCTAACAATTGTTGTCCTTGCTACCCATAATGTATTCTTCAATGTCACACCAATAAACCCCCAAATTTAAGCTTTGGTGCAAATGTCTAGTACAAAACATGTTAGTACTATAGGTAAAATAATATCAAATGCAGGAATCAACCCGTTTGGCTTGTCTAAAATGAAATTGAAGTTGTGCTGATTTTCTAATATCTATAGATCTCTGCCAAGCAAGTTGAAAATCATTCCCAATTGCTCTTGTTTTCTACTTCAACAACTGCATATGCAATCGAAAAGATGCTATTATTTTGATCAAGTGCAACAACTGTCAAAAATTAACCGCCCTACTACCCTTTTTAAAAAACACCTATTAAAACCCATAATTGGCCTACAATCAGACAGTCTTTTTTGCGAGCATCAAATAAACATATAGTCTCACAAAACTTTTTCTACCCTCTAATGATGAGGACATCGAAGATCAACGGCTACGATCGTGTCTATTTATTTGGATGTATTTTATTTGTTACTTGTACTTTCCCCTTTCTACCCTCACTTGAGGGCTTTGTTTTATGTTTGCCCTAGGGGCAATTATGTCTTTTTATTTTCCTTCATGTATTTGGCTATTTAAGCTCTCCCCTTCATCTTGGAAAAGGATGATGAAGATTGATATGAAAATTTTGGTTTTGGATCTCTTTGTGAGTTCTCAAGTGAGGAAAGCCTAGGAGAGGCTCGAAGCAATACCCAACAGCCCCTTGGTGGAGCTCTTGGTTCCTATCTTTTCTTCTTCTAATTCTTCCCTTCTTCCCTAGCAGCCGGAATCCCCACCTGCAAGCCGCCCAAGGCCACCGGACACCTCCACTCACCGCCGACCTCTAGCAGCCAGCCTCCAGCCGCCGGACCTCTAGCCGCCGGCCTCCTGCCGCCGGCATCCCCCTTTGCCACCACCCACCCGCAATAAACCCTCCTCCATCCCCTCCATTTTCCCTCATTGCATTTGATTAGTTTCCTAATTTGGAGAGATCACTTGGAGGGAGTTTCAAATCCAAAATTCAAATTTGAATTAGGAGTTAAATGCCTTCTTAATTTTCTTCCTTCATTAAGGAATTAATCGCAGCTTTAAATCTGAAATTTAAATTCAGATTTAAGGATTAATTCAGTTAATTAATTATGGGGCCCACTTATTTGAATGAAATACAATCCCCCTCCTCCCCCCTATAGGCCGTCCCACTCATCCCTCTCTCTCATTAATTCTAGCCATTATTACTCCCTTATTAACTCCCCAAATTAAGCCCCATTCATATTCAAATTGAGCCTATTTTCCCTCCAATCCGTCTTAATTGAGAATTAATGACAAGGCAAGCAATTAAACCACCACCTCCTCCTCTCTCTCCCTCCTAATGCCGCTGGCCAGCCCCTTCCCCTTGGCCACCCCTCTTCTTCTTCAAGATTTCTCCCCGTTGGAGAGCTCCTAACTGCTGTCCAAGAATTATAGCAAGTTAACCTTGCTGTCCTGCATTCCCAAGAGACTTTCCTTGCAGCCCAGAGTTCCGTCAATCACCGAATTGCTATCCGGAAAACCCCAAACGTCCACAGCAGCTGTCCAAGGTTTTTCTAAGCCTTGTAGGTGGCTGTCCTGAACTGTACGGAGAGCTTAAAGCTGCTGTCCAGTAATATACATAGTCCCTTGTAGCTGTCTCTCCACTCCGGAGTTCCAGATTGCTGTCTAACAACATCCAAAAGGCTCGTGGCTGCTGTACCCTTTCGTTTCAACCTTCCAACGATTACCCGGAGCTCGCATCTCTCTTGTCTTTGGGTAAACTCTTCCGCCGACTCTTTTATCTTCGAAGTTGCTTCTCAATTGTGGTCTTAGTAGACTCATGAAGATTATGTTAATCTCTTATCCGCTAAAGCCTAGTAATTAGAAGAGTTGTGTGAGGGATCTTTCTTAGACTAATCTTATTGTTAGTATTGAAATTTACTGTTGGAACAATCCATGTATGCAAAGTAAAATTTATTTGACTATTTAATGATCTCAAATCTATGCATGTGAGATAAAAACCTAAGCTAGGTACCACTTTAATATTTATTTTATCGTTCAATTCCGCATAAGATCTTTCTTATTCTTGCCTCTAAATCTAAACGTGCAAACTTCATTAAGAAAATCATTTTCGCATGGGATTGTATCACATCACCTAAACCCAAGCCTTGAGTTGTAAGCATAGAAATAGTTGAATCTAGATTCTTATGTGTAATTTTAAGATAGTAGTCTTAAATTTTGTCAAATTGATCTTCCTCTTTCATATGAACCAACTGATGAGCCTTTTTCAAGGATTTTCTTAGCATGAATTTTTTATACAAGTAATTTCAAGTCAACAATAACCTCCCTTCTGAAGACATTATAATAACTAACAAAACAATTTAACGGTTTGTTTCCCTTTATCTTGAGTCCCTACATATTCAATGCAATCATGTAAACTATTTTCAAACAAACCATCATCTTCTTGCATCTCATAATCAATATCATGGAAGTCTTTACAATCATCTGATTCAACACACACATACAGTCTACATCATTATTACAACAACTATTTACCTTCATATATCTATCATCACCCTTATCACCATTCTCTATTTCTTTATCAACTCTCGATCAAAACACTGAATAATTATAAGAAATTTGAAACTTCGACTAACTCAGTAATGTCTCATGATAATAAAAAATTCTATCCCCAACATTTTGAATGTCTACTATTTCATTATTCAGAATTTTTATCATAAAAATAATAATGACAAATTCACAAAAAAATAATTTAAAACTACAAACATAAATAGTCATAGCTTTGAAATTTTACTCAAACATTTCTACTAAAATCGTTGGATCTACTGTCCCTTCATTGTCTTTATTTATTCATGTTAGAAACCTTACAAATATTTAATACCACATATAAATAAATACTTTAATAAAAAAAATTTACCTCTATAAATTTCTCAGGTTCGCAATTGATAAATTATTCTTGAACGGGCGATAGGACGAATGGGCGAATAGGCGAATGGGCGAATGGGCGTCAGAAGCGCTAAGTCTTCTGCTTGCTTGAGCCAAGGGGTGGCGACTCCATGGGAAGAAAAGAAACTTGCACCTCAGCGCTCACTCCTACTGAGTGAGGTATTATCCCTTTTGGGGTGTGAAAAATAAAGCCGTGTGTAAGGAGTTGAAAAAGTTGCATCATGTTTGATGGAAAGAAGAAGGGGAAGAAAGAACTCCTAACCTGCTCTTCTATTCATGTTCCTAACCGAGCGGGGTATCATCGCTAGTAGGGGGGTGTGCAAAGAGCAAAGCAACATGTAAGTTGAAGGAGTTGTGAGCTCATCTCTGCTCCAACCCATGTTAGTTTAGGATGTTGGGTTAATATAATTAAAAGGTTTTATTCCCAAAGTACCCCCTGCCATCCATAACGTGATGATTTTCCAAAAAAAAAATTAATTTGATAATTTTTTTCTATTAATTTTGAACGATGGAACTATTTTGGTCTATGTTTAAAGTGTCAATGAACCAAATTGGGACTTTTACATAGTCGGACTACTTTGATCCTTCAGAAAGAGTTACAAGAACATTTCGGTCCTTTTCTTCAAACAAAATACATCAACACAGATAAAAGCTACGAATAATAAGCATTGGACTCAAATATTAGTAAGGTTATGTTTCTATAATTATAGATAGTAGATGCCAATCAGTTTGACCAGCTGATAATTGAGCATCTTCTCCATATTTTCAAGTATTTGCAAATGGTACATCAGCAATTTATGTCCTCTTAGCTGACCTATGTTTAGTAGCAAAACAATTCCAGGTCATAAAATCATTTGAGTTCTCTGACCACCTCGGGAATGCACAACGAATCTTTGAAGGGTCTCACGTGAGTTTATGGTTTTTAAGAAAATAAATGTCATGGTTGAAATAACTGAATTGACATCTTTAGAAGGAAACAATTGTTGTTTCAGTAAAGCACAAAAATGATCCATGTATGGTTTCATAGACCATAAAATCATAAATATGAACAAATTAAGGGCATAAAGTTTAAAAGATATTGTACATAAATTTTCCTTATGGCAATTCTTTTAAGCAACCTGAGCAATTTAAAATAACAAGTATTAATCAGTGAAGAGTCCACATTCCTGGAAATCCAGGTTCTTGAACAGGAGAGAATGCATAATTTTTAGCGGGACTCAGTAACCCAAAACAGTTAAGGGTTGTAATTAGCACACGGCCAAATCCTGGAGTCCAAGGTTGGATGGACGGGAAATAAATACCATGCTAAAGCTAATTGCCTTTCTTTTTTATTTTTTGTTCTATAATTTCTAAAAACAATTTAGTCCTCTTGTTACCACAAATAGTAATATTTATGTAATATAGAGATGATTGATCAAATTATGTGAACTTACAGCATTCACCTCAGACCCATGCCTTAAAGATGGAAAGATAAGATGAAAAAGTTCTTTGGCTGTTGATATGCCACCATCTACTCTATTATCCGGAGGACAGGAGCACGCAAACATTGCATACATGACCCATTGGTCAAGTTTGTTTTCTGCATCTTGAACTTGATGGGCCTTCCCACCTAGTTCCATGGGTGTGATAAGAGCAAGCCTTTGCATAACCTCTAACCTGAAAAGTGTAGTTGTTTAGTATTAAATCCTCAAGCCAGTTCTGAAAAACTTTTTTCACATAGATTATTCATAATTCGAATCTAAAATTTCAACCACATCTAGCATAAAATAAACAGCACGTAATCATCAAAATTTATGCAGCTTCAAGACTTACAGTATTTTGAAGACATAAGTACATTATCAAAAGAAATTCAAGAACATTCAGGAAATAAGTATTTCTAAACTTGTATGCATGAATCAAGGGGCGGCAGCTAACACCATAATGAAGAAAATAATATAAAATTCCTAACTCGAGTTCAACTCTTAATCTCCTCAACTCCTTAAAAAGGAATCAAAATAGTCCCACCATAAAACTATTTTGATTCATCTTTAAAGACTTAAGAGATCAAAATGATCATTTAATATAATTGGGACCATTTTGATTCTCATAAAGAGTCAGGGGACCATTCAGTCCTTTTCTCTATTCCTAATATTATAAATAAGAGGTTTAACCAGAAAGAAGATAATTCGAGAAGAAATAAGAAGTTTTCTTAGAAACGAGTGCTTCATCAAACTCGGAGAAATAGCTTATTTCCACTAAACTATCACATCTATCGAAGAAATGCCTTTTTTGTATATAGGGATAACGAAGTCTGGCATGTCCAACAAGGAGTTATAAATTAATTTGGTAAGTGTAAGAGGTTGTCATATTAGCTGCCATATGGGTTATTCACGTGATACCAATTTATGTGTGGATCTATGAGGATATATATACTAGTTACCAAATGGATGTGCAGGTTCTCTAAAAGAGAAGTATGCAAATAAAAAGACCAAGCACTCAAAAACATACATCACAGGCACCCCTCAAAGCCCTTTAATAGGACACAAAATGATCAGAAGCAAAGATAGATTAAAAGTTGGACTAAAAGACAAAAAAAAGAAAAAAAAGATCAAAATAGACAGTGGACTATGGCTAATGTATTCAATTTAGTCAGTGACTCCTCAAATATGACCCAAAATTCCTCGACCTAGCCCAAGGCTTGGAAAACCAAAGTGGTCAAATAAAAATTTAAATAGTTCTAATTACATGAAAGAAATATATCAAAACAATTTTTTTATAAATATTCTTATAATTTTGAATTCCAATACAATGAAAGAGCTACTGCTACATAAAGTTTGCTTTAACCAAAAGTACAATAAATCTACTATTGCTTACTAATTATCTAGATAACATAAGTACCGCTCACTAGTAGCCACGTCTACGATAAGAGAACTCTCTTTTCCCACTCATCCAATTCTCAACATCGTGTCCTATTGATATAGTGAAGAGTTATAAATACAACTTAGTGGGTAAATCATATCTCTATGCTTTTAATAAAGGAAATTTAGATAACAACAAGTATACTTGTCAAAGTGGTTGAATCAGTATAAAATCTTTTAGCAATTTTTTCCATTCAAAGATGATAATATACAAGAAGCATTCATTGGTCCAATAATAACATGAATAAGCAAGAAAGTATATCATATCATATATTGTCTGTTTCATTTTTATAAAACATAACTCATTGCTTAAAATTGCGCAATATGAGGCTTGCCTTGAGGCCCGCCTCAGCGCAATTCCAGTGAGAAGCATCTCGAGGCATACACCTATCCTTGTTTATGAGGCTTGCAACTAACCATGGCTGAGGCCCGCCTTGAGAAGCGCCTCTCCTCGCTGGCGTGAGGCGGTACGCCTCACTTTATAATTTTTTTATTAAAACTTACCTGAATTTGAAATTAAATCCCCGAACAAATCATGCCTTAATGCACCCCTCAGTCACAACAAACTTCTCTTGATTGCCTCAACCTCCAGCCCGCCGCCTTCATCGCAGCTGCAACTATCGGAGTATTACTCTCGTTTTTATATAAATGACAAATATTTGTGAAAGACAGATGACTAAGATAAATGAAAAAGCAAATTGGGAGGGGCCTTGAACTCCACGGAATGAAGCGGGAGAGATACCAATTTGTTTTGATGATGACTCCAATAAAAACCCCTCACTAATGATTGTGCAAATGATTTCTGAGTTGTTGACAACTATCTTAGCTTTCTTTAAGAATTAATTATGCATGAGCAGATAAGTGAGAAGAAGAAATTTGAAATTGAACTTAATGTTATATATTACTACTTTTATGCAATTCTTATATTTTATGTCATTTTGTTCTTGAATTTCAATTATATTTCACGCAATTTATCACTTACCACTTTATGTCATGTGCAATTTTTTTTCATATGTAAGTCAATTTGTTACTTCATAGTTCAATAAAAATTTAATTTCTCATGTTTTAACATAATATTTGGATATTATATAAAAAATCACTTTGAACATTTATTTTCACATTATACAATTATTGGATTTTGAGGCTAATGCCTTGAAGCTTATGCTTCGCATCACAAACGGAAAACATCCCAATGCCTAATTGCGCAATTTTAAACCTTGATATAACCATCACAAGAAAACCGTCTAATTTTACTATTTCATGTACTTTAGTATCAATATACTATTGCAAACCTACAATATCAATCATTCTATGCACAGGTATGTTAACATCCTGAAATAGTATAGTAAAAGCATTTTCATAATTCTTTTTATTTGCATTCTTCATATCATTCAATATTTTTCAATAAATTAATATTGCTTAAGAAAAACATTTAAGTTTGGCAAAATGCACATATCATTCATTTCAACATCATTTACACTTTCAAGAGTGGACATAATCATAAAATCTTGCAATAACTTTTGATTGACTAATATTAATTGATTTATTTGATTTAGAGAAAATAATATCATCATTATAATTTAGAAATAAAAAAACCAACCTCAACCTCAAATGACTTACTTTAGTCTTCCTAATCCTTAAATGTCACCTCCTTTTATTTATTACCTAGAATAAAATATAGTATAAAAATACAATTATTCACGTTATCTGATTTCTGAAGTTTCTCGTGTAATTATCATATTTGTCTTCCCTTTAAAATATATATACATATACATCATTTTAATTAAGTTTTCATCTTATTATACAACTATGTCATCACTAACATTTAAAATCCTCAATTCATTATATGATATAGTATTAAAATTTAATTAATATCATTTTTTATATTTCATTAAACTTTATAATCATTTTAATAGTATAAATTACAACAACAACAACATCAAGCCTTTATCCCACTACGTGGGGTCGGCTAAATGGATCATTTTTCTCCATTGTGTCCTATTAAGAGTTGAATTCACATTTAAATCTAATAAAGAAATGTCATTTCTAATATTTTCTAACCAAGTCTTTTTAGGTCTACCTCTACCTTTCGTAACATAAGCCAAATCTAATACCTCAACTTTCCTAACCGGGTCATCGGGAGACCGCCGTATTATGTGACCAAATAATCTAAGGTGACTCTCTCTAAACTTATCTTCCACTGGAGCGACCAAATAATCTAAGGTGACTCTCTCTAAACTTATCTTCCACTGGAGCTACTCCAACCTTTTCACGTATATGCTCATTTTGTATCCTGTCTCTAAGAGTAAATCCACTCATCCACATGAGCATCCTCATCATTGCAACACATAACTTAATGTTATGCTTCTCTTTTAATGGCCAACATTTTAATAGTATAAATTAACAATTTAAAATACAAATTTAACATAGAACATATCAAACTTCTTATTTAGAGAAATTAAGGTTCTAATAACATTCTAGATAGACTTCATATTTATATACAGTCTAAATTTCATCATTTACCTTTCGAAAACTCCAAATGAAGTTTCAGTACTTATCTTATAGATCAAAATTAAAATTTTGAGTTTTCTATTTTTAAATAAAATGACATTTACTTAAAAATTAAAAACCACAACCTTATTTGCCAACAAGTTGCTCAATTGCTTGATTGCTACTTGCTCTAGACTCAACCGCCTTCTCTCACTTTGTCAAAGTTTCTCTCCCTTGCTTTCTTTTGCGAGGCTAAATCCTCAACATATGGGTGCTCATTATTAGGCCAAGCTCAATCAATCTCTCTATGGATTGCTATATTACCTCTCCACTCCCTCTCTCCTGACTGCTCGCACACACGGTACGGTGCTTGGCCATTCTAAAAAAATAAAAAGGGACTTAACAACCTTCTTCTCTTGAAAAAACCTCATCTTTAATTTTTTTGCTATTTATTGTCACAAATTTTGGCCTAAAACTAAATATCATGATATAAACCTAGGCATTTACACCTTAATACTTACTATAGTGGATTAACTTTAACTAAAATCCATTAAGAATAAATGATTGACCAAGTAGAATGCATAGCTAACGTACAAAAGTAAGAAATTCCAACTCAATATTTATTGACAATAAACTAATATAAACTTGTATAACAACATTCTAGCAAGTTTTAATCTTAAAAATTAAAATGATTCGTTTATCAATATCGGTAGATTCTTTAGGCTCTTTTGAGTAAAAGCATAGAATTGTGATTGAACATTCTGACTTGGCTTATACTCACTACAAATTAATGTTGAGACTCGGACACTTCCTATTGACCACCTTTATTAGTGATCCTTCATAAAAATTTCTTTAAGGCGGATCTCTCCATATTTTAGCATACGGTATAGGCTTCTGAGTATGGTTAACGGAAATCCTCATCTCATGCCCAAGTTGAAAACATAGATAACATAAATTAGAGTCAACAAGGCATTCTTCTCTATGCAACTTCCCACACTTACTACAAATTTCCGTAATATTACTGGCAATGGACTTGAGTTTCTTCAAACTACAGCCTCCTAACTGAGTAACATGCTCATTTTCTTCAATGCACTTCATCTTGGGCAAATCTTTGTGCCTCTTAATAATTTGAAAATAAACCAAGCTCTCTCTATAAGCATTGAGTATTTTTTTTATCCCTAAAGGAACCAAGAGATGTCTAATTGTGTCCCTTAGTCCACATAATAACACTTATCAAATGCATTAAGGACTAATTTTGAGGTACATACT